TAAATAATATTAAATAGTGACAGACATTGTCAAAAATGAAATAGTGTCATAAATCGTAATCAGTTTCGATGAGGAAGTAATGTTTCGATACCGCTTAGAATTTGCAAATTTCTCTCTTGGTTCCAATAACTGCAAATCGAATCCATTTAATAGTTCAATTCGAATCCTTCGCATCTTAACGTGCTGCATAATACAATACAATGAATCGGTATAACACATTTGAATGGTCCATCTCCTCCTTCTCTCAACTTTTAAATGGCACAGTGCCAATTGGATAATTTGAATCACCTAATAGGCCATTATGAAAGTTGCATAAATAAACAAGCCAAGAAATGAGTGGAGCATAGCATACGAAGCACTTGAAAAAATTGCATATAATAAATACATATTTATATTTCCTTCCCCTTAAATAATATATCCTCTACCTCCACGCATCACTACCACTTGTTCACAATTCTGATTGAATTAGCAAGCAGTGCAAAGATAAGAGAAAACTGGTTAAACGTACATCCATATAGCCACACATGATATGCATGCACGTACATACGTACACTGTGCGCCACGCAGTGAAGGGTACATCTTGATTTCGTCTTGTTTACTACCTATTTAGTATTTAGTGAGTAACTAATTGTTAAAAGTATTTAAATAAATAAATGGTAACGACTATGGGAGAGGTGATGGTGGGATGGATAACGCGAGTACGGCGACGGCCATGCCAAGCTACAGCGTCGTTCTTGTGATTTGGTTTCACTTTTTTGACCAAGCGTTCTCTGCTGCACTTTGCAGTCGTTTCTTGTAAGCTGGCAGACAAAGACAATAAAATCATGTAAAAGTGAATTTCCTATCACAACAAGAAAAACACGAGTGGCAAAGTCTCGTTCGTTTCCTTCCTTCCTTAAGATGCTGCATTTTAGAGTTCGCAAAACTAATAAAATAAACGTCTTGGTTGTCTGTCGGTGGTTGATTTATTGCACACGTGAGTATGAATCAGCGCTTCGTAATGGTTGGTAATACTTGAAATGCGATAAAAAAACGTATGCAGTGGTTGATTACGTGGTAGCCGTGGCGGGATGTGGTAACGATGTAGAAATTGGCAACATAGTAAAATGATAGGTATTATTAATGATTTGTCATATTTGCAAGAGTGGAAGCATGCAGAATAGTTACCTACTTAAATTGCGAATCGGTAATCAAATTATTGGAGTAGAAATGACCTTTCATGGTCGCATTGTCTTAAATTAAATCTAATAGTTGAGTAATGTGTGCAGTCAGAAATTAAATTTTTCCAACGTATGTAATTAACTTTTGCGAAAATGTGTTTGCAAAGGCTTAAATAGAGATACATACATACATATGCACATATTTCTTGTTTTGCATAATGGTGCATTTTCAAACTGCACTTTCCACTTGAGACTGCAACCGTATTATCTACTAACACGCCTTATCTAACTAAAACATTAAAATGTGATGATCATTTTTTTTCTCGCCCATACTTTCTTATTTTGATTACAATTACAATGTCCCATCCGTATGTGCTGTGCATACATTACATATTTGCCAACTAACACCTTACTCATGAGGACTTATTACTGCAGTGGTCAAGCTCATTTAGCTTATGTGATGGGCGGCATGATAAAACCAAGTTGTGCATTACCACCGTAATATTGTCTTTGTTGATTCCTTTTAGCAATGTAACGTGGTAGGAGGGTTTCTCTCCTCGGCCTTTATTTGGACATGAAAATGTGCTTCTCCCAAATGCTACGTATTTTCGTTCGATGGAGTGAAATTAATATTTGTTTTTACTTACTTGGTCAAACCAAACTAATCCAAGCCGTGCACACACATGTGACCACTGCATAATGCTGGCTGGCGTCGTCATTGTATTTTTTTTCTTAATGGCTGATTTGCCTAGACTTGATGACAATCGGCTTTCTTCCCATCTTGGTAATTTTGTGTACAGACCTCGCTCACACATCCATCACGCCACATTACATGAATTTGTGATGGAGATGGAGCTGTAAATAAATACAAAGGGGAGAAGATGAGAGGAGAAGAAAGGAAAGTGAAATTGGGATGGGATGAGCATGATGAATGATGAATTATATTTTGTGGGATGGAGGAGGATGGGATGATTGCGGAGAGGGTAATTTTGTGCTAATTTTTTCTAGACAGATTGATACCAGATTGATACGGGTGGATGGATGTAGACATGGAGATGGAGCCCAATCGTGAGCCTACGGACTTTCATAATATCATCAAAGTTAAAGTTTGCTTCTTGCATCTTGTGTTCAACAGCCGTGGTAAATTGGAAATCATACATTTCTCTAACTTTTGTCAAAGGGTTTTGTTGACAAATCAGATATGTCTCCAGACAGGTAACGATCCGAATTACGGGCTGCTTTGTGCCCGGATTCGAGTAGGTAGGTAGCCAAGTAAAAGTTTCCAGGAAACGGTTTCCTGCCTAATTTCCTTCACGGCATACATATTATGCGATGCGTTATTATTTTTACTATGCAAACTTTATTTACGACTAAAGAAGACACCGATGAGAAATGGCAAACAAGTTGAAAACTTTTAAAGCCAAATAACAACCCCTTTCTTCCGAGTCCTCCCAAGCGTCCATTGTGTAAAGATTATGGATGTTGTAGTTGAAAATAAAGGAAAAGCCATGACCGATTGACCTAAACTAAACTGGTAAATTCTTACAAGAAGGAGGAGAAGAAGGGACTTTATGTGTCGTATTATTCTGTCTCAGTCTCATCACTCTCACAAATGGAGAGAAGAAGAAGGCGACTTTACTTCTTCACATCCGTCCATTCTGGATCAAAAGTCTCTTTTATTATGGAGTGAAGGTGTTGTACGAACCATGGCATATAGCAGCACTTGAGCAGTTTTCGTATCCGGTTGCGACTGTCTGACTGAGCCCAGAATTTCTGGCAGAGAGAGAAAAGGGTTATGCATCTCCCATCACATCAGGTTAACGCTGTGTTACATATACGCGTTTCACGGTGTAAAAGAAGTGGCGTGATGGACACGACGGTTTAAAGGAATCTTGCTTTTTTTTAGTTTATTTCCTTGCAGGATCACTTTAAAGTAAAAGTGGTTGGAAAATGTCTTTTCTTACACGGTAAACAGTATCCAGTTGACAAGATAAGGTGCCCCTTGTGCTGGATAAGGTAGAGATGAGACCCTTATTTGAGTGAGATGATGATGATACATATGTGATGTGACTTGACTTTGCAACACGATAACAGCAGGGCAGGGGAGACATTATTGGATGATGGAGACTTTGTTTAGTAGAGATCCTGTGATGTCATATCGTGGTCCTATTTGGCTGTACTTAGGGGCTTGACGTGCAATATACATTATTGAGCTACAGTCTCACGGGTTGTAGCGTATACAACTTTTAGTACTGCTTTCCTTGTACACTCTGGACACGAATTCAGCGCTGAAATGAAGCGGAAATGAACCCTGCGTATATGTATGAGTATGTGTATATGGTGGTTACTCTATAGCCTTAGCGTGCACCAAACGGACCATGCATCCCTTGATATGCCACGTTAAGAATTAACTATAATATAACATTGTATAATGGCAGGATCTTATCTGCATGTTTTAAGCGACTTGTCCAAAACCTGGCTGCATAAGTAATTTTTCAAGACTCGTAAGTAATATTTCTGGATTTCTCGAAATGCGATAGCCCACTGCATGTACGTATGTATGTTCAGCAGACGAGCTGAGCTATGCATACATGTTTAATCCAGATTCCGCAGATGATGATGAAATGAATTATACGAAAATTCATGAAAATCTGCCAAAATCTTGCTCTCATAAGTACGAGTCTAGTGGTTATCTCTCATGGGGGGTGAATACATTTGATGTGCTGCGAGACATATCTCATGAATTTACCATGCGCCAATTTTGCATGTTTCCTCAATCGATCGAGCACTTTCAGTCAATGCAACAGTTTTTTATACACACACATACATTTAAAATGTTGATGTCATATCAGATTAGTTTTGCAGCCTACGTACATAACTAAATGCTGAATAAAATCATATTTCACGGACAGAAATATTTCAATTTACGTATTTACGAATCATTTTCCACCCCATCGAGGAAAATTGACACGGTTTAATCATATTTGTTACAAAGGATGGACGACGACGCAGCATTACGAATGACACTGCGCATACAAAGATATAAAAAGTACACTCTCGTTTAACATGAAAACTGAATAAGATTGCCAAAACGAGTACAGGATGAGATATCACATGACATGACGCTTTTGCCCTGCTGCTGCTGCGGTACGATTTATCAGTGTGCGAAGTGCGTTGCGTTGTAAAATGCACTTTGTTCCCACACACACACACATAAAGTGGTGGCGCTTATAATAATTTGCAAGCATGTACAATGTATGTGTACCATCTAAAAGCGTCGCTTACATACACAGTCTGCAATTCAATAATTATTATGAGAAGATCATCTCATACTAATTGTCTGCAACTACTGCCATGCACTGTTGTTCAACAAAAAAAATCAGCATGCATATAATATGCCAAATCTCCATGCGGTTGCTAATTTCTAGACGACATTATGCAAACTCTAGCTCGAACTTGTCAGTTGTCACCTTGCTTGCACATTCTTGGTCCATGCACGTAGACACAATGTTTCAGTAACAACGCCGACCCGGCCACGATTTCATCTCAATTTAGCATCTTTCTTCCACCCATGCAAACCATCCATCTCGTACTGCATCCCCAATAGCAAAACGCCGGCTAAAAGAAGGTCTTATTTCCATTCTGCAAGCCCCCACCAAACAGCGAAGAACCACCTTTACACAATTCTTTTTCTTTATTTAATTCCTTTCATAACGCAATCCATCCATCCAGCCCCAAGCCAAAAAGAACTACTCTCCTCTCTAAGAGAGCCACATGAATTCTGCCATGCGGCAAACAAACCCAGGTAAAACTACATTACAATAAAAAGCCTCCAAAAAACCGGCTAAAAAGCTGCCATAGCACAAGAGCTGTGTCTGCTTCAACTCGAACCAACCAACCATCCAGCATCAGCCCAACAACCTCTACTTACTTTTACATATCATCCCCGTTCTCAAACCAACTCTGTTCTCAGTCTGTCCAGCAATTCCCAAGGAAAAAGATCGCACACACGTATTTCTCAACTCGCCCGAGTGACTCAAGTTGCCCCATTTACACCACTTCCCCCCCGACTCGCAGCTCACCAACTCCACCTGCCAACTCTCCCCGCAACTCACATCCGCCATGCGTTTCTCTTCAATTTGATGAAGAAGCCTCGAGCATCTGCTCTACTGCCTCAACCTCGCCCCTCAAAAAAGGAGCCTAGAGAGGTGGAAAGTTTTCGAAAAAATCGAAAAATATTTTTCCCTTGGTGCACAACCCTTGCGGAAGGGCTGGGAAGTCGGACCACCCCCTTTGGATGGGTGTGGTTGTCAGCAGCGTAATTTAGGCAGACTCGTCCCATCCGCCATGTTGGATGACCGAGTTCGTGGTGATGAGAGAGCCAGCCATTGCCACTCAATATAGCAAAGTTATGTGTGGAAATGTGGGGATTTATTTGAAACGGTGTGCCCCCCATGCAATCGCCATGGGCGGAGAGTGAGTAAAGTGAACGTCCGGGTCGCGGCCGTGTGCCGCTGCAAACAATAAAAGTGGTGGTCGTCGTCCTGGTGTGGTCAGTGGCCGTTGGTGGTGGGTGGTGGTGGTGATAGTGAAAGCAAAATGAGCAAGCTGTCGTTCAGGGCGAGAGCCCTGGACGCGTCGAAAGCGCTGCCAATCTATCACTCCACCGAAATTCCGGATAGTGCGGATTGTTCCCTCATTAACAGGGCTGTTCCTCAAATGCCCACTGGGATGGAGAAGGAGGAGGAGGCTGTAAGAATTTCGAAATGTTTTCACAAGTTTATCATAATTTCGTCGTGGCTAAAGAGACGCCATTTTTTTCCTGGTGGTGGTTGCCTCTCGTCGCGGTGCTGGGCTCCCGTCCCAATCCCAAATCGGGCTGACCCCTCGATGCCACGAGTGGGATATAGCTCAGCTGCTGCAATTTACTTACTTACTTATAGTTAGTTGATGTTAGTTGATTAATGATGATGATGATCTTGATGAATGAGTCAGGTTACCCGGATCAATTTATAGATTTACTGTAACACAGTTAGTAATGTGAACTCGGACAAATAGTTTGTTCTTTTGCGTGGAATAGTTGATGATGAATGGATGAACAACACTACGAGCCTCGTAGTATGAGGAGATGATGATGATGATATTACCTACGCATTAGCAAATATTTTTACTATTACTATTAATATATTACGATTTTCTTATTCTACCGACGGCGGAGACTTTTTGAGCGTGTTGCTGGTTGCACGAGTCAAGTCACAACACGAATTACGTTTTATTTAGCACGATATTGGAAAGAACAAGTCTCGTCTTGTCTTGATTTTGAGACGACTGATCCTCCTTCCATTTTCAATTTTCAGTCCATCGATGTTGGATAATTAAGTTCAAGTTCATAATTTGTATTTTAATAGAAATTTTTAACCAAAATAAGCAAGATGGCAAGTTAATTTTAACAATTACAATTGTTTTGCGAATTTCTCAAAAGTTTTATCATCAATCAGGAAAATCTAATTTTCAGTTTTAAAATCTAGTTCGAAAATTCATTTAATTCATTCTACGTGTATTTTGGACATGCAGGAACACCATCTCCAACAAGCCATCGTTTCCGGGACGGTGATTCCGACCCCAGAGGTGTTTCTGATCGACAACACGGGGTACTACAACAAGTTCTATCCAGAAAGCTACAAACTTCCCAGACAACTCATCTACATGCAACCCTTCTCGATGGAGACGGATATTCCCGACTATGACATGGACTCTGAAGATGAAAACTGGGTCACGTCACAATCGGGAAAGCTAGAGTTGAATCCGGAAAAGGTTAGCAATTAGTTAAATGTTTGTATGCATTTACCATCATGCATGCAACTTGATTATAAAATGTTGTCGCTTTTATTATCATAGTTTGAGGAAATGATGGATCGGCTTGAAAAAGGCAGTGGTCAAACTGTAGTCACCCTTCAGGTTAGCACATTTTCCTATAAAGAGATTTTATTATTGTGATGGTTTCGAGATGTGAAGCTGGTCCTTTACTTTCAATTGATCAATTTTTCAGGAGGCCAAAGCTCTTATTAAAGAAGATGATGATCTCATAATTGCCGTTTATGATTATTGGCTCAATAAACGACTGAAAATAGTAAGTCGCGTTTTCAGAGTCTTATTAGAAGGGTATAAATATAATAGAAATAATATTGTGATTTTGTCTTTTAGCAACAGCCCCTAATCCCCCACGTCCGAACAGAGGCAAGGCATGGCATTGCGAATCACAATCCGTACATTGCATTTAGACGACGAACAGAAAAAATGCAGACGAGAAAGAATCGCAAAAATGATGAGAGTTCTTACGAGAAGATGCTCAAACTCAGGAGGGATTTGACAAGAGCTGTTAATCTACTTGAGATGGTTAAGAAGAGGGAGAAATCTAAACGTGAACTCCTTCACTTAACAATTGAGGTTTTCGAAAAACGGCAAGTTGCTTTTTTTCTATTCATTATATTCCATTCAGTAGAAAGTATTCGCAGGGATGAATACTGATTGGGATAATTTAATGTATTTTACAGAACACAAGCTGGAGATTATTCTGGCCAGATAGTTTCCGAAGCTTTGCAACAACGCCCAGCCCGCCCTGCATTCACCCCCTTATTTCAAGCTAATTCTTTAAACGATTATCCCCTCTTAGCATCCTTAAGTCGAAAAGAAAGACGTCAATATAAAAAGAGAAGACATAAAAGTTCTTCCAAATCTCATGCCGCAGCATCGAGTTCTGCTGCTATGAACTATGCGAATGCTCAGGTGGTTAAAAATAAAGCTTGTAACGGTGGTTCCAAATACCTGTGTCAAATATTGTGACCTCAGTACCTTAATAAATTATATTATATAATATATATCAGGGGTTAACATTGGATGAGGGTGCAAGTTCTGATGACGATTTATTACCTTGCTCACCCTCTGACGGGGAGGAAGATGAGGGTGTTTACGCCTTTAGGCGGAAGAAAGACTGCGAATACCTAGCAGTAAGTACCACATACCGAAGTGTTGTTGTATGTAACTCTAATACTAGGATGGCATTATATTTTTTGGGGGTGGCTTCTTCGGTGTCACCAACTTTCTGTCATCCATATCAGTAGTTAGATCGGTGGACATTATTGTCTATATATAAAATATTATTGCATTTTTATTAGCCTTTGGACTCCAGCGATAAGCCGTGGTATCCGCCAGAAGATATTAATCGTTTAAGATTTTATCCTACATCTATATCTGATGTTAAAAATGGTGGTTATCGAATGGTGGGCCCCTGCCGACGGCGGGTGGGCCGTGGTGGCAGGTAATTCATCAAGTCAACTACATAGTCACAAATTTGATGGTGTGTACGGTGTGCTAATAAAATTTATTATATAATGTAGGATTATTCTTGATCGAATGACAATGCAAGACCTTAGTGAATTCGTCCAAGTAATGGGATTAAAGTCAAGCGCAAGTCCACCCCACAGCGGTAGTAGGAGTCCTTCGTCATCATCGCAACCCGAACCCTTAGTAATTACGCATCCCCCGGTCGAAGTTAAGCAAGAGCCCATAGATAGTAGTTATAGTAGTAGTAATATCGTCCAACCCAACGATACTATGGAAGATTTCACATCATCCGACCTGGGCTGGTAAGATTCTTTTGCTAAATAAATAAAGTGATTGTGAAATGATTTAATAAAAACTTGTAATTTTTTCAGTTGGCACCACTTTAGACCCAGAACTCCCGACCCACTTGAGACCGGTGAGTGGTTAATGATCTCTGAATCAGACCCCTCGGCTGAAGACGAATCCGTCAAAGCAGAACAATCTGAAGAATCAATATTACTACCACCACCGCTGTCGTCTTCGTCATCATCGTTAATGCCTCTCACCACAACACCATCAACCCCCTTTCTACAACCTTCATATCATCTTGGACTGGTTGTTTCGAGCGGTGATCGTCCCATCACCTATCCACTGGAAACGTTATTATCCGATCCAACCCTACCTCAAAATACCCTACCTTCCCACATTGGCACACCCGGCTCCCATGTGGTCCTTGATGAGCAGTCCTCGGAGTTAGAGAACACGTACTACCTAATGGAATTAAACAATGAATTTCTAAATGTTGACGTGGAAGCTGACCAATGGTATTCCTCTATGGATCTGGAAGCAGGTGTGGACTCTACATCTATGGCTATAGACGGGGATGAGCCGCCTCCTTCCATTCCACCCCAAGGACCAGGACCTCCGCCACCTCCTCCTCCTTCAACGACCCCTTCTCAAGGTGGTGGGTCATCTTCCGGTCCGACGACTCATCCCCAAAACAGCCACAACAACCCTCCTCCTCCTCCCGACTCTTCGTCACAAGGAGGGTCCTCGAATAACACTTCCCCACCTCAACTACCACCTTCCTCAACGCAACAGCAGCCAGATTCGTCTCCAGAGACGACGGTAGTAAATGTAAAATCTGGTGAAGACACGGATGGAGGAAAAAGTGAAACGGATTCATCAAAATCATCCAGAGAATTAAATCGGTTTCCTATGCTCATCAGTGTCTGATTAGTAGCATTTGATTGCTTGAATCCAAATCTACTCCTGTACTTCACTTTAGTTTCTTTATCATATTTCGCCGTCCGGATTTAAGCTGGCAGGAAATAAAAAAAAACTATTGCGTAAGAACAGGACGACGGTTGACTACACGATGTGGCAAACATCCGGTCGCGGTCCTACTCTTCTCCCTCCCCTCCCACTCCCCCCTCGTTTTCTCTATATTTATCTGTTTTCTTCGCTCGACGCAAATGATAGGACTACACGAATGACTACGAAAATATTTATAGTTGTCTCTAATTTTTATATATTAGTATAAATTAATGAATTCAGCATACCGTCAGATAGACGATTAATTGACGTTACTCTTACGTACGACTTCTACTGCTACGACTCCAACTCTCATCCAGATTTATTGAAGAAAAAAATTATACCCAGTAAAAATCAAAATTGTTACAGCACACCCGCTACTCTAATATTTTAACCTCTAAAAAATCATGAACACTACACATTTACTTTATAAAAGTACATCTCCTCCACTACCAACTACTACTACTACTCCACATACAACAAGACATACATACATACAAATCCGCAGTGTTGTGTGCTTGTTTATTGATTGATTGATTGAGCGAGCGTCTGCATTTATTTAAGAAACCGCATAGACTGTTTTACATGTTGAAGTGAAAATCCCGAATTGCTTCCTCTGTCGCGTTTTTTATATTATTATTATGTCTCTCCTCTGATGAAAGAATATGTGTGTGATGTGATGCATGCTGAATCATATATACATACTTCAAGCGAATGAGAGTGAATACAAAAATATGCAAACGTCATGATAGGTCGAGGATAATATGATGATTATGAATTATTCTCATGCAGGATGAATGTAGCGATTGAGAAGCAATGTAGTAGTAAAAACAAAACGAGAAGAAGAAGAATCAGTGAGGATAAGTCTCGATAGAAGACGACGGCTTATTTTGTATAAGCAAGGTCAAGGTGTTCTCTGTCAGAAGTGGCAAAATACTGTGGTATATACAAAGTAGAGGTAACGTAACGAGTCAAACCTTAATTTTACGCAAGTTTCAAGTACCTTAATAGTCTTTTTGTATTATGAATTTAAGCATATAAGTGATTAGTTAAGATTGATTATCATGATGAAGATAAGGAATTGTTTGGAAAAAATAAATTTCAAAACTAAAAACAAAAAAACAAACGATAATAAAAACAAAACAAAAGAAAACTTACAAAACCATTTCCTATTGTTGTTGCTGTTGTCCCCGGGGGGAATTCTTATTGTCGTTATTATTACTATTATTAATACACCTAATTATTACCTAAGATGCAGAGTATTCAGTATTTGTCATCAATCAAGAGTCATAAAATAATGATAAGTATGCATGTAGTTGCCAGTTGGGAACCATCTATGCTACATACATAAATGATGCAGTTGACCTAGTTATTTTGTTAATAAACCGTTTTCCTGTCCATAATTTGATTGTTGAGAAAATGGATTCATGGGTGGATTCTATCAGTGCATTTTACGAGTACTTAATCCTCCCCCGAGAATTTGTCTGCTTATTATCACCATCATTAGGAGAGAGGTTTAAGCATTTTACATATTGCTTTAATCGTCTTCTGGACATTTGTATGCATCTCGTGTATGTGAGTACTTTTTCCTTACTCATCCTCACGAATTACTTACGTACAAATCTGTCCCATGTCTCTGATGATGACAAAAATGTAATCCCTTGAAGAATTTATTCCATTTATTATCCTGCTCTGGAAGTTCTTTTTAATGTTCATGCCATGATTAGGACGAGTTTATGCTCCAATTTGATACACTGAAATTGGTCCTTTTATTTTTTTATTTAAAATTCCTCCGATTTAAACCTTAAATGCGTGTGTACATCTGAATTTTTGTGTAATAGTCATGACATTCCCGTCATAAATAGTGCATCTATGAAAATGGAAACATGATGAGAAGCATTGTGGGAAGAAGAACAGGACCGAGTTGAAATAGTACGGGTTGATGAAAGGGTAGAATTTACCCAATTCCATTTCCTGAGGAAATGCACTTTTCCGTTGGAGGAAAACCTAAATTAAATAATATTTACGTGTGTCATTTAACAACAACAAAAATCCTTAAACGTAAGTAAAAGGTGATGCACGTCCCATGCGTGATATTCGACCCATTAATAGGAATCCTAGCCCAGAGTTTGACATAATTTTAAACACCCAAAGTATACGTACGTACTATGCATAATTTTCAATTATTTTTTTCATTATTACATTTCAAATTTTGAGTAATTTTTCATACGAGTACGACAACCACCACTTCGTTTGATCCTATTTCTACAGTAGCTACATAACTCTGCAGACTGAAAACTTAAGTCATAAATATATCATCATTCATGGCACAATGTCGATCCTTTAATAACAATGAGATGAGTCAAGAAGGTGCGTGTGTATCATATCATTCTAGATATTTAGTTGCTTACTAATAGTTAGTCGACAGGTAGTAAGAACAGTGGAATAATAATAATGAGGACCTTATTGTATGCATATATGTTTCTCGTTTACTTTCATAGAAACTTCATCACTGGGTTAGCCTGCATTTGGCTGTATTGTTGTACTCGTTGCCTTCACCTTCTTCTCCCAGCACGGATGAGACTTGTTACTGCAAAGGAAGATGAGAATGAGCAGCATTGGATTGCATTGCATTGTTAGATCGGATTGGATTAGGGGTTCTCATTTCTTCTTCATTATTGCTTACACAAGTTCCTCGTCGTCTTCTACACGTCTTTCTTGGTTGCTGGTAGTACTAACTATTAGCTCTAGTTTTACTTTACCAATGCCTTGTTGGCTGGTTGGTTGGTTGGTTGCATCTTTTGCATTTTCTTCGCCAAGTCTCATGTTTAAACCTTTACTTAGTCTCACTCCAACTCTAGAGTGGAGTAGGTCATTCGAATAAGGAAGGAATGGTGCAAACACAAACAATTGCAAGTGGAGGATAAGTTGGTTAAGATAAGCAAAAAATATTACATAGACCCAGTGAATCTAGAGAAAATCTCATTTGACCTCCTCAACTCCCAGTCCAGGAGACGACACAATGTCATCCAGCATTGCGTTGTCTTGATTTGTAAAAAATCTCAGAAATCGTCTCAAGTTCCCGTCTTCTTCCTTCCTTCCTTTTCCTGTCTCAAAGTGCAACACCCAGTGTGTGGCCCATATCGTAGTAATTCCTGTACCAATTATATAACCCACTTTTTAACAAATACGTACATCACCTGCCAAACGGGTTTTATCCCACTGCACACACACCTAACCTCCGACAAATTTACGACTTTCGCATAAAAACAGTGTTGTGCCGGTTTTGTATGCAAATGTTGCAGTCAATGATGCACATATCACTCAAGTCAAGATACATAATCGGGAGACGAAGAAATTAACCAAGACAGAACAATAATAAGACGATCTATAGTTGTGCGTAGATAAGTGGACCACGTGAATAATTGGACTCGTGTCTTTCTTTATTGCAGTAATAACGAGTCATTTAATAACAATTGAGACTCCTCCCGTAACATTGTAATTGTGTAGGTTACAATTAATTAATTAAAGTCATATTCGACCGACAAACTAAAGAAACTGACCCGGATCGGGATTAATTCTGTGTTCACACTGTGACCAATTAAGACACAGAAACCTTGCTAATTAATCAATGTCAAAAGCATCAAATCTTGTTACCCGCGGGACCTTGATCAAGCTAAATTTAACTTTGTCATGAAATTATTCATCAACTCCTTCTGACCTGAATGATGAACACAACACGCTTAATTTGGAGGCATGAAAAAAAGATTTAAAACTTAATCTGCCCAGATTAGAAAAGTATACATACACACAGTTTCAGAGACGAGGCCGCCGCCGGTCACCCCGATTTTTGTCTTCGAGTGACACACATAAAAAAATTAAAATCTTTCCCTTGGTCTCCTTATTAATATTGGTTTACTGAATTAACATGAGAACATTGGCAACAATGAGGAGAAGGGGGAAGTCCTCGTCTGTCTGAGGCTGCAAGGATGGCCAGCTATTATTATTTCTATGAATTTACCACTGCAACCAAACTGAACACGGGAGAAAGAAGCAATTTGAATTTGCATACGTAAATAGTGCTCAACTCTCATCCATCTGTCAATAATTCGCAGAATCGTGTGCCAGCCTTCAAGAAGATTGAACAGGTTATTTCTTATTTTATAGGGCAAACACACGACCAAAATCGAGAACAATTCGTTTCTACTTCTAAAGTCTTGGATTGATTCGGCTTATCATTCAGCGACGACGGATGCTAAAAATAAGTAATCTTTCCACACCATTTAATGACTTGTTAGCTGAGCTTCTTGAATGTATTGATGCATCAAAAACTGAGGTGGAGCAACTGCTACTGCAAATCTCATCAAATTGGTAACAAACGAAGTCATGATTTTTACCATAAAAACTGTCAAGTTGTTAGTGTTGGTGGGGGTGACGATGTTGGTGGGGGTGGTGGGGGCGAGGAGGGAGCGAACTTTTACGTCCACGAGGGCTCACCCAAGTTCCCGAGGGAGAGGAAATGGACGAATTGTGGGACAAAGACAAATCCTCTATGACCATTACGGTAAGTTAATGCCGATTGTAAAAATGGAAATAACGCATTTAAATTTAGTCAGCAGTAGTAAATCTATGCAAGATTGAGAAAAATACAGTTAAAGATTTAATGGAGTGTGATCAATAATAGTTCTTTTTTTACTTTATGATTTTCGTTTATGGTCCAAGCTCATTCAAACAAGATGAAGTTTTGGGTGATATACATTTCCTAAAGAGATCTGTATTACATTATATACTTGGATGGATCTGAAGTCCATAAATTTGCGAGGCATAACTTCCAATGTGCACCTTTCTTTTGTGACACAATTTTGCTAGAAAGAAACCTTCCATGAATTGATTTTCGTAATTATGTAAAGAAATGGAACAGATTTAACTGGCAAAGTTTTCTACAACTTCATATTTATTAGTATACATAAAATGCTGTATACATACGTTTATTATACCGACAACAGAAAGCTGTCCTATATTTTAACCAAACAAAATGTTTAAATATAAATTTACGGTTAATCATACAACTGCAACCATGCTGCCCAAATTATGTACCCTGTCTGCACTACGAGTGCATGTACATATAAGCTTAAATTAGAATATGTGAATATTTTCCTCGCAACTTGAGACACTGGTCTTACTTTTGTCTCAAGCCATTATTCTGTTAAATTCGTATGTACAGACGTCTCTTACTTAAACTGGATCACATTTTGACCAACCAACCACCACAAGTAATGCAGAAACATTTATTTACGTATTTTATGATCCAAATAATCTCTCAACTCTCAATTATTTACTACTGTTTAGGTGCATTTGTGTCCATTTACTTTAATTTTTTGCATGTGCATCCATTCGACCGAATTTATAGACAAGAAGCATATAAAGTGTCCCTAATTGTATGGATAACATGGTCAGACTCAGATTCGATCGCGTCGGGAAGAAATGAGAGCATTGATAAACCATTTAAAATGGGTTTATTTGAAATCGAATTTGAAGACTATTTACACAGCCTAAAATTGGAGACGACATTATCCTCGTACATACAGGCAACAAAATATTGATTTGCGTACGTACCCGACGGCGTCTATTTCTCTTTGTTCGTATCGTCGTGATTCTATTTTGGTACGCTATTCATTCCACTTTTTAATAATGGGTGGAGTTCTCTTAAGGAAAATGAAACTTATATTCTCCTCTGATCATCAACATTGTTGTAAAGATGAAATTTTTTCCTGGGTTTTAGACACAATTATTTCGTGCCATTTTAAAAATGCAAATTTTTTTAGTGTAAGTAGTTACAACTTTTAATAAATAATTGCTAAAATAACGAAACATAACATTATTAAAGTCGTGGCGATCACACCCATCCGTCCACCCAAATGATGAAGCAGAATTTAACAGGTGCATCCTAGCTAACCCTGTAAATCTCAACCTTGTTACCTACACCTTCTGGCGTCGTTTAAAATGATGGCAGTGCACTGCAACTAATTTTCTGTTGCTGCACAATTTTACTCGACTTTTAGAAAACCAAGGAAAAAAGCCTTTGCAAAAAAGCGCTTGAAACTTGGAAGAGTTGTGCACACATACTTGCCGACACAATGTGCACAACTTTTGTTTCTGGTTTCTTGTCGTTGTCGTCGTCGTCGACTGACGAACTATTCAATTGTCGAGAGTAGAGATTCCGTTAGAGAGAATGCAGTCAGTAGCGACTGATGATGAGTAACAGGTTTATTTTGGTTTCTTTCCCTTAAATAAACAGATGCTGTCAACAATGCCGCTTTCCTTATCGCAATTCAGTTATTAGTTCATTTTTTTGCGGATTCCTTCCGATTAAATGCAGCGAGAGGATAATAATACTTTTTCTGAGTCTTCTTCTTCTTGAGACGTGCGTGCTTGAGACAGAATCAATAAAATAAACCCAGAAAAACCACAAGTACACACTCGACTATCAACTTATTGGCGAAATAATACACATAAAATCGTTTAGTTTGATGCTTCGTTCTCACCATTATTGACTTGTGGATTGGATGTATTGTTTAGCAGGGAGCGTGCATAGTTGAATTTGAGATATTCAGTTAAGCAAAGCATTGTTTTATGATGTTGTGGTTGCATTGCATGGGAGTTGGTAAACTAAGTAGTCCATCGGTCTTGTAATCTTCATCTTCTTCTTATGTATATACCAAGTACGTACATATGTACATACATATGTATGCATGTGAGTGAGTGAGTACTAGCTTACAATGTGTGTACCTATAATAGCACCGAGTCACTGGTATAAAATTTGCTTGCTTATTGGCGAAATGTGGCAGTGGCACACTAACACTAGATGAAATCAAATCTCATCTCAACTCGTAATCTCTCTCCGGCTTAATACGTATAATTTATCAACTTTTTTTACCACCTCATTCATACATACAAATGTGCATACGGGTTTACTTACACGGTGGTGGTGGTGGTAACAAGTGCATTCGTAATTGGAAATGCATCCCATCATCATTTCTTTGTGGATTCAATAAAATTAGTATTTATTTGTACCCTTGTTGTCTCTCATTATTATGCCTGTAACTTAATAAAGGTTTGAAATATGTACGACAGACTTTCAGTGTCACACGGAATGTATGCCCACATGTGGCAGATGTTGGATGGGTGGAGGAAGGAACTTAGCACTTTTGCAAATATGACATTCCTTTATTGCTACGTTGGTAATGAATATATTGTGTGTTTGGCACAATTTTGCCTGCCTCGTCCACATTATTGTTTGCTTTGGGCTCAACTATAGAGGACAATTTGTGTATGTTGAGAGAGTTTTTTAAGTAAAGGTAAAAATGGGAGTGCACTTGACTACTTTTCATTTTCATCGTGTCTCTCCTTCGTCCTAATTAATGCATTTTTGGCGATTCATTGAAAACGAGACCGAATCACGAATAGGAATAAGGTGTATGTATGCAAATGTTTATTTTCTTAAAGGAAATATGTGCTCGGTGTGTGTATGGGTTGGGCTGTAAGTACACAAAATGTGTGTATGTATAATAAGGCTTGATTTTCACTGGGCTAGTGACACAGTTTTTCTTTTCAAAATACCGAAAGAAAGAAACTTGAATACAACCAAATTATTTTCTGCATTGCCCGAAACGCATATGTCCAGACGAGGAATTGATGAGCACTGTAGGTTAATTTTGAATATTGAAGTAAGTATAATTTTCATTTATTAATTAGGAATTATCAATTTAGAAATTCCGCACATCTGTCCTGAATATCAAATCTGTTCAAGTACCGAAATCTGTGTATGTCAAATTGTGCCAAGTATTTTAATGAATTATAGAAATGTCTCCTAACTGGACGACCCACTTGAGACTTGACAAATTGACGTAATCCCCAAAATCTCAAGCATTTTACATAAACTAAGCTTCCTCCCAACTGCGGCGTTTTCTTCAATTCTTCATCTCAAGTGACAGTATACAGGTTGTTTAATCACATTGTTTCATATGTACAGACAGCATTACGCCATTCCACTTCCTACGAGAGAAAGAGATAGGGTGCTAATTCAACCCCGGTTGGAATCTTGTTAAATGGAACATACATAAAGTTGATGCTCAACATGATTTTGATTTGGTCGTTGTGGTCCCAAATCCTAAACAACGGCACAACGTCGTCCAATTTAATTACAACATACACACAAAATTGGACGAAACAATGTCACAAGAAGTCTAGCGGAGTTTGTCATGTAATGTTACATTTTATTTTTTTACGCAACTTGAAAACACACCCGTCACAATGCAACAAGCAACAATTACAATTTGGCGTATGTAATTTGAACCTTTTATTTACATATTCTCAATGTCAGAGAAAGACAAAATGTAGATTGAGCAAGAAAATAAATTAAAATGAGCTAGTAATCTGGTAAAATCTCTCGTAAAATGTCAAATTATTGTGCATAATCCTAAAACCGAAGCGTGCACATGTGTCCCATTTTATGAGTTTCACTCACATATTAAATAAGTCTGTGTGTTCCTCTTTGCATGCTTCGTTGGTGGTGTGGAGACAATCCATCCTGCCGACTTTTATGGCAAGTTTAAGGAAAAAGAAAATTTTAAACCGTGTGATTATGTGACACACATGATGTGGCAATTGTTTCACCTCTTGTCGTACTTTACGCCACTAAATCAATGTCACATTACACTTTTATCATTCACCCACAAAATTGGGAATATGTTGCACCACATTTCTTCCTCTTGTGGTGGTTGCGGTTCCATTCAGCTTGGATGAATGAAGTTTTCCTGAAACCTTGAAATTTTTGTAAAATTCGTTGTTAAAGAAATCGAGCCATAAACTCACAAGTGCGTTATGTAATCAGAACTGGGTAAAATACTTTGCCAAAATTTTTAAAATATGCATTTTGACAGGGCTAAAAAGTTAAATTCTTCACAAAACATGTATGTTTATGTGACTGTCCATGCAGATTTTCGTTTTTTTGTGGGTGTAACGGCCCTGGAAATTTTAACCCTTGGAAGAACAGAACTCAAAATACTGTATTTTGGCAAAGTATCTGGCCCACCGCTGTACAATTTATAAATTAATTTATATACAATTAATTAATATACAATTTATTTATTTATTTGGTCAAGATGTACAAAAATGTGATTTTAGACAAAAATATTTTCATTCAAGTTTACAACAATATAAATATTTTCTTTTTTGCCTAATTAATAATTCAAAAATAACAAATCCGTGTTGTGAATCCACATTTTTTTTATGTCTGACACCCAATATCCTGTGATGATGTAGAATAGGACACAATGAACTGCGAAGCCTGTGATTGATGGGGAGCATCTTCACGCGAAGGACTTTCATATCCATATTTTATTCTAAGACGGCTGGCTGCTGCGAATTATATTTTGAATTTAAATGCATTTCTGATTCAATTCAACCCCTGCTGAATTTTATTTATTTGAAGGTTTTGAAAGTGATTTGTAACTTCTTGGAAGACCTGATCTCGTTCGAAGGTATTGTAGGACGCTGGTGGGATTGACCTCTCAATTATTCTCAAGGTCTTCACTTCCAAGTCGAAAAATCGACTGGGTTTGGCTTGTGTTATGGTTCGGGTATAAGGGCATGGACTGACTCTTGTATGTATCATCACCACCTTTCATTTTACATATGCGACTTTATTTAAATTAAAATTCTATAAAAATATGTCAAAAATTGTATTATTTACTTCACATGATTCACATTTCTCGGCTATTTTATGTTTCAATAGAAAATTAGAATTGTCACACTAATACATAGTCAAATTATAAGTGGTTGTAAATACACAAAAATTAGGACACATTATATTGTTAGTGAAAGCAGATGTCATTATTCATTAAATTATTATCAGCATTATCCAAGGTATTACTTTTATCCTGACATTTCTGTACGAAAACATCAAAATAATCCTTGGTCAATTTACTTTATATGAAGTTAAACTAATCCATATTGCAACTTGTAAACTTCAATTGATCCAAAAGTTCGGTAGAAACGCACAAATATTTAGGTATCATTCAACAAGGCCAATAAGTTAGTCAATCTCTGATTTAATTAACAAGTTACACGTGTCATTTGATATACATAAATATGAAAACAGGCTCATGACTATCTCTTCAATGTAGCATCCTAAGCACTGCCAAGATACTGCAAATTTACAGCTCCTATTTCACTATTGTGGTGGACCAGGCACTGACAATGAAGTTGAAGGTGTAGCAGGAAGTGCAAATTCTTGTACGGGGAGAAAGAACTCAATCCATACCAACCCATGTTTCACAAATACTGCTGCCGTTCTACGTTATTTTGCTTATTTGGTAGTTCTGCCACCACAACGAAGCTCATCTTGTACGAGCAGTTTTGCAAACCAAAGTACGGATGAGAATTTGCAACGGGCAGACTGGCGATGATGATGCGACTAGGATCAACGACTTTATTCGCACAATATGCACAACGCACAAGTTATTACAACTATCTGGCTACAACTACATGTTGCTTACTTACACATACGATTTATGTATGCGACCACGACCAATCATAATATAAACACAATACAACCAGGAAAAGACGCTCATTCATTTTTGCATGGTGGTCACCTTTGCTCTCGATACTCGTATCTGCCCATTTCACTCGATGTATATAATTCTTCTTGTGGTTGGATTTATTCTTGTATTTGCTCGTAAATAAGTAAATCATTCCTTGGTGAGTGGTAGTGTTTGTGGTAAAAGTGCCGGGTGGAGTTAGTTAGTGGGTAGTAGTACTGAGGAAATAGATTTACTCGACATTTTTCCGTTTACGGTAATACATTTATTTGTTTATTTTTGATAATGGACGCAATTCGTTTACAATTTCGGATAAGTTATTTCATAACAGATTCATTTACATTCATTCACATGATTGATTCACATTTTGGAGGATATTTAGTTTCTCTCAGGATTTCTCATTTTCACTACAAAACTCATTTTCAAATCTGGAGTGAGAATATGAGAACCCGTTCATTTTCTTGAAGCACATGGAACTAAATAATAGCAGATGGTTGGTGTTATAGGCATACACAAGTTTTGATGCATATCTCTCAAATATTGCCTGTCCCAAGTATCGTTCAATCCCTGGTTGGTCAGGTAACGGGACTTGTATTGTCGAATCATCATAATGGAATGGGTTGCAAGTTGATCTTGACTTGCAGAGACGTCGGATGTAAATAAAGGGTGTTTAGTTGAGCTTCATTTTAAGATACTCGAGGTTTTGGATCCTTACTACTCAAGTGGTTCCGTTGCTTCAACCTTTTTCAGAATTTTAGGGATTTATCTTTCACAAGAAAAGGGCTCAAACTGGAAATGTTGATGGGTTTACTTCCTCATTGCCAAGCCACACAGAAAACACGACGCACTTATTATGCAGGTCTCCCAGCGTATGCTCTCCGATTTTGAGCAACCTAATATCAATCGATCACAAATGTAATTCATATGAAATTTGCAAAAGACACGATCTGCCAATGCTCAGATTTTGCAGAGATATTTGCATTCGACGAGAAAACGCTTAGAAAGTTTAAAACTTGTCATTTTTAGGGCGCGTTCTCCTCTTTGGATGCAAATATGATATTTGCATCCAAATTTGCATGACAGAGATATTTGAAATATCTCTGTCAAACTTGAGCATTAGCACGTAGCATCGTTTATAAAAGTCATATTAATTAAATTTGTGATCGATTAACACTAAATAATCTGGCCAAAACCGGTGAACATACGCTGGGAGACCTCCACTGTTAGATGGGAAAGGACTGTTGACTGTGTGAACCATGGTTTACGTTGCAAAGGGAATGGAAGTAACTAGATAACAATATGTAACCGAACATCTCAAGTCAATTATAATTTGTCGAGATAGAAATGAAAAGCTGAAAATAGTTGTGATTAGATTTAAAAAATTGTATACAAGTCTCATTCTTCCCGACTGAGAAAGTAAGACGAAAAAATGAGGTTGTTGCATTGCTTTTATTTCACGAAATTATCGCTACCACATGTTGCGAATCTTTCATTTTTCTTTTCATACAACAACAATAACAACAAAAACTCGATTTCTCGATTGAGCTCGCACTTTTATCCATTTCATAATTTGACGAGTAGACAAAATAAACGCACAGTGCGATTTTTGGCTGCATGATAATCTTTAACCCAAAATTCTTAATTTTACCCCGAACAGGAATTGTATTGATGGACGAACAACTTATTGCCTTTATTTCAACTTTTTTTGTACAATTCAATGCGATGGGTTATAGTTAATGCTCCATAATTTTAAGAATTGAGTGAAAGTTAGGTGACGATACTTCTCGTAGAATTTTTCAGAATGAGTCAAATATCTACGTAATTCAACGTCACAAGTCATGCAGTACCCTAATTTTTTTTTTTTTAATTTCACTTTTGCATGCAACAACTTGATGACACGGATTTCAATTAATTACGAATGCACTTATATTGGTCTTATAATAACAACAACTTTGTCTGCCAATGTTACACCGGAAAAATTGATCATCGTCCAAATTTTGATTTCAAGACGTGGTAACTGGTAATGAACATATATGTACAATAGTTATTAAGAAAACAAGACCAATAAGATTTTTAACGCTGCTCGTATGTATATCTTGTTTACACGAACCACTACCATTCATGATTTGACTACAAAATAATCCTCAGTATGTCAGTAGGATGCAGGTATCATCAATATTAAAACTAGCCACAATTACGAATTGACGACTGAAACCAGTAAAACTAGAGTTAGATAGTTGACTGTCCATGGTGCATACTTTTTGCACAACCTTTTCTCCTCATAGCTCAACTAGCAAATATGTAAATGACCCCTGATTTCTTTATGCATTGTTTTCCTTTGCAGGACGAAGGCTTCGGATAACTCCAAAAGTGTGTGAATCCTCCTCCTCCCGATACTCGGACCTTGATGGGATTTGTATGTTCAACTTGGAATGCCAAGAACACTCTGGAACGGTGATAGGAGCCTGTGTTGACCGCTTCCTGTTCGGTGCTTGTTGTCACATCGCGGACCCCGTCAAGAGAAAGGAGATTCTCAGCGGAGCAAATTCCACGTCGCCTGGAGAAATCAGCACTTCGGCTCTACTTTCACCACTTTCACCCGGAAGCCCAAATGTTACCCGGGTTGCGTCTGGAGGAAAGCCAACTCCGTCGTCCCGTCCAACTGACGTCCCTTCTTTTGCTCCTCATCCCCATGAAAATCATTCAACCCGCTTTCCGGTAATTTAGTTAGCCCGGTAATTTATTTATTATATGTTACACCACTTAATTGTCCATTTTCTTTAGTCTCGGAGCCCGGGCGGGTCGTCAACTGGTGGAAAGGTCGCAACGACGCGTCCATCTTCTCCTCATCCACCTCCAGTACCATTTGGAGAACGTACAGCTGTACTTGCTCCCTCTCACCCTACTCCTCTTCTTCCTCTCTCTCTGGAAACTTTCTCCAGTGTCAGTCATTCTGGTATTGATGCTACTCTTACTTCATCTCTTATTTATCGTTTATGAATGAGCCCTAATTTTTGACAATTCATTAAAAAAATCTGATTTACAGCTTCTCACGGCTCTGACGGAGGTCACAACGCTCTGCGTCTTGCGGATGGCCAACCTTCTGAATCTGTGGAACATGAGACACTAGGCTTGGGTTTTGTAGTGTCGAGAAATAAAAACAAGCCGAGACCAAGTAGTACTAAATTTAGTGTTAGCAGTAGTAGCGATAGTTTTAGGGATAGAATGACGACGACTCCTGAGCCGCCTAAAATTTCTACGTTTATGTACCTCGACAATGACGACTCTAAAATGACGAGCACACAAAAGACGACGAGCAGTAGTACGAGTGAACGAGTTGGGGAGGAAGATTCCTCGTCTTCCATTTCTTCCCCTGGAGACAATCAGGAGTTGGAGAGTAACACGGAAAATATTTGGTCAGTCGTGATGCAACTCGGATCTCAAGATAAGTTGTTGAACTTGGCGAGCCAAAACCCACCCAAGCAAGGGTCACATTCCATGGCTCCCTCGGAATCTGCGACCGCAATGATGGCAGAGTTGATTTCTTCTTCTTCTTCCTCCTCTTCTGGTGATTTTAAGACTGATGGCGACATTGAAAGCAACGAATCGACGAGATATCCCCCACTCAAATTTTTTGGTGATGTTGGCGTTCAAGCGAGTGATGATGACGAAGAAAGTGGCACGACTGAGAGGGAAGTCGAGGTCACGAACAGGCCGTGGGCAGCCTCGACGTATTATGTGCATACATTCAAATACCCCAATTTTACTGGGGGAGAAGACATGTCTTCTTCGGATGAAGAGTTTGATTTTGTTCCGTCAAGTAGCAAAACGACTACGAGCACAACCACAACGACAACGACGACAACAACCACCACGCCAAAGCCATTGCCACCTTCGTCTTCTACTCAACCGTCGATTGGGAAAATTACGACTTGGTCTGGAATTGGAACTGTGGTAGATAAGGAACAGTTGGAGAATAAACATGCGGATAAAACTACCAAAGTAATGACGAGGACGACGACGCCACCGTCAACGACGACGTCAACAACGACGCCAACCACTACGCAAAGAACGACGAGAAGGCCTCCACCCACTACGACTAAGAAATACTCCACATCTCGAAGAACCACCACCACAACTACCACGACCACTACAACCACTGAGAAACCAAGTACCACAACGGAAGAACCCATTGAAAAATGGAGAAGGCCTCAACCCTACACACTTCCCCCACATAAACGCCCTACGACAACAGAGGCCCAAGAAACGTCGGCAGAGGATGAAGCCAATGACGACGATTTGAACTTGGAAGAAGAGATTGAAGTTGAAACAAAGGAAGAACCTACGACGAAAAAGTCAACGACTAAAAAACCCACGAAACTTGGAGTGAAAACACCAGCAAAGAAAAACAGTGAGAAAGAACACCGGAAACCGGCAGCCCCGATTTCCAGCTCCATCATTTTGGATGAAGATATGGACACGAATTTGGACGATTTTGTTGAACAGGTAAAGAAACCAGACATTTAGATGTTAGGTTAATAATAATCCAAAAATAACGGTACGCATATTTATGTATTTACTTCCTCAGGTTGTCCAAGGTCTGGCTGGGTCACTGGACAACTTGAATATTGACAATGTCATCCTCAGCGCTAACAATGACCACCACATCCCCGCCGACAACGTGGACAATGCCATTGATCCGCAAGAGTTTATCGCAGATCCTTCATTCCCACCGTTTCCCATTCTCGGAGAAACTCTGCTGACCAAACCAAACGTCAAAAACAATGCGGACGTTGACGCCGTTATTCCAGAAACAACCACCCCCACGACTACAACCACCACAACTACGCAGAAGCCGCTCGACTGGAGAAAAGGTAGGGTCGTGTACAAACTTTGACAGTAGTAAATATGTACCACAAATCCTTTAAATTTAACGGTATGGCAGATTGTGGGGTGCGTACTCAACAAAAGTCGGGACGTATTGTGGGCGGAACTGCGTCCAAATTTGGCAAATGGCCATGGCAGGCCTTAGTCAAGGAAGTTAGTAAAACTGCTTCATACTTCATACTCATTAGTGATGTTCTTATCATAAATATTAAACTTTTTACTCTTCACAGGCGACATGGCTGGGTCTCTTTTCCAAAAACAAGTGTGGTGGGGTTCTCATAGCTCCAAAATATGTCCTGACCGCGGCCCATTGTCAACCCGGATTTCTCGCAACATTGACCGTAGTTTTGGGAGAATTGGACATATCCTCGACATCTGAAGGAGGTGCGAACTCAATTACCAAGAACGTTCGAAGAGTCATTGTTCACAGGTGTGTTTAATTAAATACGCAGATTAATTTTATTTAACATGAAAGTGTCAATTATATAATTTTGCCTATTTTTCACAGGGATTATAATGCACAAACATTTGAAAATGATATTGCATTGTAAGTTTATAAAATAAATAAATATGCAAATATATACAAAATCATCAAAATGCACTTTTTATGAGCTATTTACAACTTTCAGATTGGAATTGGATTCACCTGTTGAATTTAAAAGTCACATTGTTCCCGTTTGTTTGCCGAATGACGACGAAGAATTTCTTGGAAGGAAAGGTTCGCATTTAGAGAATGTCAAGCCAAATATCGTACATGATTACATTATTATATTGTGTTTTTCTGCTTTAGCATTTGTTACTGGATGGGGTCGTCTCAAATACGGTACTTATGATTTGGTCACTTTACATCTCCGATATAAATTTAATCTTAAATATTATTAATATTACTAAAGGAGGCGGAGTTCCTCAAATTTTGCACGAGGTAGATGTTCCAATCCTGAAAAATGACGAGTGTCAAGAGGTTTGCAATTTTTAATAATGTAAGTTGGGCATGATTCAAATCCTTGAAAATGTTTACCGTATGATTTAGATGTTTCACAAATCCAACCATTTGAAAGCCATTCGAGACAGTTTTATTTGCGCCGGCTATGCGGAAGGAATCAAAGACTCGTGTGAAGGGGACAGTGGTAATTGTTATAAATAAATAAATAATAAATGCTAAAAAGTCTAATAATAAGTAAGAGTATGCAGTTAACTAATGTATTTCTTCAGGTGGACCGCTCTCCATTCAAAGACCGAATGGTCAGTGGGTTTTGGCCGGAACCGTTTCTCATGGTAAGTTACAGTGTCGGACAGATGTCTACGTCCACATAGTCGCGTCAATTTCATTTTCAAATTGTCACTGAACTACTGAACCAATTTTCATCATTGATATATCAAATTCTCACAAATTTAACGTAATTTCATAGCACATTATTAGTTTTCCGCTAAAAAATTTATTTTAGGCCAGAGATGTATTTTAATTCAAAATGAAAACAATTGGATGGACAAAAGTCAACGTCCAGTCAGAGAAAACATACAAAAAAAACTGTAATTTATAAGGAATGTTATAACAATTAATTTTTAATATTTGGTTGGGCCTCCGTTCGCTTTAAGGACGGCTTCAAGGCGTCGAGTCATTGAGTTTACCAAATTCTTGGTCACATCTTCAGAAATGGTTTCCCAAACTTCACGAATTCTGGATTTAAGGCCCGGAATTCCTGAAAAACATTGTTTTCTTATTTCTCTTTCAATGTGGTCGCACAGATGCTCAATGGGATTCAAGTCTGGAGATTGGGGAGGCCATTCTAGCTTCGGAATTTTTTTTTCTTGAAGTATTCCATGGTGGACTTGGCAGAGTGTTTCGGATCGTTGTCTTGTTGGAAGGCAAATCGTCGTCCAAGTCCAAGTTTTCGAACAGATTCCTGGATATTACGGTCAAGTATTCCCTGGTACTTGTATTGGTCCATAATTCCGTCAATAAATTCCATTTTTCCTGCCCCACTTGAAGCCATGCATCCCCACACCATTACCGACCCGCCGCCGTGCTTAACTGTGGGGTTGAGATTTTTTGGATTCAAAGCTTCTTTTGGATATCTCCACACTCTACGACGCCCATCTGACCCAAAGACATTGAACTTTGACTCGTCAGTCCATAAAATATGTCCCAGAATGTTTGTGGCTTGGAAATGTGGTCTCTGGCAAACTTCACTCGTTTGGTTGCATTCCTCGGTACAATAAGAGGCTTCCGGACTGCTCTGTGGGATTTCAAATTTCCCTTATTCAGTGTTCTTTGGATGGTCATAGGACTAACCTGTTTGCCGAACATCTCCTTGATCTCGGTAGATAGCTTTGGAGCACTAAGTTAGGGTGTAACGTTGACTTTGTTGAGCACGTGGCGTACTTCTCGGTGAGCCAAAATGGGTTTTCGACCACTTCTGACCTTGTTTTGGACTGAACCATTAGCTTTAAAGTTCTTAATGATTGTCTGGATGGTTGTCCTTGCTAATTTATACTTGGTCCATATTTGTCTCTGCGACAGCCCCCTTTTTGTCCACCCTTCCAGTCCTGAATGACAAGATCTCGAATAGCGATAGGAATTTCCTTGCGTGTCGACGCCATCATATTTTTCTGGAAGAAAATTATTTAAAAATTAATGCGGCATATGTTATTGATAGATTTATTAAGTTACCTGATTTTATAAATTGGAGAGATTTTTGTTGTTGACAATTAAAGTGAAGTGGACGTAGACTTTTGTCCGCTCAAATTTCATCCTCTCTCGCTCTGCACTATGATTCTCAGTTTTCCCAGAATTTTCAGAAATAACTCATATGTTTTATGAAATTACGTTAAATTTGTGAGAATTTGATATATCAATGATGAAAATTGGTTCAGTAGTTCAGTGACAATTTGAAAATGAAATTGACGCGACTATGTGGACGTAGACATCTGTCCGACACTGTATTTCATAAAATGGTGTTTAGCAGTGTTGAAGTAAAATAATAATAAAATTTTATTTCAGGAATTAAGTGCGCATTCCCCAGCTTACCAGGAGTGTGTAAGTCTTGTATTTAATTAAAGTAATTATAACGGAGGTCTCACAATATACGCTCACAGTTTTTGACCAAACTAGTGTCAATCGATCACAAATTTCATACTAATTAAATCTGTGACATTGGTTTGGTCAAAATCGGAGGGCACACACCAGAAGGCCTCCATTGTTCGATACCCAAATTTCTTACGCGTCTTGTTTGTATTCCAGATATGCGGATGACATACTACAAAGCGTGGATTAAACGCGTTACCGGAATTAAATGATAATACAACTTGAACCATTTATAAAGCAAATGAATTATTTTTGTTCGCTCAAATTCTTTCATCTTTTTTGTGATAACTGTTGTCATCTTTAAGAATTCTTTACTGACTGTCTGTGACACTGTGACCATCCCCCATGTGTGGGGTAGCCCATATTAACCCAATTTTCCTCAAACGACGAACTATTAATTAGTTTATTACCATATTTTAATTATTTAACTAGGTTAGTATTTATTTATACGTATGTGTAGGGTACGGAAGTATTTTTAGTTATTTATTTATTTTTATAAGACAAAGACAGTGTGTACATGTGATGAATATTTGTAAGGTTTGGTTGGTTTGTACATAGTCGAACTATTTAGTAAATGCAATGTTATGTAAATTAGAGAATTTGTTGCTTGTGTGTAATTTATTAATTATTGGATAGAGATTGAATAAAATATTGAAATACTAAAGAATTTATCACCTCTTGGACATGAAAATGGGCACTGAATTTATGGAACACATCAGCCTAGGTTATATATCTGACGTGCTTTTATGGGGCACAAAAATAGGCCATAATCATTCCAGATATTATTTCATTTGTGTAACTTCAGGTTAAGAATTTTTTGTGTACTTGAACGAAGTATGCGCATAGTCTAGTGTATATATTCTCGTAGCCGATACTAATTGCTTTAATTTCACACTAATCGATCCTTCAAAATGATATTGAAGGGCATCGGTGTAATGACAATAAACCCGACTTTGGGTTCAAATCCGTGATCAGGACCATTTTTGTCAAACTTAATCTCGAACCTTTGGAAAATATTTGTGGCGAAGAGGAAAAGGCTGTCTCTCGCCAAGGATTCTCCAAGACATTGCCTCCTCCCGATTGAAAATGGCACCAGAGCTTCGTGCTTCTTGAACGTCTTTCCATCCGGGCTCAAAAATCTTTCTGGGCGAAAGTTTTCCGGGTCACCCCAAATTTTAGGGTCGAAATGAATGTAATAAATATTTGGAGTGATGACAGTGTCCTTTGGGATCAGATAACCGTGGAATTCTTTGTCTCTTATCGCCCTGTGTCCCACCCCTTGTGGTGTAATGGAGGAAAATCGAAGCGTCTCTGCGATCACTGCTTCCGTGTACGGCATACTGTTCAAACAGAGTAATAATGCATGAAACTGATAAGTTTTATTATTAAATAATTGATTATTATATGACTTACTTTGGCCTATCCTTTAGAGACACGGGCCTCGTATTTCCAGTGATTTCTTGAATTTCCGCTTGAATTTTTTTCTGAATTTCTGGAAGTTTTGTGAGATATAAAATCATCCAGGCTAATGTCGTGCTGGTAGTGTCATTTCCGGCGAAATAAAAATCCGATATAACCCCCAGAAGGTTGTCCTCTGAAATTATTTATGGTAAAATTAGTATATTATGAAACTTAATTCTTATGCCTTTTCACAAAGGAAAGGGTTAATTAAATAATTGGTGATGTAAGAAACTAGAATTATTAACCTCCAAATTGCCCATGGAAAGGTGAGGTGGGATTTGTAGTATCTTTAATTTCTTTCAGAAAAACATCGATAAAGTCACTGTTGAGTAAAAATGAGTAGATAAGTACTTGTTGTAAAATGTTTAACTTGGTTGTTTTAAAAGCATGAATTAATCACCGAGTATAATTTCCATCGTACGACTTTTTATGTTCATCAATAGGCTTTTTAAAATAAGCAGCGAACTCTTCTCCTGTCTTGCGCGTTTTTGTTAAGCCCGACCATGTGGGGAATATCTTGGCAAGTTTGGGAACAAATAAAAGAACTCCTCCGCTCTCCAGAATTTCTGAGAGTGATCTGTGCCAAATTAAGTAGTTATAAAATTATCAATTAACAGTACTAATGACACATTTTAAATATTTCACCCAAGCCACGTACTCATTCGACTTTGTCGTCATTTCAAATAGCACCGTGTCCTTCTGGCTATGACGCTTTCCCGTGGTGATGGTCCACAGGGCGTTGACCACGGCGAATAGCAACTGATCCTTGACACTGCTGACGGGTTTACCTTCGCTCTCCTTCCAGATTTCGATAAGCTCATTGACTTCCGCCATGACTAAATCTTCCATTGAAGTTTTCCCAAAACCAAAGTCTCTTAATTGACGAAGGGAGAATCGTCTCAGTTCCTCCCAATGTTCTCCCTCCGTGTTCACAATTCCTGATGGAAAAATCATGTTTTTAATGGGGAACAGTGACAGACATCCAAATTTTATAGTCTATTTCGTATACCATGCCGTTTTTCTTTTCCAGCGATGTCAAAGATTGTGAAATCCATTCTTCCTGAGAAAGCAGGGTCCGAGAAAATTTCTTTCAACATTTTATAATCCGAAATTACGACGGTTCTGTAATAATGCAAAATACTGGTCAAAATTTTTTGCCCTGTTAATATTGTAAAATTTGAAAATTTATACTTGGTCGTGGCTAAATCCACTCGGATAATCGGTCCAAATTCATCTGCCCATTTAGAATAGCTTCGAAATTGGAGGGGATCCAAAGCTAGAAGATTTCCTACAAATGGAAGTCTTCTCGGTCCTGTATTTATACGTAATATGCAGTAATAAAACAAGTTATTTTATCTCAATTTCCATGCAGTATTACCTGGTGGACATTTCTTCCACTTGTATCTATTCGACAAAAAGTATCCCAATACAATTACAATCACTGACAGAACGATCAGCGTTCCAGAAATCATGATTTAATGAAATGCGAATGAACAAGAAATTTAAGTCAATATTTTTATGATAAATTGAATAAATAATAAATGATGTTGATTAGTTTGGTGTTTAACATAGACTAAACCAAGACTGGGCTCAAAATGCTTCTTTTTATGCAAAACGAAAAAGACGCATTTTTTATATCAGAGCAATATACCCATTCAATTATTATCTTTAAATGCATACTCATTATGTCAAAAACAACTTGAAGTGTTGTTACGTAGCATGTATAATGGTACAGCCAGACTGGACGCTTATGCACACATTCAGAGGTTAGCTTCATTCGCTCGGATTTCTACCAGATGAACTTTGATGAAGGACAAACTCGCCACATGGATATTATTTTTTATTTCAAGCACATCTCTGGACATGCAAATGGGAGACATTATAATGATATTGGCACACATGATCATGCATCATCACCATGCCCATTATGATCATAATTGTTGAGCTGGTTCACAAAAAATTCGCACAAGGTCGAAAAAGAGAGTCGAGAATTAGTGTACATCTTTATTATTTTACAACTAGTCTGATGGTACATACAGTAAATACAAAACAATCAAATATTTATGTCACTTTAACCATGTAATACATATTTTGTAATTATGCTAAGCGATCCTTAAGGATCAGATTAAATGGCATCGGTGTAAGAATAAAAGAAATGACTGGCTCAAACCCGTGATCCGGGCCTTTGGTGTCAAATTCAATTTTAAACCGTTGTACGACATTTGTGGCGAAGAGGAAAAGGCTGTCCCTTGCCAAAGTCTCTCCAAGACATTGTCGCCTCCCGATTGAAAACGGTAACAGAGCTTCGTGCTTCTTAAACGTCTTTCCATCTGGGCTCAAAAATCTTTCTGGGCGAAAGTTCTCAGGGTCGCCCCAAATTGTTGGGTCGAAATGAATGTGGAAAATATTTGCAGTTATTATCGTGTCTTTTGGTATCAGATAACCGTGAAATTCTTGGTCTTTCATCGCTTTGTGTCCCAATCCTTGTGGTGTAATGGAAGAAAATCGAAGCGTCTCAGCAATCACGGCTTCAGTGTATGGCATGCTAGATATTTAAAAATTTAAGCAATTGTAACATCCGCTTAAACTAGTACATATTCACAAAAAAACTAACTTTGGTCTGTCTGATATGGCGCACATCCTTGAATTTCCGGTAGTGGTTTCAATTTCCTTGTGAAACTTTCTCTGCACCTCAGGGAATTTGCTGAGGTACAGCATCATCCACGCGAGTGTGGAGGCAGTGGTATCCGTTCCAGCGAAGAACAAGTCACCAAGAGTGGCCACAAGATTGTCCTCTATGGAAAAATTATTCTCATATTTTATTTTGCACCGTGCCACTTTCTTCTGTTCAGAAAAAATTCCATACCTCCAAGTTTCCCCATGAATGCAGAATTAGGATCAGTAGTTTTCCTGATTTCTTTTAGGAACACATCAGTAAAGTCTCTACAATATTACATGATTCGCTAAATTAAACTTTTATTCAGACCAATGAGGTGTTTTCAGAAAATTAACCTGTCAAAATCTTCGTGATACGTCTTTTTGTGATCCAACATCGGTTTTCTGCAAGAATCTGCCATCTTAAGAATTTCTCGTTTTACTTTTTCATAGCCGCTCCAGACCGGCATTACTTTAGTCAACCACGGCATGAACAAAATTATACTGCCGCCTTCTTGTACCTCGTGAAATGCTCTACATTATGCATGAGATATTTTAAACCAATAAATTGATGCAAATTCAACTGGAATACGAACTTGTTAACGTCCTCGGTCATTTTAATTAACTCCTCGTCATTCTGCTTGTACTTGATTCCCGTACACAGTGACCACAATGAATTTACCACGGCGAGGGTAAATTTTAGCTTAATATCCTCCAACGGTTTTTCACCGTGCTCTTTTAAACCATCGATAAGCTCGGTAACTTCTGTCATGATGGATTCCTCCATCGTGTTTTTGCCAAATCCGAAGTCGCGAAGTTGTCGGAGAGTAAATCTTCGCAGTTCTTCCCAATGTTCGCCTTCAGTGTTCGCAAGTCCGTGAACTTTTCCATCCATAATGAAATCTATGTTCGAGAAATCCATCCGCCCAGAAAATGCAGGCTCAGCAAAGATTTCTTTCACCAGTTTATAATCTGACACAATGACCATCCTGAAAATGCAGTATACAATTTTAGTGACGTATGTATCTCTAAATAACTCATAGCAGATAGTCCAACCTCATACTGGCCAAGTCAATTTTGCAGATCGGTCCATACTCTTTTGCCCATTTTGTGAATGACAAGTGATTATGCTTATCCTATTAAATAAATAAATACGGGGTTTATAAATACATATTGACGTGCATTTCATTTCAGGTTCAGCAGAAGATGAGGAATGCATGAAACTCGATAAAAATTGCGTGTTCAACTTACCATTTGGAACAAGTTGCCGACCACAGGAAAGCCGCTTGGACCTGTGAAATGCGAATGAATTATCAACTTGAAATTGAAAAAAAGCTAAATTATTTCATTAAAACGCATATATGCATACATACGTACCAGGCGGGGCGTTTTTCCATTTTGGTTTTTTTAAGAACACAAAATAGATGAGTGCGACAAACGCTCCAAGAAGTAAAACTGTTCCGGAAATCATTTTTCCACTAATTTTCCAATCCTATCAACAACTAATTATGCTGCAAAAAAATGGTCTCTGGACTTAGCTTCACGTAATAATTGATACCGATCAGGTTGTATTATAGTCACATATGCACGTGTGCTGTATTTATTTATGTACTGGTGGGTTTCAAATTTTCTCGCAAAAATAAATGGATTGCTTGATACTTGTACTAGATATGTCCACAATCAACCGACAACTGTTAGAAAATCTGTCAGAACTTCCCTTATAAATTGTCAGAAACGCTTATATAAATCTATGTTTGGAGTACACAGATTAATGTAAGATTCACAGTGTACACGATACATTTAACAGACTTATATCAATAACGTGGGATATTTCATGAGATGAGAGGTCTGTTTATTTCCATGCAATGAGGTCGGCGTATCTGTACACAGATACCATTACATATCGCCAAGCAGGATTCAAGGTTGTATTTTGTGTGGACGATAATAAGCTTAAGTGGTCAACCAGTTTTTGCAACGGTTACGAGCGAAACATCTAATGAACAAATGCATGCTTTATAGCTGTACGATTTCAGCCAGATGAACCCTGCTTAACACAAAGGTGACATGCATCTGTGAAAAATGGCAGAAATATTTGTTAAATGGTTACTAATAAAGCGTAACACCAGTGAATTTGCATGCATTATTTTGCCAAATTATTATTATTTTTTGCATAATGCTTTAATTTTTTGTATGCCAATTATTGGGGGGGGGCGTAATCTCCTTTTTCACCCCACCCACCAAAAAAGACAATTTTGTTAATGTCCTTTGAGGATTTAGAGTCGCCTGGATTTCGTCTATCTGCATGGATTTCGTTTCGTCGTTCGTTTTCGTCGTTTTCTTCTCTCTTAAGTAACTGTGGTCTAAAGTAGAAAATAGCCCAAATTTTACAAAATATCGAATGATATTTAGAAAAATGGATGCACTTTGAAAAATATTGAAAAATAATATTCAGCTAGGTGACCAATAAGAGTTGTGGAACACAATCAAAAACGTTAGCACTCATACATATGTAGGTTGTTAAATGATGAAATCAGAAAAAATATCCTGATTAATGACTGACAGACTTGTTAAATTGATATTGTATAATAGCGTAAGTAAGTGCATTTATTTCGTATAGGTAAACCTTTTACAATTATTGTTTCATTATGCCAAGCGATCTTTAAAGATCAGATTAAAGGGCTTTGGTGTCAAGATGAAGGACAGCTTGGACTCAAATCCGTGATCCGGGCCGTTGTTGTCAAATTCAAGGTTAAATCGTTGTACGACATTTGTGGCGAAGAGGAAAAGGCTGTCCCTCGCCAAAGTCTCGCCCAGACATTGTCGCCTCCCGATTGAAAACGGCAACAGGGCTTCATGCTTCTTAAACGTCTTTCCATCCGGGCTCAAAAATCTTTCTGGGCGAAAGTTATCTGGGTCACCCCAAATTTTGGGGTCGAAATGGATGTGGAAAACATTTGCAGTTATAATTGTGTCCTTTGGGATCAAATAACCGTGGAATTCTTGATCTCTCATGGCTCGATGAGAGACTCCTTGTGGTGTAATGGAGGAAAATCGAAGCGTCTCTGCAATCACGGCTTCGGTGTACGGCATGCTATTTAATAATTTAAGTAGTTTTAACATCCGTTTAAACTAGTACATATTCATGAAAACAAACTGACTTTGGTCTGTCTGAAATTGCGCACATCCTTGAATTTCCCGTCGTGGTTTCAATTTCTTTTTGAAGCTTTCTCTGCACCTCGGGGAATTTGCTGAGGTACAGCATCATCCAAGCAAGTGTGGAGGAGGTTGTATCCGTTCCAGCGAAAAATAAATCGCCCAGAGTGGCCACAAGATTGTCCTCTAAGGAAATATTATGTTCTTGTATTTGTCATGCTTTCTTGCACATGAATAAAATTACCTCCGAGTTTTCCATTAAATGCAGAATTAGGATCAGTAGTTTTCTTAATTTCCTTTAAAAAGACATCAGTAAAATCTCTGCAATAATGATGTTAAACAAAATTAGCCAGATTTTACCAGTGTTTAAACTACATAATCCTGAATAATTTACTTCTTCATTTTAATAAACTGACTGACCTGTCAAAATCTTCTTGGTATGTCTTAATGTGGTCTTCCACCGGTTTCCGGCAATAATCTGCCATGTGGAAAATTTCTCGTTTCACTTTATCATAGCCACTCCAAACAGGCATTACTTTGGCCAACCACGGCATGAATACAATTACTCCTCCGCCTTCTTGTATCCCTTCAAATGCTCTAAATAAAATCATCGATTACTTAAAAATCCGCAGCATAGCTTAATTTAGCCCGAGCCAGGTTGTTACAGATTAATAGTTGAGGTGGTTAGTACGACCACTATACAACTCTTAAACCCAACTTCCAAATTAATGATTCTTATGTTTGCAAATCCTACTTGTCCAAAATTTCAAGTCAATTGGATAAGTTTTTCGAGCGTAATTGATAGACAGACAGACAACCATAACGGGTATATGGTACATAAGCCCTGGCTCGGGCTAAAAACGAGACAAAAATGATGTACAAATTTGACTCAAATACGTAAATACGCACTTGTTAACATCTTGCGTCATTTTAATCAATTCCTTGTCATTCTGCTTATACTTGATTCCCGTACAAATTGACCACAACGAATTTACCACGGCGAGAGTAAATTTGGTCTTCATATCCTCCAACGGTTTTTCGCCATATTCTTTTAACCCGTCGATAAGCTCGTTAACTTCCAACATGATGGATTCCTCCATCGTGTTCTTGCCAAATCCGAAGTCACGAAGTTGTCTGAGAGTAAATCTTCGCAGTTCTTCCCAATGTTCACCTTCAGTGTTAACGAGTCCGTGCAATTTGCCATCAAGAATGAAATCAAAATCCTTAAAGTTCATCCTCCCAGAAAATGCAGAGTCAGAAAATATTTCCTTCACCATTTTATAATCTGACACAACTATCATCCTGGAAAAAATTAGGATGCGAGTGAGAAATGAGAATTTAAAGTGTAAATTTCATAGGATCTTCTGACCTCATACTCGCTAAATCAATTTTGAAAATCGGCCCATATTCTTTTGCCCATTTGGAAAATGTGAAGTGATTGTGTTTATCCTAAAGTTCATGCATTATGAAACACGGGGTACATTCAATGAGTTTCAAATTGGAAGTATGTACATATGTAGAATGCATGAAACGGATGGATAAAAATTGTATATAAAACTTGCCATTTGGAATAAATTCCCAACCAATGGATATCCACTCGGACCTGAACGTCACAATGGCGAATAATTTTTAAACATCAACATAGTTAAATTACCTATTTAGTTTGTTTCTCACCTGGAGGAGCGTTTTTCCATTTTGGCTTTTTTAAGAAAATAAAATAAATTAAAGCCACGAAGGATCCAAGAAGTAAAATCGTTCCAGAAATCATATTTCCTCTAGTTTTCCAACCAAATGAGAGCAATCCCTCTAAGCAACTGACTGTGAAACAAAGTGGTCTCTGATCATAAGAAATCAACAAACAGGTAATATTGACGCAGATCAGGCTGTAATGAGTCACTCGCTTTAGCTGTCGACCCCTAAAACTTTTCTATAAAACCTGAATCAAATGTCTTTTTCCACACTTTCGTATACCTGTAATCAACTGACCATGCAGTCTCACAGGATTGAAGCAGGGTTTGCTAACTACATTTATCAACTGGTTGAAATCTGGAAATTGTTTTGAGCAACATTACATGATGAAGTTTTATATCTGGAGATGGCATATAGCACATAATGGCGTAGGTTTATTTATTTCGAAGCGATGATGTCGATCTGTATGTATGTACATCATATCTCGGCAGAATCCAAGGTCGAATCTTGCATAGCCTGGATAATAATGAACTTCAATTGCCCGTGAATTGTTTGTGCCTCGTACAAGGTTATTGCATAAGAATAACGTAATTAGTTTATTTTTTGTCCTCTGGACTCTGAGAGAGTGAGAACTGAGAATGCACATGTTGCATGGTACAAATGTGCAGGATGTATATTACTACTAAATTTATAGAAGGCGTATTTCGGTTTTATCATCATAATGGCCTTTATGACGAGACAAGTTGTAAGTGGCATATGCATAAGCACATCTAAAAATAGTGTTAACTCATTGTAATTATATGCAAAGTGTCCGAAAAAATCCAATAATGCAAACAAAATCGTGTGAATTTCATTATCCAATCATCAATTTATGTCCAATTACAATATTAATAAATTTGTCTCAAATTTCCCAATTAATAATTTCACAATAATCATTGCCAATAAGTTTAACCAATTACAAATGTGTTGTACTTTGATAAGTTTTCGCTTCCAATGTAAATCCTCTCAACAGTCTCACTCTATTCAACTCTAAAAATGTACGCGTCTCACAACGAATAACTAAATACAACTAACAGCTAATGAGGTAAATCGGGACAATTTGCTATTCATCCCACCATTCTCCCTGTGGATGTAATAGTAACCTATTTACAGAGTAATTCACAACCTTTTCATAGCAATAGTGGAAGGAATTAAAATAAAATTCAACATCTGCAAGTTTTTGTAAAAACTTGCCGATGTTGAAAAATTTTAACTACTGGTTTGAACCCCTTCCAGTATTTGCTATCCTCTCACTTATAGTTTTTTAGATATGTGTTGTTCTGTCATCCAATCCTGTCCAAAATCTCCTTGTTTAATTGGACCTGTCTCTGTTTGTTTTGTCGGTGCTTTCTCCTCAAAATCTCCATCACCATATTTTGTCGCAAGATGTCCAGCGAACTAACGATGGAAAGTGAAGAAGTAGCATCCAAACCCTACACAAGAAATACAAATATTCGTTTTTTATAAACCGTGTTCTTATGCATGATCATGTTTCATAATTTATTTCATATGTATTCTTGCATACATGGAGACTGGCTGACGATGCCGCCGCCTCGGACCCTGTCGAGCTGGGGACGCTGATGGACGGAAGACTCAACCGGTGGCTGCTATGATGATGCCCTATGGATCTCGAGGGACGGAGGGGGACGGCTTCGCATGACCCGGCCAAAGTGGCCATCAGAGCGATGGTGACTAGTACCAAGCAACTTATCTTGTTTACTTGAAGCAGTGATGTTGCAAATCCACAACTTCTTCTGATCGGCGAGATATATTTTGTACTTTTGCATATCGATGTGATTTTTGGTGTCAAGTTACACAAGAGGTTATTGAATCTTGCTCTACTACTACCAGTGCTAGCATGATTGGTAAATGCTTGGGATCGCACCACCGACATTGCTACTACTTTTGCTGATGTTGACGAACACTTGGTCACGATTTGTGGGAGTGGAGAAGGGAATTGATAAGAGGAATCTTCTGCCAGGCGGTAAGTCATCTTGAGCGTGATCTTTGTATGAAACTTGGAAAGACTAATAAGGAGAAGAAGAATCCAGATTTTACGTGTATAAAGCCGGGATGGTAGTAACCGAGGTAGTTTTGAAGGTGAAAAGGTTGAATAGCGGGTGACCAGGGTGGATAATTTAATGTATTTTGCAATTTGAGAGGAGGAACTGCAGTAAAATAATAACAAAAACATAAGTTTACAAATATTTAAGAGTTGTAAATTCATATGATGCATATGGAATTTTACGAGGATATGTATGCATATAAGGATGTAAAATCCTTGAAAATAATATCTGATTGATTTAGATGAGATTATGAGATTCGGCTATTCATTGGGTACGGATATGGTTAAGAAATCCATGCAAAAGGCAAGATACAAACAAGGATATTCCAGCATGAAACATGTACATAATCAAGCGCAAAGTGGTGGCAAAATGTACCTGTGAATTGCATCCGAACAAATTTTGTAGTTTGTGAACAAAGCTTATGTATGTATCAAATTTTTTATGAATAAATTGTAGGAATAAACTTTGTTGCCACTTTTAGTCACAAATTTTTGTATCAAATTTAAAAATAGATGTTTTTAGTGAAGGAACGAACTGATGACGGTACGGATTACGAAGAATAGAATAGAAATTGACCGATTGGGGGACACGAGGTAAATGATGGACTGGCCGTGCACAACTAAAATTCCAGTGTCAAGCATTAAATGAATTAAGTAAATAGGCTGGATTGATAAGCCTGCTGGTTAAAATAAAATGATGATCATTGATCGGGCAGGGCAGGGTTGAGAAGTTCAGGTTCGAGATTCCATCCATCCATTTGTATAGCAATGGCAGCAGTGGTTGGTAAGTTCATTTCCACGTCCACCATATCCAACAGCCAACAACTTCCAACCGAACAATTTACAATTCACGGGTGAAAGAGAATAAGTGATGACGAGGTAGAGATGTTGTTTTATTAAATATTCAAATTAGGATTTTATGATCATTCATCATCATTCATTCTCAAACCAAATGTCAACAATATCACGTCAATTGTCAGAAAGGACAATCCCCACGCATTGATGACATGCATGCTTGGCTTTTTGTAGAATGTTCTATCTGGAAGTCAAGTTTATTACATGCTCGTTTTGACAAGCTTGCCATCTTGTTATTCATTTCTGCCTGGATGTATTAGTTGGTTTAATGGTTGATTTAATGGGGGAAGTTTGTCGGATAATCCATTATCAAAAAGTTATGCAACACAAGTGAATTACCGAAGGAGAGTTCATTCTGGGCCAAGTACTGATATACTAATAAAACTGACGCCTCTGCAAAATCTCGAGATGAGCGACCTTTCGATAAGAAAACCATTAATTGCTAATTAAAGTTTAATTACAACCCATTCCAATTATAGTTTATCACATTTTATTAGCAAATATATATCGTTAATTTCACATGAGTACCTCATTATAAACAAGTCACTAATAACCTGTTCATTTATTTATGTAAGTACATATATAATACATCTAATGAGTACTTTTTCTCAATCCGGTTAAAACTGCTATATATTTCAACTTTAAACTTAGTTATTTTCTATCAATTAAAATTTTGAATTTGATTAATATGTATAATGAGCAAATATTTAATTATAATGGAAATTTTCATGGCTTATGTGAAATTAGAAATTATTAATTCTATTTATGAAATGAACCGATGCAAAGGAAAAGTAGTAAAATTATAACTCAAATGAGAGTTTCAATTAAATCATGTAATTAGCATTATTTGCTGTGTTAAATGTAAGCAAAATAAATTGCATTATTTCCAAATAATATTTATGCAAAGTGTGTTATGCACCGTCTCAACGACAGTCTCATTTATTGCAACTTTTATCCAATAGTTGTACGCCACATAGAAGTTTCGCAAACCCCAACTTGAACAGACTGATTCCCAAGTTTTTGTTACAATAAAATACTTTTTCATTTTTTTCATAGACAAATTTTCAAATTAGAAAATTTTATAAAGTATTCGATTCAATTCAGCAGTTCCAAACGCACGTGTAATAAGATTTTCTCATAAGTTGTAAAATGAAACAATTTACAAACGGCGTTGAACAATTCACATTATTTTTACTTTTCACTTTACTCATTACATTCACAAGCGGTGATGAAGATAAAAGACCAAGTCCTCCTTCAAATCAGGAAAATTTCGAATTTGAACAATACGGAGTGAAATATGCATCTCCTTGTGAAGGTAATTAAATATTTAATTTGTAGATCATAAAACGTCAAAATATTGTATTGCCTAATTTTGTTTCAAGCATGCAAAATTACTGCATTTGAATTGGAAGCAAAACTATTTGAAACGGGTAAAAATGGCGAAATGCTCACAACTTCTTATCACATCGACGCCACGAAAGAGATAAAACGGAAAGAGTACAAGAAAAGTCAGGTGCGACTGATTGAGTCACTGGAAACGGCGTGCGACGGAATCCTGACCTACAGTCTCCACAAAGTAAAGAATCATCATAACTTTTTACTGACGCTTTTTAGCCTAAAGTTTAATTAAAATACAATTAGAAATCATACATGCTTATGATATAACGAGACAAACATTAAAAACAAAATTGCAGACAAGAAAATCAGGTTTTTCATGTAATTTTTAGGAACGGCAAGACTCCACACGATTTGCCAAGGGTCAGAGTCAAACTTTTCAAACGCTTCATGGATTAGTGTAAGTCAAAAGGAGAATCAAGTAATTACGACCCCGAAGGCCTAATATTTAGCCTAATAAATATTATTCTACAGGGCCAAAGGGGTCAAAGTGGATTTAGGAATGCCGTACGAAATGTGGGACAAGCCACCAGCAGAAGTGACGGATTTAAAAGCAAAATGTGAACACCTACTTGAAAAGTACGAGTCTGAAATTGAGGATTGGTACAACGAGGGTGAAACTGTCCCCTTGAATGACTTCCTTTGCAAAAACCTCGTCCTCAAAGGTAAAGATGATAAATGCTTGTCAGAAAAAATTGGATTACCACCACCACCCGCAGAAGCACCAAAAACAAAGAAGAATCAAAATGTAAAAAAGGCTGAGTTGTAAAGTTTTATGGGGATTTTATAAGCCCAACGATTTTGATATTAAGATGCATTATAGTATGTATGTAAATGTGCCATTATTACCAAGTATTATTGCTGAATTTGCTAACTTACCAATATGTACAGTAAAATTATTTATTGAACAAAATGTCCTTTGATACCGATATAAATTTGCCAGAATTATTTATTTATATGAACCAACAAATGAATACAAATGATAAATGAAAATCGTGCAAAACAAAATGTCATCATTATTTTATGATAAGGAAGACGTTCTTTATTTTCATTTTTATTTTTCAGAAAACCATCTCTTATTCCTTTCTTTTAGACATATCTACTACTCATGCACGGTACATTACATTATTACCAACATCTCCACTTCACTCCATCCTTCTCCTTGATAATTACAAGTCTATTTATGTATACGTACGATGAATGACTTGACGCTGAATTATGAATAATTCTACTCGCATACATTTTAAATCCGACACTAATTCGGATCTCGTTTCCTGTACGCACACAGAAAAGGACTGATGATTAATAATACTATATAATCCAATTTCATTAATGGGACAGTGTTTTTTTAATAAATATTGTTAATAGGTCAATCACACATTATATGAAGAAACCCATCAACTAATTGGATTTCGGGTTCGGTTTGATTAACATCAAACATAGTAGCAAAATAGAATATTAAATGCTAACTACTATAAGCTAAACTATTATACTTAATCCGTAGCGTATCTCAAGTAAGTATTAATTAATCAGAGGCAATCTTTACGAATAAAGTGAGTATAATAATAACACAAACGAGAAACGAAATATAATATGTGACACACATTGACTTTCTACTACGGATGGACATGATTGTATTTTGAAACAGTCGTGGTGAAAAAGTATGACGTATAACGAACTCAATAGTAACAAAATTTGGGTTTACATACACATTATATAAATTACTCCCATGAGAAGGTACGAGAAGGCATCACAAATTAAGTCATGATATATGTATTTATATCTATATTTCAAATTCTTTGGGCACATTCAACAGTATTGAAATTAAAAAAAAAAACAATAATGATTAATGGAACAATACTTCTTTATCATCAATGTCGTTGGTGGTGTTGTTACATAGAGAAATTCACGAAAAACTGCTCATCAATATTCATACATGACATGACATCCCCTGCAAATAATATCACCTCTCATCCACTCCCTGACTTGTGAAATTCGAACGCCACCATAGGCAAGATTAATGAAGGCCTCTCTTTTTTCTCACAGATCAGAGATGAGTCTACACAAATAAAAAAGAAATAACAAAAATCAATAAGTAATAATCAAGTCTGAGTCTGAGGTTCATCAAAGAAAGTTGAACTGGAAAATTGGACAGTACGTGCTTTGTTGTGTAACAAAAAGAAAAAAAAAGTTCACAGATAGTTATCAACAGTGCGATGCGATTCGTAATAATTACAAAAAACTAACCAGTAGAGAAGTAAGTATATACGCATCACTATAACCTAATAAACTGAGCAAGTCCAAGAAACCAACTAGTTAGTAATTTTATAAATACTGATATCACCGCATGTCCAATGCAATTATCATTATTATTCTTATTTAGGTCATCATGCAGTTAAATGGTTGAGTACACATTTTATGTATGTACAAGTAAGATACAAACAATATGGTTAGCAGCCACATTACATATAGTTGCCGGTACGGGTATTATCTCAGAATAATAATGGCAAATGTATATATTTTACACAATAATAATTATCCTGCTATCTACTTTCTCTCTGTGGATTGATCAGGTCTTCATTGGTTGAAGGGAGATTTGATTAGTTCTCATGTAATCTATTAACCTGATTTTATTAGCACTAATATAAAGTTTTGATTTATGATTGTGATATTTTGACTGATAATCTAGTTGATAATTTTGATAAGGATTAGTTTCTATAATTAGAATATTCGTAATCTCTTACACTGACTGTTGTATATTAAAAGCTACCTGTTTCTCGACTGACTCTGTCACGTAGAATACTAATTTTTTTTTCGCAGAGGCTACAGAATGTTCAGTTTCAGATTTATGTGTATAAGCACTGTACTTTTTTGTAATACAGTTTTTTGAATGAACAAAAGTTTTCTTTCCCGACAGCTTGATTGACCAGCCAAATAGATATTTTTTAAAATTACTCTACTTCGTTTGTCAAGAAAATTTGAAATGTTTCTTAATTTAGTGTTTAGATATTTTCATTGGTATCTAAATAGAGCAATATTTAGACAGAACAGACGCTGCTTTTGCGTATGAAGACTTTCTATTTACTACGTTCTTTTTTCTACGCTTCCCTACTTGTATTCGTTTAATGAAAGCGGATTGATAGACAGTGAATTTGATTTGTTTTTGCTCAAGCTGCAGATGACAAGTACAGGAAGACAAGACGAGAATAAGAGGAACACATAAATACGCACGCACTACTATTTACCACGACACAATAAACATTATCGCTGATCGTTTTTTAGACAGAAGACATTGTCCTAAATAGATTACTTTTTTTATAGAGGCGCTGTCGTTTAATAGTAAAACAATACAATAGGTTTGCTGCATTCCACCATCAGGAAACATTGACTACATTCACACCACCAGGAATAACATGCACAATAAAGAGTATATACGTATACATATATTTAAAACAGCAGAGTTAAAAATTCCTCCATAATTAGGCCCGTGTTGAAAAGAAGAAGAAATGCAGCAATCTCCAAGTATCGAGAATCTCACTTCCTGATTTTTTCAAGTCATACCATTTCATTATCGTTTTCATGATCCGCTTCTAACTTTGACTTGTTCTTATCACCACTGCTTTCACTCTTGATTGGTGTAGTAGGGCAGCCTGAAAAATATAAATGGACACACACGTTTTAGTATTACCGTTAACTTGATGCAGTGAAAACGACTACAAACAAATATTAAAGCAATGTGCAAAGTATATCAGTGATTAATACACAATAATGGCACAACAATCTTGTAGTAGTGCTAATAATAAACATGTACAGAAAAAGTGCAAAAAACTCCAAATTACTTTCATCCTCACCGAGATCACCACTACTCGAGGACTCTGTGAAAGAAGGGGTGCCTTCTGTCCAAGTGGGTGTCGCAGTTCTATTCATATCATGAGCTCCGCTGGGTGGGGAACGAGTCATGCGATGACTTGAACTAACGCCGGAAGTCGTACTTCTTGAAGATGCTACACTTAAATTTGAACGATAATCCCGTCTTGTTTCTACATAGACTTCCGAGATGCTAACTGTTTCAGTTTCGCCCGTCGTCTTAGAAGACGACGATGACGAAAAACTTCCAACAACTTGATGCCTCGGATTTATTATTGAAAATTGAGTACTAGGTTTGCCTGGGTTTGGATTACTTTCTTGGAATGGTGGGGGTGGAGTACTCACGGGGAGTGGGGCACCCTCATCTATATTAAATAATAAATAAATAATAATTAATGTCTGATACTTGCTAGGAAATCAAATACGTATGTACAAAAATTAGCAAATAATAAAATGTGATTCTAAATTTTGACTACTCGTTGTCTCTGTTGATTCAAGTTAATTGGACTTGGGATTTCCTAAGATGGAGCTACATTTGCATTTATATAAAAGTATGTATACTGTACAACATGTAACACATATAATCGTAAAAGCGAAAGAAGTTTACGACATGGACAAGACGAGAATCAAGAAAGAAGTGTTTTTCAGATACATAAATTAAGCTGAATAAAATTCACTTTGTTATCGGTAAAAGCAACCAAGCAAAATTGTACGAAACAATAACATTTACAAAAAATGTTGAATGAAATGTCGGATGATGATGTATTACGTTATATTACGGTTTCCAAACCTTTTCCGCCTCCACTATGACCTTCTGAGCCGCCGTTGTTCTTTTTCGGCGTTCTTGGTGGTACTGGTGGAGGAACTTTTTGTCTCGTTGACGCTGTTCTATCAGATCTCTCCTGGCTCAGGACTGCCGGGAAGGAGGATGGTTGTTGAGGCGGGGGTGCGGCTGCTGGCGGAGGTGGAGGCGAAGTTGCTGACGAAGACGAACTAATTTCATGTTGTTGAGCATTTCCACCACTCCCACTCGCTGTCCCTTCTAGCTCTCGCTCTCTTTGTTCGCGCTGCTCGCGTTCCTTTGCTGCTTTCTCTGCAGCAATTATTTGTCGTAATATGGAGGCTCCGGGTGGATTAAGCGATGAAGATGTAGGAACAAGCGCCCCTGCAACCAAACAGCAACCATACCCCAACGTGTGACAAAGCAGTTTAGAGAGAAACAAACAGAGAAGATAAGAGAGAAATTAAAAGTAGAAAATTCCTGCCCCTTGTAATAATTAAAGATTACGCGAGCGGCGTAGCCGCGAAGCGTAATCGCAATTGTATGAGCCTTCCGGAATCGGAAGGCGTCATATAGAATACGGGTAGTAGTACGGATATACAGCCAGGAAGGTGGATATACGTGTAAAGATAAAGAAAAGAGGCTCTCTCCCTCCAGCAGCACGTCGTCTCCTTCATTACGTTTAAAGTAGAATCCGTTGAGAAATGTATTGGGCTTGGGTGGGGGGGACTGACGCCTTCCGATTCCGGAAGGCTCATACAATTGCGATTACGCTTCGCGGCTACGCCGCTCGCGTAATCTTTAATTGCATTTCGCCTTCCTCCATCTATCGGCGTCATATAGAATACGGGTAGCTGTTTAAAGAATTTCGAAACGGATAACAGTACTGCGTTATGTTAAACATAAAACAATTTAATTTAATACTGCCGTAGCGAAATCAGTAACATCATCACAACTTCCATTATAAAATTTACCGAATATTTTAGACTTTTTAGACCACCCAGCGTTATTATATATAGAATTTATATTAACAACTTTTGAAAATGCTTTACTAGTGGAAGAGTGTCTATATGAATGAGATTTGTAAATTGATGTATCAACTCCAGAAATATCTAGAAGTTCTACCAGCCACATTGATATGGTTTGTGAGCATACTTTTGTGTGTGGTTTAACAGTTGAAATAAATAACTGATTGTCCTTTCTAATTTGCTTAGTGGCATCTAAATATGCTTCAAGAGTTGATTTGACACATAATTTCTTGCTACGTTTGTATGAGGGAAGAACAATACATGGTTGGTTCACCCCTTGATCAGAAGATTTTAATCTTGCTGGTACAAAATTCTAATTATATCTTTAGAGTATTTAATATTTTCTACAGAAATAGCGGTTAAAGTTTGGACTCGTTGTCCTGATACTAAAGCCAACAAGCCACTTAATTTCAGGGATAACATTTTTAAGCTTAACTTTTCATTATTTTCTAAAGAATTAATCTTATTAAGAACATCATCAGCATTCCATGTATGCGAATATTTAGCAGCCGGTGGCTTTAGTTTACGAATCCCCTTAATTAATCTGGTTACAATAGGATGTTCACCAATATTATAGTTATCAATTTTTGGTAACAATAAACTACTTCTTGCACAATTTACCGAAGAGTAACTAAGCTTGGAGTCGTGTAAGTGGGCTAGGTAACTTAATATAATATCAATTCTCGGAGTATTACAATTATAGCGTTTTTCCTTACAATATTTTATAAACTTTTTATACTGTGAATCATAATTTGCCCATGTGGTTTTCGAACAAGAAGCTGCTAATAACTTTACTACATTTGGTTCAAATTGTGAAAATTTTTCTTCGAAACTTTGGCTGCCAGTAGTGTTGTTTTGAGTGACAATTCGTGGGGCCTATTAATATGCAAATAAACCATTAAATCATTGCTTGGTGGCAGTTCAATATAATTATTTTTGCATAATTTCAAAAATAATGAAAACCAAGGCTGAGCCTCCCACTTAGGAATTACCACAATCCCAGTTGCATCATCAGAAACAATTTTCTTAAATACTCTACCCACTAAACTAAACGGTGGAAAAGCGAAAAAGGAATCTGTCCATTTTTGAGAAAAAGCATCCACGCCTTGACATCCTTCACAAGGATACCACGAATAGAACTTATCGCATTTTGTAGATAAATTACTAGCAAAATAATCAAATTGTGGAACACCAAATTCTTTGCAAATTAAATTATACGATTTTTGTGAGAGAGAAAAGTCAGAATTGTCTAGAGCCATACGTGAAAGCTCATCCGCTAAAAAGTTATCAATCGTTGAAATATAAGAGGCAAATAATATTATATCTCGACTTTCACACCATTGCCAGATTTCACGGGCTATCTCATTACATTGACGGGAGCGAACTCCTCCATATTTATTAATATAAGACAATGCGGTTGTACTGTCAGTTCTTATTAGTATTTTAATTGAAGTCCTGTTTACGAAGGCTCTTAATGCATTTTGTATAGCTTTCAGCTCAAGAACATTAATATGTAAATTTAAGTCGGCACCTGCCCAGAAACTCTGATAAAACTGATAAAACTAGTTTTATCAGATTCCGAATGTGCTCCCCATCCGGAAAGTGATGCATCAGTGTACAAAACTTGGTCATAAATATCGTCCCTAATTTTTACTGGTGTTAAATGTTGTTTATTTGTCCACCATAGTAAATCATTTATCGCCCAAACGGACAAGGTTACTTTTGCGTCATACAGCATAAGCCACGGCTGGAGTGCATGAATTTAAATATCCTACCAGTTCTGCTAATTTCTGAATTGTGTTTTGTGGTTGCTTAATCCAATGTTTTACAGATTTTATTATTTTCTTTTTTGTTGCATGGAAGCTCCAGCGTCTTGTGAGTGAGTTAAAAAGTAGCCCCAAGTATTTTACTTCCTGTGAGGGTAAGAGTTGAGACTTTTCTAAATTAACTTGAACACCTAAATTTTGTAACCAGTCCAAAACTATTCTTGTGTATTTATCACACTCTTGTTTATTGCAACCCATAATGAGCAAATCGTCTAAGTATGTTATCAGCATGATTACTCTACTTCTCAAATAGGATAATAAAGGTTTCAAGATCTTTGTAAATATTCTAGGCGCTGTTGACAATCCAAAGCAAAGACAGTTATATTGATAACGTTCACCATTCCATTCAAAACAAAGATATTTTCTGTCATTTTTTGAAATGGGCACTGAATGATACGCGTCCCGTAAATCAATCACTGTCATATAACAATTAGTTTGCATCATATAACAAACTGTCCTACAGTCCTCCATCTTAAAATGAGTGACAGGTAAATAAGAGTTTAAGCTTTTTAAATTAATTATTAATCTATATGATCCATCTGGCTTAGGTATGGGAAAAATTGGAGACAGAAACTGTTCCTCATTTGGACTGACTTTTTCTACAGCATTAATTTTTAACAGTTTAGTAATACACATGTTTATAGAGTTTTGTTCTGTTTTTGTAAATTCTTTCTGATGAGGGACTTGCGATTGTCGTGGTTTATACAAGAAAGGTATTTTATAACCTTTAACAATTGACAATACATGACAACTATTGGTTATTAGCTTCCACTTTTCAATATATTTAGATATAGCACCTACATTTAATACCTTATCTACTTCTGTTGGTATTGCTGGTAATTGTATACCGCATTCCAGTTCCACGTCGGAGTAAATTTGTAACCGTTTTTGAATTCTTAATAGTCTCCGGTAAATAATCTCCGAAAAGGTATTCACCCGGAGTTGTGGAGCAAATTGCAGCGTAATTTGGCGAAAATAGCGGTTTTATTGTTTGCATGCGTTTTTGATTGGATTCTCTGAATTCCATTGCGGACACTGTCGCTTCGTCCAGACATATTTTCAATATTGTTTCACTTATAGCCCGAATTGTTGAACATACTGCATCTTATACGATTTGAGAGCTGCGACCATAGTTCTGGATTAACCTTTGGCACATTCAAGAATTTGCAATTCTCTGGTGTCAATAATTTGCCCTATAGTTTGTCCACTAATTCTTTTGTAGTCTTTTGGGACAATATTCCTGACATTCGATGTACAACGGCAGCATTAACCTCTGGCCCGAAAGATTCATCTTTGTCTTGAGCATTCAAAATATCCAAAATTTCAGGATTTATGTTATCGAGGTATGTGCTTTCTAATATTTAAAACAAATTTTAGAACTCGTTTAGTAAAACTTTATAAAAAGGTTAAATTGTGGTTTGTACCCTTATTCTGAATAAGTAGATCACTAAGATCAGATTCATCTCCAAGTTCATTAGCGCCTTGATGTTTGTTTATATTTGTATCTGAGTTCGTACTGGGGGTGGGACAGGTTTATTTTTCTCCGCCTCAAAGTCTTTTTGAGATTGAAAGGAAGCTTTCAGCTCATCCAGTTATTTTTGCAATTTTGCCAATTGAGATTTAGACTTTCTAGTCTTTTTCTTTGTCTGGTCATTCTCGTCAGATTGAGATGCCATAATTAGCTGTGAATAATTCTAATTCAAAAGCATTTTAATTTACTTTGTATAAAGTATTATCTTTGCTGAACAATGCAGCTTTAATAATCGGCTGAACTATGCAGCTTTAATAATCGGCTGAACTATGCAGCTTTAATAATCGGCTGAACTATGCAGCTTTAATTTGCTAGTCAAGTAGCAGTAATTGGCTGGACAATGCAGCTATAAATGGCTGATCTATGCAGCTTTGTTAACCTCCTTTGTACCAAAGGGGTTGTGGGTTGTAGAAATTTTTTGAAATGAAAAAACTATTTGTACCAAATAGTTAGCCCACATTTATAATTTGGACAAATTATCCAATATTGTTTTAAAATCTCGAGAAAACTACTTCATATTACCCACGGATTATACTTACCAGTTTTTAAGATGTCCAGAGTCTGAAGTTCAGTCAAGTATCTTCAAAAATTTCAGTTAATTAAAAAAGTTGGGGAGAGAACTCGTCACCTTCCTGCTATATTTTCCGTAATGAAGGAGACGACGTGCTGCTGGAGGGAGAGAGCCTCTTTTCTTTATCTTTACACGTATAGCCACCTTCCTGGCTGTATATCCGTACTACTACCCGTATTCTATATGACGCCGATAGATGGAGGAAGGCGAAATGCAATTACTTAACACGTATGTGATTTTTTTAAGCGTTTAAATTTTAGAGTAAAGCTAACTATACGAGTTTCATATTTCATAAGTCAAACCTACCATATTAGCTACTTTTCTAAATAAACACCGCATTTTTTTTACAAAAGTCTTCTTAGTCAAACTGGACAGGACATTACAATATTTATGCAGTTTGTTTTAAACACTCCTTATATTTAGTATTAATCACAAAATTTATAAAAAGACCAACTCACCACTCAATCCGTCTTGGCCGTCAGACTGATCTCCTATGAGTTTACAATATGTATGATAAAAGGGAATACAAAAGGCAAGATATATCAGCTTATTAGACAAGATAAGCTTACCTGAAGGTCTTCCCCTCGTTCCTCCCGATGAGCGTTTTTTCGAAGGGGAATGTTTCAAGGCTGAAATATGAAATAATTATTAAATTTCGTCCCTAATGCAAATTCTTTTTTGGTGATACCTACAAAAATATAACGTGCTTAAACAAGATATATAATGAACTAAAATTGATAATCCATTCCGCTCTTATTAAGAATTATGTAATATACAGTAATCCTCATAAAAAGACATAAGGACTACAACAGACAACTAAAATTTAATGAAAGTAAAAGCAAGCATGGTAAAGTGAAAGTTGTTATTAGTTGACATTACTCGAAGATGGCCTTTAAATATTTTTTTTAATCATGCAAATAAGACGCCAAGGAAAAATATTCATAATCTCATAATAGTAATAATAGACATTTCCCGACAAGAATAAAAAATAAGTTTCTTGCAATAAAAAACGTTATGCGTCGTCAAAAAATAGATACAAAAATAAAATCAGAGGCAGTCAGTGTACAATCTAGTCTGATTGAAAAGGTGTACCTATAAACGTCGAAACCAGGCTACGGAATTTACGATGATTTCCCTTTACTTCAGGCATATCCACTACAATGGTGATGATATGGTTTAAGTGGAAGTAGTAGGAGCAGAGGTAATTTTTACGACATGGAGAATCATACGAACGATTGAACGAACGACAGTCAGCAGCAGGAAAGATAGAAACAATGAAATCATCATATTATTAGACTCTAAATTCTAAAATATCTACACAAGCAGATACAGATTTGTTTGGGGTCATCCATTAAATATTACACTCCCGCTTATTAACGACCCCAAAAACATTTTACTTGTATAAGCATTGTATTTTTTAGAATGATTAGTAAATTTCCCAGTTGATAATTTAAAGCGAAGCCCAAATTTGTTGGTTCTTAATTCTTAGTATTCTCAAATATTGCATATACATACGTTACATATCATCAGGCAGTTCATAATGACGTTATTTTGGACATTATCATGTTCTTATTAAATATTTGAACAAATAATACAAACAAAACGATATTGTGTAAAGCTTACGTGAAGGAATCTTCTTAAACACCGTTTTTGTCATAAAGTTCATAAATCTTTCAGCATAGAATCCTGGCCGATGAACAGAGACCGTGTCCTGGGGGAAAACAAACAAAAAACAAGCATGAAATCCTTTGATTGCTCTTTCCTTAATGAAACACAGAACTAGATATATATCAAAGATCTCTATTTGCACACTCTTCACATCCGAAAATCAAGAGAAGTAAAGCGATAGAAAGAAGGGCTGGAATTGGATTAAGCAAACACCAAAAGAGATGAGGACATGTCAATACTGACATAGCACATGCCCACCCAGAGATTGCCAACTAGTTACAATATATGTACGTGGTAGATGGATATATGCTTACCCCATCATGAAGCATTGCTTTAAACGTGTGCTCGAGTTTCTTTCTGAGTCGGTAGCTTTGAAGGATATCAATTATTCCGAGAAAGAGCAGCAACCTTTCTCCTTTAGAGTTCCTCGCAGGTATTCCACCGGGTCTTAAATAATAAATAAATTCATTACATTTGCATTCCTTCATCAACTCAGCAATCATCAAAGCACCGTTTGTATTTTCGTACTTAAAAGAAAGAAGATCAAGACGAATGTTTTTTTTCAAAATCATTTTCAAGAACACTTACGGAACGTCATCTTCCGCGTCGATGGGTTCACTTTCAGCCTGAATACTCTCCAATGCTGGTAACGAGAATTAGCATTAATTAAACGGGGAATTGTAATACCCTGGAGGCTACGTAGGACATTGAATCGGTAACGGTACTAATTTCATCTGCTTACCTGTCGAGTGAGCGACTAGTCTTTGACGATTGATTGATTTACTGCGACTCAGTCCAGAACCCGGTGAAAATTCGGTATCATCGTCATAATCATCATCATCATCCCCATCACTCTCTGCTCTCTTTGCTCTCCTCTCCTGCAGGCAAACAACAAAGACCAATTTAATTATCCATCCATCCGTTCGATACAGAAGGACAGAGCAAACAAAGTCGAATAATGCACAGCGAGGAACAGCAGGGATCACATTGAATGTTTACACAAGTAAAATATATACGCAATTTGGATAAAATTAGACAGACTCACAGCTTTCTCTTTAGCAGCAAGGTCGAGATTATGTACACCAACGAGCAGAGAATAATCCATGATTTTAAAACTCTGAAGTACGCGACAATCTCGTTCCATGGTTTTTATTAGAGCGTTACATGTATCCGATTCTAAAAGGATGCCTTCTGGGTGTTTTTCCATAAAGTCCAAGTCTTTAAATGTGGGATATGCTTTCTGACACTCCTTTTTAGATGCCTGCAAAAGGATTACCAGAATCAATAAAGGAAAGTGTTTCACAAAAGTGAAAGAAACCCAATTTTGAATCATGTCTCTTACCTTTCTTTTATACGTGGATCCTTTCAAATCGTACTTTTCGTGCATTTTCACCGATGAAGGCAATAAATTATTCATTACACATAAACGAACGTTTTTCGAGTTACAAATGTAATTAAACAATCCGAAAAACTTGGGAAGTAATGTCCTTGGGTTTTGATTTAAATTCATGTAATATCCTGGTAGTAATTTTTGCAAGAATTCACACTCTTTATGCATCACAGTTTTCACTATGAACTCGTCGTCAGTCGTTAAATAAAATATACTTCCACTAGCTCCAGGATTAGATAATTCTCTCATTGGTTCACTACACATGGACATCTTGAGAAACAACAAGTAATAACTTATAAATGACATCATGTGTGCATAATATTTTTCTGGTTTTCTTAACTTACAAGAAAATCATCAGGTTGAATACCAAACAGGTCACGAAAATATCTAAATGCGATGGGTGCATATGTTTTATATTTAAAATCAGTGTAATGATGAGCAGGAGTTGAGTTAGAGCCCCCCGGAGGAAAATAAGTTTGTTCTACTGTCATGAAGTCCTGAAAGCAATAAACACAAGTTGAAGTTTTGTTTAACTTTTGTTTTACTTTGGATGAAAGCAAAGGACACACCTGCATCAGCAAATCTCTTTCGGGTTTAGAAGCTGCGAATTAAATGAACCAAGACTTTATTTTATTATATATGTCATGTCATAAAAGCGAGAAGAGAATTAGATGACACATTTTATCGTCAAAAACCGAGTGGAAAAACAACTTAAGAAAACTTACCTAGTCCTCCAATTGCATGTTGAATGCCGAGTTGGATTGACCCCATGATTTGTGAAGTCTGGATTTTTTTATAAGTGACATCTCCGCCCTCAGTAATCCTTCGATGACCAAGTTTCTTTTCTCTTTCTGATTTACTTCTCGCAACCGTAACTCGTCCAGCAGTCCCCAACCCGGTCGCTGTTGAAGGACCAGGTGTTGAAGGACCAGGTGTTGTTTTCGGACCCCCAGTACTGTTGTTGATGGTGGTCATCTGTAAAACAAATAAAAAATCATAATTGTAGTTGTCAGGAGGCATGTAATAAATGAATGTTTGACTGATTGAACCCATACCTCAATAGGAGGAGGCCGCGACCCTTTTTTCCCGTCTCTAAATTGTCCATCGTCACTGTTTAGGTCCGTGATGTTTCCTTCATTGTCGATGGAGACGGCTTTAGAGTTGGCCTTTCCATCTGTATAGTTTAGATCCATCTTCCCCACTGCTACCGCCATCCTGGTGCACGAAGATCAGGAGGAAGATGTGTTTGACTAGGTTTTAATCCTGTAAAAAATCGAATAAAGTACTTTTATTATTAGTCAAAAAACAAAAAAACGATGAGGTAAAATTACCAAGTCAAAATTACAACTAGAACTTAATTTATGACGAGTATCTTTACCAGTTGTAGTTAAATAAATGCGGTCCAGCACAGTTAAACTGATTGCTGCACTCTTGCAAGGTTTCTAGTATATAATAATTTAATAATGGATAGAGCAGAAGATCGAAGGACAACTTGTGGTCTAACAGTCTAGCTTAGGATTAGATAGCTGCTCTGAAATTAACGGTCCAGCAGTGAATATTCTCTGTTGTAGTTTAGTTAGTTGCATGCTAACTGATATGTTATGCATTTTACAAATGCCGTTCAACTAATACACATAGGTACATAGCTATCTGAAATTCATAACGTCATCAGAGCTAACAAGTGAAAGGGCGAGACTAGTAGTTTGTAGTACGCATAGTAGTATGTTACTAAATCAATCAGAGCAATCCTATCAGACTCATCATGCTTCAGTCTCTAAATACCAAATGTTATTTTGGGAATATCATGTGAACTGGAAGCCCTATTAGCAATTGAGTAAAGGTTCAGCTCGTCATCATGAACTAAACTAAATTAACGAACCAGCAATACAAAAATTATGTTGCTTGCACACAGAAAAAAAACTACTAAAGCGTGATGAGTGACAGAAACCATATTATTAATCGTGAGACTCTCAAATAGGTCAATTAACTGATTCAATAAGTATTTAATCGATGGATGGATTACAATGTTACTTAATACATAATGTTTAGACCCACCTACTGTTTCCACTTTTGAATCTCAATCTTGGAATTTCGAAAACCGGCCTATGTCCGCCGACCTGATGCATTTATATTCTTCAAACACCAGCCAATCACGTTATCAAGAAATCGTAGGCATAGCAGTAGAGCTCATTTTTATAAATAACAACTTGCACTTTTTCTGCACCAACGCCCACTCACTTACTCACTTGATTTGAAATCCAGAATGAAAATGGAAGCAATCAATAATCAAGTGGAAACAAAATGTCGATTTACACACACACGCAAACGACACAACTGTTTTCCACTGTCAACAACTACTTGCAGCTTTTTCTTTCTGGGTTTGTTTTCTCTTTCTTTCGTAATTAATTGAGAGTAGATTCATCCAATTGCAAATACCTGTGACATAAAAAATCAAAAAGGTAAATACTAATTGCAATACAAATACAATGTGAATTGACAAACATTCATGTTGCTATAAAGGGAAAAAAACTTACCATCGTATTCGTCGATTTCAATTTAATTTCATCCAAAAATGTAGTTAGTCACTGATTTAAAACCTATCGTACAAACTGTTGAGACCATTAACTAAAAACAGACAATAAAGAATCACAATTATTACTTTTGTCGATCACACACATACTTTAAAGCTTGCAGTTTGGAATCACTAGTTCCAATGATTATTAATCACACACAAATCAAGATTCGCTGAATTATTTACCTACTCCTAATGCTACCATATCATCATCGCCCCATGTAACAAAACAGTGGAATAATTCCACCGATTTTACAAACCGTGGTGTATATGGCAGATTAGCAGATGATGTCTTAACCATCAACCACGTACTCAGTTATACTAAACCTAAGCCTCTCTCGATACTTGTTGTGATGAGAAACGAGGACACAAGCAGTTTCTTCTGTGCTTGCACGAAACGAATACACAGATTCAACTCAACACCACGATTTTGGTTTTGAGAAGAGGAAATGAAACGGTGAGATGATGAGAGTGAGAGTAACACCCTTCGCTATAGATCAAGTCCACCTCCACCCTGCACCATCTAGTTCAACAAAACTGCAGAGATCAACCTTTGACTGAAGGCAACAGTATATAAAGAAGGAGAATGATATCACATCATCACATACCCGGATTCGAGAGAGCTGGTTTTGCTTCATAAAACTGAAAATGCTATTGTAGAGCTGTTCACAAAGAAATCCACAAATATGAGGACCTGCAGAGTAAAAATGTAAAATGCGTGTCATATTTTTCAAAATAATGTTAAATAATGCAAATAAAAAGGAATTACTGGTTCAAGGAGTCCGATTGAAGTAAAAGAAACCGATGAAAATGCTAAAAACCCCAAATTCTGCTATCAGATTAAAGAGTTAATAAAAACTGCCTCTTCCGTGTGATTCCCCTACTATTACAAATTTTATGTATTCTCCAAGGTCCTATGGTCGAGGCATTATAATTAAAGCCAGTTTTACTGCCTTTCTTATGTAAAAATGGCTTTAATTACAATGACTCGACCATAAAATTCTCATAAAAACAAACACCTTTTTGCTAAGAAAACTTTTCAAAATTACAAATCCTAACAATTCTGACGATTTTTAAAAACAACAAGATTTACTATCGACGAAAATTTTGCCGTAATTTCAGAAAAAAATTCAGAGAAAGTTAATTACTAAAAAAATTTAGTAGTTTGTTATTGTTTGCCCATTCGAAAAGTGAATTTTCCCACCAAAAATTGAGTCTCTTTCTGGCCTGTACATTTTCAACCTTATGATTTTTTTCTGCGTTACTTACAAATGCGTAAATGAAACGCCGAATCATTGTCGGCATATCTGTCGGTTTCGGCATTTTTCAAAGAAATTTGCTCAATTTCCTTTAAAAACTACTTACTTTTATACTAATTTTGCCGAAAACTATCACATTTGGTCTAAAAATTTACACCAAACATACAAAACAATAATTACATCCTTCCACAAAACTCTAAACATTTCGAAAATTATCTTTTCTCTTTGAATTTGTACTTTTAGACGTGAAACTTATGCACCGACCTCAGCTGACTATATATTCTCTATATAGAGAAGGAGAAAGATGAGATTTATATGGAACGGACCGACCGACCCTTTGTTGTTACTTACCGAGGCTTTTTCTGGTATGGGCAGACTAGCTGGTGTCTTTCCTTTCGGATCTTTCTTCTCCATCTGCCTCTCTCCAACATTATATTTAACGAGACTCTGTCAGAGAAGAAGCAGCTCCTCAGTAAAACCGAATGGGATAATGCAATCCAATGCAATGTTTATTGTTATTTCTTCCAACAACTCTTCTCCAGTCAGTATTATTAGTCCCTCCTCGACTAAAAACTTTATACTACTTGCTGCTGCTCTTCTAACATTCATCAAGTGAAGTGAAGTGCAAGTGCATCTCTCTTCTTCATCTTTGCAAAGAGAACGACTAAATAATAACTGAGCTGCACTTGTGAGATGAGACTTTTTATTAGTGCACTTTAGCAAATACGAGAAGAATTAGTAGACTGACACATGAATTACACATTAATTAGGTAGAGCTGTTATAGTTATTAGACGACGCGAGAGAGCTGTATGGAGCTGCTCGTTGATTATAGAGTCTAGGAGTTCAGTTTCACTAGAAGTTATTAGTCTTAATTTAATGCCATAGATGATCTCAAGTTAATAGCGTTCCCTTGTTCTCTGAATGAGCTTTGTGAAAAAATAGGATCTCAAATAGTTGTTCGTAGTTTGTTTCGAGATGTAGAAAACGAAAATATCAAAATTTCTTCCAAAATCACTTGTCAGCATCACTTTATACAACACACGGTATTAAACGTATACAAATTAGTTTGTGTCATAAATTTTATTTTTTATCTATCATTTATTATTTTATAGCCACATAATTCCTGCAACTTTATTACTCAAATGACGAACAATTTTGTCAAAATTCAACAAAGGAAGCCAACATTAATGGAGCTTTATCTGCTATCGTCGTAGCTTGTCACGATATAGAATCTCTCATCCCCGGTGAAAATAAAATAACATGAAGTCGTCAACAAATATGACAAAACAACGCCAAAAAGTTTTCAGCATCGCATTTACTGTACAAATTCTAATACTCGTGATTTGTGGTAAGTAGTAGTATAACTGTCTACTTAATAAAAATGAGCTCGTTAAATATAGACAAAGTATCATTTATTATTATAATTATATTAGGAATTGAAACGGTTCGTTCCTTAAAATTCATACTGGAGCCAGATGACGCCGTGGTGCCAAGGGGTGCGGGCGTCGTTTTAAACTGTGCTGCAAGAGGAGAAGGTGTGCTTTCTCCGAGAATTTCGTGGAAGAAGGATGGCGTCCTCTTGTCCTTTATCGGAGATTCTAGAAGGTACGTAACTTTAATTGGAGACATACTGAAATAATGACAGTTTTGTATGAGTATTTTTGAAAATAATGCAAGCAGCGCGGATGATAATGACTATGAGAGGTTGGCAATTGTTTTTAGCGTAGCTATCATTGAAATTATAATTTATTAAATCAATTCGCGTGTGATTTGCAGGTCCATCCTTGCCAATGGCTCCTTACACATAACGTCTTTGATCCGAGCGAGGGATTCCCGTCCTGAAGAAGGGTCTTATCAATGTGTCGCAACATTAGATGGAACGGGGACAATACTGTCTCGGTTCGCCAAAGTTCAAGCAGCTTGTACGTGACAAATTAAACTGATATGTTTGTCACTAATATTTACAACAATTTAATCTCTCATTCATTCAAAAATTTTAGCCATTGTGAGATTTGAAGAGGAACCAGAAGACATTAGCATAGCGTTAGGTCAGACGGCTCGATTTAGCTGTAATGCTGAGGGGATACCGCCTCCAAAAATTTCCTGGATCAAGGACAATCAACCCTTGATTATGGATGACATTAGGATGTCAGTTCTCCCGTCGGGTTCACTAGAAATAACAAAAATACGTGAGAGCGATCAAGGTGTATATAAATGTCACGTGTCAAATTCGGATAGACAGCATATTAGTCGGACAGGAAGATTGGTGCTGAATCCTAACCCAGGTGGGTAATTGTCTCAAATTAACGGGACATATACATTTTTAACTTGACTGAGTGATTGAACTAATTAATGTACAGACCGCGATACACCTCCCTCGTTCACCGTAATCCCTAAAAGCCGGACAGTTACCGCTTTGGACACGATTATATTGGAATGTTCTGCCGTGGCATACCCGCTTCCTAGAATATCCTGGTTGAAAGACGGTGTAACAATTGATCTCGAGTAAGCCCGTATATTATGCAGATTAAATTTTACTAATGTTCTCTACATGAGTTTGACTTCAATTGCAGAAATAAGCACACAAGATACTCTTTAGTTGGAGAAGCAAATCTCAAGATAACACGTGTGGAGGAAGTAGATCGAGGAACATATTTATGTAGAGCTGAAAACAGAGAGGACTCGTCAGATATTTCTGCAACAATTGATGTTCTAGGTTAGTCCTTCTCGGGTTCAGACCACGTATTGTTTGTTATTCATATAACGTATTTCTAAAATGTGCATATCAATATTTCAAAATAGTTCCACCTAAAGCGCTTCCATCACTTACAAATTTTTACGCTTATGGTAAGGTCAAATATGGATGAAATATTAGTCATTTAGTTAAATAAGTCAAAATCATTTGTGTAATGGTGCGTTTTTTGTTCGCTGTAAAGAAAAAGAAGATGTTGAGCTTCCATGTAGAATCACTGGACGACCACAACCCCCCATCATTTGGAGAAAAAACGGAGAGACGATAATTGAAGGAGATTACTTTCAAGTAATTTTTGTGTCCAAATGGCTCCCCTGAATTCTTTTTAAATTGAATTTTTATTTTCAGATTGTGCACGGAAATAGTCTCAAAATCCTCGGCTTGGTGACCACAGATGCTGGAATGTACCAAGTAAATGCCAAAATCGAAATGTCCCCAATGAATAATAATATTGCATGGTATAATAATAAATACAATAATTTTACAGTGTTTTGGAGCTAATTCGGCCGGAAATGTACAAACTGGAGTTCATTTACAAGTATTACGACCAGGTAACGTAAAAAACTAGAATTTCATGTATCTATTAATTCGTGTATACATATACTGCTATAAATCAATGCAAGGCTTGTTGTAACAGTTTAATTTAAACTATAATCTTAAAATTACTTACATACGCTACACGTTACGAATGTATGTACATACGTGTTACTTGTTTATTATTTTGTGACTAATTTTTTGTCTAATTTTATTTGTTTTTTATCGCTTTTTGTGTTGGAATGGATGTGCGTGCGTTGGTGCTTGGATAATTTGGAATGTGGCAAAAAAAGGCCAAGAAATGCCTGAGCCCGAGTTTGTCTGGGATTTTGATGATGAGTTGCCATTAATGGATACCTTACCCCCATCTCCCTCATCACCATTCTCGTCTCATCATACAGGTCAAATACTCCCTACGTCTTCTTCAGCCACTACCGATTTGAGCAATCACTCTCCGTCCGGAGGACCATCTGCTCCTCGAGACATTTCCGCCGTTCTCATTTCCACTCGCTTTGTTACACTTACGTGGAAAGCACCAATCATCACCAATGGGAATATCATTGCTTATGCTATCTACTACAAAGAGATTGGATCGGACCGAGAACGGACCAGAAATACGACAACAGGGCGGCTAGAGGAAGTAAATATACAAGGACTTCAACCCAATAAACGATACACCTTTCGAATTGTCCCATACAATGAGAAAAGTTCTGGAGTTAGTTCTCCCGAGATCGCAGTGACGACACAGCCAGAGGTCAACGTTCCTGGTTCTCCGGCAAATTTGAGACCCGTCCTAGTCACTCCGACAAGTATTAAGCTTGCCTGGTCTCAGCCGGAAGTGAGCAACGGAAATATTCAGCGCTATAAAGTATATTATGTAGAGGCCAGCTCAAAAACGAGTACTTCCGGCACAGTCAAGTTAATAGAGGAAGATGATGACACAGCAGAAGAAGATGATGGTGAAATTGAAGACTATCTCTTGCCAAACAACGGAGGCATTCAGTCCAAAACGGTTAACATACCGGAAGTTGTCATTGAGGATTTAAAGATTTATACAGAATATTATATTTGGGTTCTTGCCTTCAATCAGGTAACCTAAATCTTTCCATTTATGTATGTATATCGTGTTGTGTTTAATGATTACTAATTACAAGTTGTGCATATTTAGAATGGGCCTGGCCCTAGCTCAGAAGAAATCAAAATAGTAACTTTATCTGATGTTCCTGCTGATACTCCGCACAACGTGACGGTTGAGTCTGCTTCATCAACGGTAAAATACAACCAGATGACTTGAAAATAATTCTCCTGTAATACTATTAATATTTACTTGCATAATATATGTGTCAATAGAGCATTGTTGTCCGCTGGGAGCCTCCTCCAGTGGAATTCAGAAATGGAATCATCACTGGTTACAAGATTAAGTATAAACAAAAGAAAAAGCGAGCAGAGACTGTTACAACGGACGGAAATACATTGTTCATGGTTATGAACGAGTTGGAAAAAGGGATGGAGTATCAGATTAAATTGGCAGCTTTAAATTTGAACGGCACTGGACCGTTTACTGAATGGATTCCTGCAGTCACGTTTGAAAGAGATTTAGATGAAACGAGAGTACCATTAAAACCAATTACCATCCAAGGTATGAAATTAGAATAATTTTGGATTATATGTTTTTCGCAAGGCAATAAATATACTTTTTAACTTGTTCAGCTCAAGCGTCATCAGACTCCATCACTATAAGTTGGATGCCACCCCGTAAGTTTGTTCACCCCGAAATCTCGTTTATATAAATAATTATATCCGAAAATTACTATGTTACGAATTCTAATATTAAATATAGGGAACCAGAACATAATGATTCGCGGTTACACAATTGGTATGTACATAAATCTACTGTTTAATTTGATCAGTTATAGGTTACAATTATGCATATTGCAATCAAAAATGTATATAGGTTGGGGTAAGGGAATTCCAGACGTGTATACAAAACTGGTCGAAGGAAAACGCCGCCTGTACATCATCGAAGACTTGCAACCCAATTCTGACTACGTAATCTCAGTTCGAGCTTTCAACCAAGTTGGAGACGGCGAACCTATCTATGTCAACGAGAGAACGAAATCAACCTCTGACGAAGAGTTTGGGGGTGGTCCCATGATGGCCCAGTTGCCACCACCCATTGGGCTAAGAGCTGTAATTTTGTCATCAACTTCCGCTGTGCTATACTGGACAGATTCATCCTTGTCACGAACTCAACTTGCGACTGACAACCGTTATTACGTGGTTCGATTTTTACCCACGGAACAAAGTTCAGCCCTTGGCCCTAAAAAGACGTCGCCAAAGTTGGTGAATACAACCCAAATGAACACAATTCTGGATGATTTACGACCCGGTATGACCATAATCATACTTTTAAGTTAAGGATTGAGTTTATATACTAAATACATAACCTTATAACGTACTATTTTTTGTTGCTTGTTGTTCAATAGGAACTCAATATGAATTTAGCGTTAAAGTTGTAAAGAACCGATTGTCCTCAGAATGGAGTTTAGTGGCCATAAACACCACGTTTAGGTGAGTATTGCCGACTGCAGTATTTATTCTCAGATGCTTGTGTCGTATATAAAACTGGGATATAAAATTGCACATCCTTTATCCTCACTTTTTTTTAGTTTGGCGTTGTTGGCACCACCCCAGGATATCACGACTCTTGCATTCACACTGTAAGTTATATGCAAATTATTCAAATTTGTATACAAGGGTGGATACTCGTTATATCCTCTTGTTCAAAGTGTAGTAATTTACTTAATGGGCGTTTTTTACGATTCCTTCTTGCAGAGCTGACGGAACTTCCAGTGTAATCGTAAACTGGTAAATCATTTTATTAAAATTTTTCTTTATTGAACAGACTTATTTCAACTGGGTGGAGTCACGAGCCAAATTTCGTAATATGAATGAATTTTGTTATTCAGGCAACCACCCAAGGCCACTGGGGAAGACGAAGTTAAGGGATATGTCGTATTTTACACGACAAAGCCATCTCTGAAGGAATGGGTGGAAGAAGCTGTTCCTGAAGATGTTCTTACTCACAGAGTGCAAGGCCTAACCCCGGATACGAATTACTACTTCCGGATGGCTGCAAAATATCCGAAAGGCCTTGGTCTATACACAGACATTAAATCAGCAGCAACTCCACCGGCAAAAACTCTTTATGGAAATGGATTTGGCAACGGAGTGCGAAATAATCCTTATGGTAAATTCATTTCTTTCCGTTTCTGCTTTAATGATATTCAAATATAAGTTATCATCCTAATTTTATTGTCCTTCCTCGCAGAACATGATATAAGACCGCAGGACATTGTTCTTTACGTTTTAATCGGACTCTCGGTTCTTTTGGCATTGGCAAGTATTATGTTGTGCATTTATTACAGAAGAAAGGGAGGTTCTCCATCACCTAATAAGAACAGCTCGTTAAAGTAATTATTTAATTATATATTTGCCACAAGTTTCCTTATCTCAAATATTCATTAAATTGTTTTTGTGCTTTCGCTTAATCAGGAAATCACGCAAACCAGATCAACTTAAGCCACCCGACCTGTGGATCCATCATGATCATATGGAGCTTAAAAATGTAGAAAAAAGCGGTCGCCATACAGATAGTCTTATCAGTCCTTCTAGCCGAGGATCCAGAGAATATACTGATCTTGATGAGAAAATTCCGCTCCAATGCAACACCAACTCGTTAGACAAGAAAAACTTTTTGTCTTCATATCTCGTTACTGGAGGTGGTCATGACGGACGTGGCACATTAACCGGCCGAAGCGTAAAATCTCAAATTCTTAGTGACACATCCGGTCATATGAGCGATGGCACCAAAACTTATGAAACGACTGCCAGTGGATCTTCTGCTGCTTCCAGCCAAAATAACTTGCACACAATGGCTCAATACAGGTATGTGCATGCAATTCACTAATGATTTACATGAATATTCAATGTTGTACAGTCAAACTAATTTCTTTTCTTTTATACATTAATTTAGTGCTACTTCCGAGTACGGAACCCAATCCGGTGGTAGCACATTGGGAACATTGAACCGTCGAACCCTTAGTAGTGGTGGTACAGGGAACCTTAAAAGTTTTTCTGTTCCCACACCTCCCACTGCTGGTTATCCATACCAGCCAAACACTTCTCAAAATAAGAGTAAGTCGATAGTAGCCCTAACACACTTTTAAATTCGTGACAGTAATCTCATAATATTTTTTTCCTTACCCTAGTGAACATCCGTCCCATGGGTGGAGGCGTGGTCGGAATCCACCCAAGCAACGATTTGTCCGCCCAACGTTCCCCCAAAAGGGTCTCAACCTCGCAACTGCCACCAATGGTTGTTGGATTTTCTAAGTCAATTAGTCCCCGTGGAGGTGCAGGGGGCTATTCCTCCTCCGGGGAAGCTTCACCCATACAAAAATGCTATAGCACAGAGCAGCTAAACAATGAAATTTCTAACTTAGAAGGACTTATGAAAGACCTTAATGCAATTACTGCATCCGAGTTCCAATGCTAAATCCTGCATATATAGCGTATCATCCAACATTACATTATGTATTTATTACTGCGTACACACATACATGCACAATTTACTACTTAATCTCTCATTTTATTTATATAAGAAACGCAAGCATTTCATATGTATACTCAGGAATGACCAACATAATTTATATATATGATTTTTAAAATATTTATTTATTTTTTAGCAATTCGTTGAAACATTTTTACGTGATTTTTGTTTTTTTAGCTGTGTTTTTTACCTGGTGAACTCCGAGTAAAAAATTGTTCTCTATCACATTTCAATATTGTAAATATTTATTACGTGAGATCGAAACTTATATACCTACTTACTCTCTTTCTCAGTGTTCATTATCCGTGTGATGTAATATATTGATACAACGTAGTATTTAGCAACTATTATTATTATTAAATTATTAGCTGTATCTGTACAAACAAAGAAAGTACATACATGCATATATAGGATAATACAACTTGACTGTCGTTTTTGTAACATTTCTAATTTAGCCTATATTTTTAAAGTCATAAGATTAACGAAGCTGTGAATTTTTTCCAAACTCAAATCTCAACTTTTTTTACCATTCATATACTAAACTTGACTGCAGAACGATTTCTCGAATCTTGAAAATAAATGAATAAATATTGCAAAAAAAAGAAGCGTGATTAATTTTCTCGGAATTTTGGAAAGTTAATTTTAAGCAGCGAAGCACTGAAAAGAATTATACCATTTCATTACATACTAAACAGACCAAAATCGTCATGAGTCAAATACATAAAGTAAGCAATTCCATTGAACTCGACCATTTTATTTAATTATAATGATTTATATGCTTTCTTGTCATGAGCACTTGTCCATAAATTTATGACATTGTCACACCATTCGCTACTAGCAGACATTACATTATCCAGTCTGAAATCTAATCTAATTGTGGTACGATAATGTTCACAAATTGCCTTTGTTTACCATTCGCTTGGGTTACTGACATGATGTCACCCCATCAAAAAACCATGACTAATTCAAATTTTGAGACAGACTTCCCATTTAATAATGACACGAAAAGAAATTGAAACATAATACGATTATGCATATCAGTTTAAAATAATGAATGGTTATTATTTCGTTTGAAACGTAAAAAAATCCAGAGCACATAAAAACCGAGCTAATCGAATTTGGAGAAGAAGGCCAACAACAAGAAATCAGATTATATCCATTTTTTGCACGCGTCTCCGTTCGACTCGAATGTATTTATTATAAATGTTTACATTGGGGCTGTCCGCACCCATCAAGTTCATAATACATTAATAGATCATTATGCAATGTGGGTAGCAGGCAGGCAGTAATGGTAAGTACAAGTAATAATAATAAAAAGACGCAAGAAAGGAGAATGTGGTTTACTTTTGCATAGTTATTAGTTGGTGACGACCAGGCGGCATTAAATTGATGGGATCGGCATGTTGGTTCTAGCAATTTGATCAATTTTTCTATGATGATTAATTTCTCGAAACGGGTTATGTTATCAGTCGTGGATGTAAGAACAAGTAATTTTTTTACAAGTTCTGTGCCTATTTTTTCTATTTTTGGCTTATAATGTGTATGACTTGCACACGTTTGTGTAATGATGATGCATGCATCACCTCAGAAGTTGAAAGGTTGAAATTTTAAATTTATTATTAATTAGGTCGAGTATGAATGCTAGTAAGACTGGTGAGATGCGTTAAGTAATTCGATAAATTATCGATCATTTAAGATCAATTGCAAGAGAAGAAAGAATCCCTTAATTGCAGTTGTAAGTTTAACGGGCAGGATTACCACCAAAAATGTAGAGATTAATTAGTGCCACCAAATTGTGCAGGGATCACCCTGAAGTCAACTACAAAGAGCGTACATATTATCATACAATGACAAATGTACATATGCAATTTAAATATATCCATGAGTTTTTCATTATTATTCAACAAATTATTGAGCAAAGTAAAAAATAAAAATAAAAATAATATAGAACGATTATATAATTTATCTATGTGCAACGCGTCGTACAAGCATTTTTTTATGAAATTTTCTACATAGATCCAGTAATTCCAGCCTAACTTTCTCCTCTTGGTCTCTCTAGCCTGAGTTTTCAGCTTTTCATGCACAGAAATGGTTCTAGCTGATTCCAAGTCGCATAGTCCATGGTCAATCATGGATCAATTTTTTCGTGGTCCATTTGACTATGGTCCATTACGAGCTATGGTTCCGGTGTACGAGATTTGTCTCACCAATAACAACTTATCTACATGTCACCTTTGAATCAGAGATCAATATACCAAAGAAAAAACATTGTCATCTTTTTTTAACAGAAAATCAGTACTTTTGATTGGAATGTGTCAGAAGTATTATCATTTCACCGAATGAATGACATTCTTCTAATTCTTGTCCAACTTCACAGTTCACACAGTTCTTTCAGATAATGTCGTAAATCCAACTTGACCACTTCATGCAACATTTATCTAAATGGCGTATGTGGAATATCCATGCATGCAATATTTATTAGTACAACTTGTCCCTTTTACTCGTGCATCTTTACTCGCAATTTCTTTGTACTAATGATCAAGCTCCACTCCACACACCTGAGCTGAGCAGCCAAAAGGTTGGCAGGATTGGCGACTGCAAGCTAAGTTGCACACCTCATTTGGCGAGGCTGGTTGGAGCCTACGTTCAAATACTATGTAATCTTGCATACCAAATTCATAAAGGTGAGAAGCAACTAAAGTGGTGTAAAGGAGGCGACAAGGAAAACAAATCTGAGACTAAAATAACGTGATCAAAGAGGGCATTTATTTATTATTGCTGTAATTTGAACGTAAAAAAGGTCATAAGTATTTAGTTAATTCATCACACACACACACCTTCAACTAACTAACCTATCGCACATCTACGGTATTATTCTTGCTCTTACTTAACATTTTTCACCAGTCGTCGTCTCATACATGTTAACTTTTTGGAGATCAAAACTTCTAAAAATTTCGTAAAACTGCAAAACTAATTGCACCAATTTAACCCTCCTCACTCATCACCACCGCATTTGGTGTGTGTGCGAAATTAAGATGATCTTTTATGCACGTACGTACATACGTATGAGCTGATTGTGCTAAACAATGGTGAGCAATAATGCAAAAAATGGAGCAGGTGTGTAAAAATGTGTGACTCGATCTCGTAGTATTTGGTAATTGTGGTCAGTTAGTTGCAGCATTAGCACTGATCCTGAGCGAGTGTGAGGCTTAGGTATTCAAGGCAGTGCAAGGACGCGAGAAGACGCCGACATCAAGACGTTGGATCAAGGTTACAAGGCGCCGGCTACGAGAGTGCTTTTTACACCACTTCCAACAACTAAATTGCAAATACTCGTTCCAAATGCTCATCTTATTACGTTACGATCACTATTATTATTATTATTGTTATTGGCTCTTCTCCCTTTTTTACCCCGCTTTCCACTCATCCTGAACCAGATACGGATCCCACGGTGTCAAAAATTAACTGATTGACTGCCTTTCCGAAAAAAGTAAACAGGATTCGTGCCTGAAATTTAATTTGGTAATAATGTAATTCCCTACTTCCTAGATAAAAACAAGTGAAAATGAGTTGGGCCAAAATATGTACATATGTAATCTTAAACCCATTTCGACAAACGATTTCGCACTTTGAAAATGCAAAACATATCGTTCCCATCCTACTACACGTAATTTTGCAAAGTACGGCTTAATAAAAACCGTAAATTCCTTGGGAGCAAGTTCATTGTGAAGTACAGTTAGATTTTACTCCTTCTTACCACCTACCACGCACCAGAAAGGAGATTATTAGTGTGGCATCGTGATAACATTACGAAGTGAAGTGAGGTATTTCTCATCAAAACACAACAACCAGATGACCACATTCCATCGAAACATCGTTATTCCTATTATTGCATGAAGAACAATCCATGTTCGATACTGGTTGAAATGAATCTTTGTTTATTTCAGCGTAATGATTACATATGTGCATCGTTATTAGTGGAAGGAGGCGACTCGACGCGTGATCTCGCCGTGCCTTGAGTTACATAGTTATACAAGAAAAACACAATTCTTCTGGCCATAAGCAAGTACGTGTGTACCACTAACTGACTGACTGAGGATAAGTTGTGTACCACATAATATGTATAATATTCACACAAGAAGAAAGATGGATAAAATGCAATAAGAATGCAATGTAGCAAAGCGAGTTTGACTTAACAGGAGTTGTAATGTAGAAGAAGTGATCGAGCCATCGCTTCCCTGTCACCACCAACTATTAAGTCATACCGTCTCCTGTCTGGCTACCAGTAAAAAGTTGGAATTTACACTAACTCACCAACCACACACATAAATACGTATATCTAGATACATGCCCAGAATGAAATTGCAGTAGGATTTGTACGAATATTTTGAGGATTAAGTACTTTGCCAGAGTACAAAGGGTTACGAGATCCTGAAACTTTTTATTTTAACTCCAGAAGAGTTGACCGATCTCCACCAAAGGCAATCAGCATCGTGCATGGAATAACTGTTTGGTTCTTCCTTCCATGAGAAGCAAGTCCTTGTTCGCTGGAACGAGTGGGTTGGTGTGTCATTGTTGTGCCAAGTGTTGGACCGATTGGTCATGGACGCTAAAGTGGGTGTCATTTTGCATAGAACAAAGTCATCGCGAGTTTGTGATTGCAATTATGTCAAGTGGATTCAATATACGATTGACATGAGTTTTATCTAATAACGCTCATTTATTCAGTGTTTGTTACAAGTCTTAAAGTTCGTGCATGCATAAATATTTCAACTTGGGTCAAGTTCTGGAGAATGGTCTCTTCGGGTACTACTTACAAAGAATAAATCTTGTACATACGTCAATTGAGAAAATAATGGAAATTGTGTGCGATTTAATTTCGGCAGAAGAATTCGTCCCCGTTGACAGATCGGGCGAAGAAGGTCTTGAGCAGGATCTGGGTGAAATCGGTGGAGGAAAACAAACCACAAATGGGGAAAGTAGCCTCTCCTAGGCTTTGTCTTAATTTTCGGACAAGCCAATGCTTAGGAGAGGGTTTCTTGGCTCATTTGCTAAATTCAACGCAGAAATTTCTGGAGGATCCAATTCTTAACGAATGTGTCCATTAATGTATGTAAGTACCCACGAGTTCTTTTTCCTGTGAGGAGTGATCCAGAACAATGACCCCACAAAAAAGCCCATGATGAAGATTTCAAAATCGTCGTTTATATGTAAGTGCGAAATCTCATCTCACCTCATAAATTCAGACGCATACGAAGGTGATGGGATGCTAGGAGGAAAGGTTTTGATTTTCTAACCACACCCACTCTCACTATGCAAATTAGAAATATGTATGCATGCATAGTCCTTCTCAAGGAAAATAGAGTATATGTAGAATGGAATCTATTAATCTCTCGTTCAAGTCGTAAAATACTCGCAAACTTTGGGCATTTTATTTGCAAGAGAATTGCATATCCAATATTTTGCTGTAAATAATTTCTGGGTGAAGGTATGAATAATTTTCATAGTGAAAAACTTTATGAATCTGCAAAAAGTGCATTTAATTTACTTTATAGAATAAGGAAAATCAGTCGAGTGTATATGCACATACAATGTGGATGAAAAGCAATAAAATCGTATGAAAGGCTTTAAAAAATTGAGAATAACATGTAAATCGAATTCAATACTTGTGCTACAAAAATGTATTTTATTGCGTACAAAACTCGTATCAAAATTCATTCATTCATTCACAAACGCGAACTTGTCAATAATTCTGAAACGTTTGACACAAATCACGACCCAACCACACCCTAAATTTCTAAACTATGTGTAAGTATCTATAAATTTCTCTCGTAGTAAACTCTTAAGTTTTTTAATTAACCATTTAAGGATCACATCAGTCTGGGTTCTGTGGGTGGCAAGACATCATTGATGAGTTACTAATTCATATGTCTTGCATTGTATAATACTACACACGGCCAAGGTGCGTCATATCAAAACACCAAATTCTTGAAACGACGACAATACTCACACTTGGATTAAGCTTGCATTATTGGTTCTTGTAAGTTTATTTGTTCTGCAGAAATATGCATTTAGGTATTTATATCGTGTCCATTTTTTGGTGAACACGTCTTTTCTTTATTTCTTTAATCTATTCATTTCGTTTTTTTCAATTTTTTCCCAATTTCGAACAAATTCAAACAAATTTCTATAATGAATGGCTTTCAATCAGTCGAACAGAAAATGTTTTTTTTTCTGCTCATTTAATTTTTTGTAAATTCTTCAAAATAAATAAATTTTGAAAATTTTTACTTCTTCTTTCCACTTAACATCACTGGATTTCTGCTGTAAAGGACCATTCCAGGCCCTGAAGCAAAATCTGGGATTCCCATATTCATAAAATTAAATCTGGACGGTGCAGGAAGAAATGAGTGATAAGTCTCTTGAGCTGCGCTGTACAGATGTTTCTGGCTGTTGTGAAAATGGCCCCCCGACGAAGAAGGTCCCGTCCCCCCGAAATACTGCGTCCTTGCTGGAGCAGGTATTCTTCTATTATTATTACTATTTGTAAAACTAGATGAACTGCTACTTGAGCTGGAGCTACTTCGAGGATAGTCCTGCTGCTGTGTCTCATACGGAGAGTAAGGGTCTTCGTCGTCCCTCAGAAGCGAAATAAATTCCGGTCTGGAACTGGACGTGGTGCTGGAAGGGAGTTGATGCTGGTATTGGATCCCAATGGAGGATGGAGATGGACCATATTGGGAAATAAAATTATTCTGCTGCGTTGGAGGGGACCGACTGGGCGTGGGGTAGGAATTTGGTTGTGAAATTGTGGAGCGGAGGTACTGCTGAGGCGCCGGGTTAGTGTTCCCAGTGGAAGCAGTGTATTGTCCTCGGTAGCTGTTACTGTTGGAGGGGGTTTCACGGTCAGAATAGGACGAAGTTGACGATGGGACAAGAGCTGGGGTGGACTTGAATCGGGAATTTGACGAGGGCTGGGTGAAACGTGTCACTGCGGGAGCAGGTGATTCCTCCTCATCTGCATCAGAGTAGTCGTATTCTGGATATTTTTAAGAAATGTGTAATTATATAGTTTAGAAATGTATGTATGTGCGAATAAACTTACCGGAAAATAGGGACGCCGGTGGTTCCGCAGTGGTACTGCTGCTCGCTACAACTTTGGTAGGTCGCTGCCAAAATCTGGACGGTCTATTCTTGATGGCGGGGGTCTCTTTTGCTCCAGAATTTTGAAGTTGATACTGTGGAATTTGAGAAGGTGGTGGAGAAATTGGGCTTTGAGACTTTACAGTGATCACAGGAGCACTTTCTCTGGTGGGCTCTTGGTAGTTGTTGTTGGACGGTTGCTGCTGTCGATTTCCTCTGCCTTGAGGTTGGTACGAAACTCTTTCTGAAGTGGAAGAGGTGACACTGGTGGATGCTGGAGTTGGAGATGATGCCGGTGTGATGGTGGAGGATGGAGATGTCCGCGATTGCTGTCCTCGTACCCAGGAAGATTGTCGTCTGTTGATCGCATTTTGGGAATCGTCCACATCATCGTTGTTACCGTCTTGCTCTTGAACCGAGACAGAAGTGGACGTTTGTACCGTTCCTCCCAATTGTGGACGCTTATTTCCACGGATTAGAGGTCGGACCGGCTTAAGCGTTGGTGTGGGCGTGGTGGTTGAGGTGGTGAGCTGGGTGGTTGGTGCCAATGGGGCCTGGGAACTTGAGGAGACTTCATCCTCATATTCGTATTCGTACTCATATTGTGGGGCTTCTGTTGTGGTACTTGTCGTCGTGGTGGCTGTTGTTGCCGTCGTTGTCTGGGACCTCAACGTTACTCTTTGTGGTCTTGGGGTAGTGTTGGTCGTCGTACTTGCTGTAGTTGTTGGTTTTGGTGTAGTCGTAGTGCTGGGGGTGGAAGTTGTCGTTGTCGTTGTTGTTGAAATTGGCCCCTTCGTTGTGGCCGGACTTTGACGGAAATTTCGACTAATGAACCTTTGTCGTAGGGACTGCGTCGTTGGAACTGTGGGTTTTGGTTTGGAAGTTGTTCTAGGTTGCGCCGTTGGTGGTGCGGCGGCTGGCTGCTGACCATCCTCATTGTCGTAGTAATAATCATCCCCAACCTCCTGGACGGATGGAGAAGTTGACGATGATTGTGTGGGAGGAGGCGTGGTTGACGTTGTCGTTGACCTTTCTCCTGGAGACGCGCTTCTTCCTTGTGGAGAAAACTCGTACTTTCGAATCCTCATGGGTCTCGCCTTGCTGAGAATCTCCTCGCGATTTTTGGCCTGCTCAACTTCAATGGTTTCTTGCTCCACTTGTTCCGGAGAAGGGGTCGTTGTCGTCGTGGTGGACGCCGTGGTCGTCGTCGTGGTCGTTCCTCGCTCCCTGGTCACCACGGATTCTTCAACCTTGCTCCCTGCCACTTTATTTCCTGTCTTGTCCTTCCGCCTGCCTCCCCGTTGCTTTGGTCGGTCCTCGTAATAGTCGTCGTACCCACTGTCGTAATCATCCTCGTAGTCATCCTCGTAGTCGTCATAGTAGACGGGACGTGGCCTTGGTCGGCGTCGACTCGGCCTGCGACACCTCCTCTTGTTTTTGCACCGTCGTCGTAAAGGCTTCCTGCGGACGGGGCGATAGTCTTCTTCAGAGTCGTAGTAGGGATCGACCCCTTCTTCTTCGAGTGGGGCCACTCCTGGGGCAGGATCTTGCGATGCACCACCCCCTTCAGCAGCAGCACCAGCAGCGGCAGCGGCAGAATGGCGGTCTCTTGGTGGGGGTCGTCTCCGCTCGTAGAGACCTGGTCGGATTTTTATGGGTTCAGGTACAGGAGTGGTTGGTTTTTCTGGATATAGTGCGTCATTTCTGGTGAAAAATTAAGCAAATTATTAATATTAATATAAAGAAAGTCATAATTTACACAAGTATATTTAAGTACAGCGTAGAAATTGACGGATTAAAATTACCTGTGATAAAAAAGGGCAGAATTGGCACAATCCACTTCCGACACGAACTGGCAGATGAACGTCTTTAAAAATTAAACATTAAAACACACAGCAATCAAACCTTTGTTAAATACAAATATTGACAATAATTTATTAAACACCTTTTGGTCAAACGCTGTAAAATTGGCGCAGAGGAAATCGTGCCGTGCGCCATAGAGGCAGTGATGGTACACCTGAAAAACAAAACAAAAACAAATATTAAATTCTGGTCTGTACCATTTCATATGATAAGCACACCAACGATATGCACATACCTGACACTTGTGCTCTATATTAGAATAAAACCCGTCTTTAAGTCCTTCACATGAGTAATTGATTTTTGATGGCACTCTGCTATAGAACGGATAGTCGGACAAATTGTAGCCGTTCAGTTCTCTGGGGAGGTTGGGGTCGTAGATGTAATCGATTTGAGGGTTCCCCGTCAGATTATAATTCCTCTTCACGGCGGTCCCATTTTCCGTGGCGTCATCCTCCGACGGGGCTGCGGAGTCCCCAATCGACAAGTCGATCCCACTCGTGTCTGAAATGCATTTTTATTACACAGAAAATTATTAATCTTTGTTTTTAGTGCAAATTTCCTTTAACATTTTCGCATTTCCATCATTACTATTTTTTCTTGACAATCATATCAGTTAAGATTTCCACGTCCCTCGCCAAATTACCTTGGTCAACTCAACATCCACTTAACTAATCTACTAAATAATACGTAGCTCAAATTAATAAGCTTCCTCAATTATGTGTGCCTACCAAGCAGTGCGAATTCCATAATAAATACTTTGCAAAAATAATAACATTTCCAATTTTCAACGATTTACTTAACGTATATAATTTTTCAATGTCTCATTTTCATACAATGCCATATTTTCTGTGAGAGATTGATAACATATCGTGCTTATGTATTATTTCAAGCCATCTCGACTTCCTTACGTCACTTGTATATTATTGGCTGTGCAGACATATTTCTTTCGTACATGCCCAATTAAATTAAGTGTAAAAAAGGTAACGAAAAAATCCAAGCTTTGCTTTAGATTGGACACGGACACGGATACATTATTTCGTAAAGAAAGAACATGATAACTAATTCTTCAATGTTCCTTATCCTCCTTCTTCAACTTGTACTTAAGTTGTCTTGCAGGCAAAAACATCCTACTTTATACTTCTTGGCGTCGTGTATACTAAATATCTAAATCTACGTAAGTATTATACCCCACCACTGATGACTGACTTTTAGTTGTTAGTTACACCAAATTAAATGATCACATCAAAGGCCACGCCAAAGCCAAACCACGAACGAACGAAGCAAATGATATTTATTTCTCTAGTCGACCACGCCTGGATTCAATTGTGCTATTACAACTATCACCTTATGCAACAGAACAGCGAGATATCAGTCAGACGCGAAGACTGTGGTGAGAAGCATAATTAGTACTAGATCAGCAATTTTCATACGACGGACTGTTTAAACAAGGAATAAATAGGGTATCATTTCGTGCTGTCTGATTTGACTGCAAGGATAACAATGGAATGTAATGGGCAGAGACAATAATGAGTACAACCCAAATAATTTCTTCATAAATGTTTCATTGGACCCATCAATCACTCACTAGTGGATTCATTGGGGAGGGTTAAATGGCCAAGATTAGATCAGGCCGCGACTGAATTTTCATTCCTTGCTATTTTTTTATTTACTTGTAATTTGCATGTACATACAAACCTCTCTACTCGTGTGATATGATTTATAAAAAGTTTCATAATGATGGCGTAACGCATTAAATTTCTTAAAATTGGAACAATTAATTGGCTACCTGAACGTTATGTCATGATTTAAATAATTTTCGATTTTCAAAATTTTACGCATCGTCATTGTAATTTTACTACTTGTGCGTGGGTATGTATTCAGGGTTGTGGATAATAATAATCACTGTAGGCTGTCAAAGTATGATAAACTTGATTCAATGCTGCTGACTAGTAAAATAAACTGCAAGCCACGCTTACATAGATTTATTCTCACAAGTAAGTTTAATGAAGGAGATGCAATCTCGATCTTACTCGTAAAAAACATATCCTTAAACTGATACCAGTGCAGTGAGTAAAGCCACAACAGTGTTTTCCTTTTAACCACGATATGTACCTTCCAACTTAAGACAAGGTTAATGTCGATTTAGGGCATCACACCACAATCATGCTCTGATCATGATGACTTTACTTGCTAAATGAAAATGAAAGCTAGTTAAATGATATTTTATTTTAAAAGTGTAACAGAAGCTGTAAAAATACTTTCAATTGTTTGAAACATGACGATTTTTTGTATATATTTTTGGAATCTTGTCACACGAGAAGACAATTCCTCTCCATAAATGGCGAAACCTTGACATTCCCTATTTTTCCTAGTTTCACTACAACTCATGTACTATATGCAGAGGGCAAAAATGAGTGACCAGACCACAAACCACCACGATAACAACGAAAAGCCTTAACCAAACCAAATTTCGATGCAAATGGAAATTTCTCCAAAGTGTGAAATACTTCATGCCACCTGTTTCACGCGTAATGTAATACCGACGCTAAAAATATTTCTTTTACAAGTTTGGCATCTGTTCTCTTCCATTGAGATATGTAATAACGGACAGATAATAATAGATATGTACATATCATGGCAGGTGCTGTACTGACTGAGTAATTACTTATGTTGGCTGGTGGCTGGTTCTTTATTTTATTGTGAAAAGTTAAGCAACGCTTAGAAAAAAGAAACACTTGAATAACTTTGTCCGTACATACGTAACTTTGGTTCTCACTTTACAGTTTTCAAGCCAGGATTCAAAATGCATATCTAATACTCTATTTTTGGGCTCAAACGCCAAAAGATTTGAATCACTTTCCCTTGTTGCTTTTGTGGAAAGGATGAAAAAGGTGTGCATATGAATTTGCGTGTCTTCATACATATCATTTAATTATTTACCTTTATTTTTCAAAGATAAATACGTCGGAAACTCGCTAATTTATTTGATAACGGACGATGAGTTAAAAAAATCATAATTCCTATGTTAAATTACGTAAGTTCATAACAAAAATTGCAACACTGGGAAATCCCCCAATTTTTCTTGAAATGTCAAGTTAATTGGGGTTGAGGTAATAATAAGAATGAATGAACATTATATGACGGTATAAATTTATTTATGCCGTATAAAAATAAACTCTATAATAACTCGCCTATAGGTTCACCCCAAGAAGAAGAAGAATGAATCATAATTCCAAAGGAAATTCTCTCACTTTGTAAAAATTTTGATTATTATCATTAAAGAAGAAAGTGTTATAAATTACTTCAAATGATAATCATCCTTTTCTGCATATATATATGTAGTATCACAATTCTGCTAAATGCTTACTACACTCTGCCTAAATTCTGATATGCTCACAAAAGCTTGGTGCCTTCTCTTGAAATTATTTATCGAGGGTGACATTTCATTGTATACAACTTAATTCTAGAGTAGAATGGACAGAATTTAGGAGGAGTTTATAATAAGTAAATGAGACATTATACGTATTTATGCACACATACTTTATTCACATCCTATACGATCAAGCGAACTGGTCTCATCTGCTTCTTCTTATAACCAAGAGGCATGCATTGTTTTAACGCTACGAAATTAAGCCAAAAATTAAAATGCACTTTCTTCTTGTACTGGTAATAAACTAACTAACAACACAATAAGCTTGAATGGTTGGCGTACTTCCTTTTCCTCGCAAAATGTATGTACATATGTACATACACAAGTATTTGCAAATTCTACAGAAACTTTCTTGATAGAGATTCCTCTCTGTGTGTGTGTATTTATTACGTACGTACTTATTTGAATTGTAGGCATCGTGTAATAATGCAGCGTTTATTGTGAGAAATGGTTTAGAGAGTGCGTCGATAACGCCGTAGGAACCCTTTTGCTGTACTATTCTTATCAATTACAATTCAATTGTTCTTGAATTTTGCTCCGCGTATGTATGCATGCATGCGGATTAGATTTCCCACAATTAAGCTATTCCTTGTAAAGAACTTTGTAATACCTTCGATTCGATAAGGGTGCATTGTCTCGTTAAGCAGTTGGGCTGTGCGTATTGCAAAGTTCCGGACGCATTATTATAAATTTCAATGTTATGTAAATTGACTGAAATAATGTTCTTTGTGGCATTGCTCACTTTTCCAACTAAATAAATTGCCTCTTTCCTTTAACTGCTATGTATAACGAGACATTTAATAATAATGTGACCATGTGCATACGTAGAGTTGGTTACTTACAGAGCAAGAGCGCAAAAGTCAAGGGGACCCAAGACGTTGAGATTGTGGCGTGTAAGGGCGACATCACTCCCCACGTCGTCTTCTTGTACCTCTTCACTTTGCCCATTTTGGGGCACTTTGTAAATAAGTGGAATACCAAATCCCAATGGACTTTTTTCTCTTAAATATTTAATCGTTAGGAATATTTGATGAGAAGAAGATGGTCGCTCTGGTTCGCGTGAGTTGGACGAAGACTGCAGTGGCCAAGGTAAACAGTGTCGAAATCTGTAAAGAAACACAAAGTTATGTATGTAGAAACATGTAATATACATGCAAAATGATGATGAGAATTTGATTTATGACACGAGTAAACTATTAAAAATAAAAATGGCATGGTCATTAATCCCTTTACTTTATTATGCTACGATTACTTAATATGTATGCACTACCATTTTAATGTCAAGTATCATTTTTTTTCTACTGCATAATTCAGATTACTTATTTACTTATAGAATTCGTGGTACAGTACAGCATCCTTCTCACACTTTTGGTTTGTTATCGTAATCATTTGCTATTAACAAAATAGTTACAAATGCTTATCTTTAAACCTCGTTAACAATCTTGTGACAGGGTAATTAAGCGTAATTAATTTCATGTTGACGACTCGACTGTTCGAAAAAGAGGACTGCAGGCAGGAACACGTGTAAATATGCAGGACGAACTTTTGGCTGAATGTCAATGTCAACCTGATCACTTTATCATTTTGTAAGTGGGATGAATAATAGAAAAATTATAAATTAATTGTGGTCAGTATTTTCGCTACGAGAGGACAGCGGTCAACATTTCTTGGCATTTTGACAAGCATATTTTTTAAATGCAGAGCAAGCAAAAGTCGAGAAGGTAATTTATCACGTCATAAATATATGTAAATACATGGACACATAGTCGATCAGTGGTCAATTAACTGTGTCAATAAGGAATAAGTGAGTGAGTATAAGTGAGCGGGTGGTTGGACAGTGAATCTAGGTGAATGTTGCCAAAAACCAGAATAGAATGGTGTGAGACAATTAAAGATATGCATTGTTGTTATGTATGAGTGACAAGACAGCCCCATTGTGACGTTGTCAATAACACTCAAAAAATTGCACTCGTTGTTCTCCTACCCCCAACTTTTTTCACGATTCCTCCAATCTTTTTTGCCATCATTCAGTAAAGGTGGCAGGAGTGAAAGGGATCTGCGGAGATAAGTCAGTCAGCAAGTGTCAAAAAAGTGTTGTAACATTTGTAGAAATCATGACGTTGTCATTGCAGATAAGACGTCCACTCGGACTGGATACATAATTTCTATGCATCGAGATAAGCCATTTCATCTCTACGTATGAACAATACCTTAATTCGTCCGGGATACACCTGCATTGTGAAACCTGTACAATAATTTCTTAAACTAATTTCAAAACCGTAGAACGATAGGCAGGCAGGTAGACCAACTTTCTATAATTGCTGCGTGGATCTACCTGTCTTACCCAAGACCCAGTTCAATCAAGTCGTAAAAATTGTGTACAGAAACAATAACACTTTTAATTGTTGGGATGTCTACTTGATTTCATTATTGGTTTTTGGTTGCACTCCTCGACGACTTGGGTATTATTGTTGGGTTTAGCCCAATAATAGCACGAAATATTTATTGCTATTGTACGTGCATAAGGCCTCGGAGGTAGGAGGCTGAGGAGAGCGAGATTATGAGAGATAGCGAAAATATAACACAATTCATTTGTAAGTGATTTGTGAGAAATGCAGTAAACTTTGCTCTCGTGATCATCCACCCAAAAGCAAAGCAATGAAATTATTTCGACTCGCTGGCTTCGTATTTCGACGCGGAGTAACCAGGTCGGAACGTTTGCTTACATTATTTCGCTACCACTCTATCAAATTATACGTGGATAAAGACAGTTTTCTTAATAAAGTACAAATTTCAGTGGGTATGCCTAAATAATTTGTGAGACGAGAAGTAATTGTTAGAAGGAGTTGGAAAACAGGTTACATTTAATAAGTAAAATACTCGAGAGAATCACGCTTATAAGCTCTGAAAGTGTGGGAGACGCTTAATTATTTAGGTTTAAAATCAGTTTCGCTTTTTTTGACATAAAATTTCAAATTGAATTGTCATCACTGGACATTAGGACGCTCTCCCAGAAATATGCAAATTGCAACGTCAATAAATATATGTACATACATGCATCTCTTCCGTGAATCATCCGCACCAAATTGCTTGCACGATTCAGACGTGATTAGTTAAATAATACTGTTGAATTGAATCGAACTGCATTCTGAATGGATGTCTGTACCGTAATATTTACGTCGTGGTGGACCATTTAGCTGACAATATTATTACTATTCTTGTATTCACTTTGCACACACGATGCAATTCAAAACGACGACGACGACAACGATGAGAAAAAGCCTTGAGGATATTCTCGTCCGTCTCTTCTTCTGTGTCGAGCGAGTTATTAGTTCAGTTCAGTGAGACCATTCTTATGATTTTATTTTCTTGCAGCAGCAGAAACGTGGTTGAGCTTTACTTTAGTTTCATCTCGATCTCATGACAGGAGAAAGTTTACGAGTTTCTTCCCGACTCAATGATCCAATCCATCCATCCAAACTTTATAGCCGACCAACAATGCGAGATGCATCTCTTTAGTCAGTCAGCCAGCCTCTCTGACGGAGTATTAACAACTTTACTCACAACAATAAATTTTTGATACGAGGAAAGAAAAGTATATCGCCAATTATTTAGAAGCACTTACAATCCCTCGTGCTCTGCAAGAACTGAATATAAACCACGCTAATTCGCTGTTTCCGTAATATGACCAAGATTTATGACTTGTTGAAACCACACTTCATTTTTCTTAATAAATGCAACTTAAATTTGTATTAATCAAAGGTGAATGCAGTTTTTTTTGCAGATTTTTTTAATACGGTTTGAATGCAAAAGAATGAATACGTATGGTTCTTCTGGAATTAAAGTATAGCAAATACTTAACTTGCCAATACGTAATAACAAATGATTAAAGTCAGAGAGCAAAATTGCGAGGATTAATTACAAAAATAAATTTCTCTTCTGTTCGTATTCCTCACTAATCGTGTAGGAATGATACAACTTAAGAAATCAAATTCAGCGTCTGTCTGTCTGGTGTAGATTAATTTTAATACACAGCGATTAATTAGTCATTGAATTACTCTCCTCTCCCAAATTTACTTATGCACTAATGCTAAGCACTATTGTTATCGTAATGCAATTCAAACGCATTGAAAATACAAATGCAGGCATGAATCGCATTGTATATCTTTGTAGATATGTACAAACTCCAAGAAAGGTTTAATTTAAATGTCATTGCCCGCATCGAATTGCTTTGTTAGCGTTGTATGCGAATCTCTTGGAACATAAAAAAGTGCAAAACTTTTATTATTATTACGACTGTTATAACAAAGTAGTGTGTACCTAGTAGTAAAATTCGAATGACCAGAACACAACAGTACCACGTGTGTGGCTTAAAGTACGTACACATATGTACATATATGTATTCAAATGACAAGGAAAAATTTGTCATTACTTTGCTACCACAAGGGTAGAAATTTTTGAATACGTGTATGCACATAATTTGACAATGGAGGTGTCCCAGCGTATGCTCTCCGATTTTGACCAAATTAGTCCCAATCGATAGCGAAGTAATTAGTGTAAAATTTGCAAAAGACACGGGTCAGATTTGCCGAAAATATTTTCATCCGAAAAGAAGAAAATCCGCCCTGAAGTTGACAAATTTTACGGTTTCCAAATTAACTGTGCGTTCACTCCTCTCTTCGGATGCGAATACCTCTGCCAAACCTGCGCATTGACAGATCTTGTCTTTTACAAATTTCATACCAATTAAATCTGTGATCAATTGACACTATTTTGGCCAAAATAGGCGAGCATACACTGGGCAACCTCCATTGCGAGTATCACTTTATAGCCACATACATATCTCTCTTGTAATGCATGAATAGTTTTGAAACTTGTAATCAAACACATTGTTGAAAAATATGTTAAAAAATCCAACTCACCATAAAGATCCAAATCCAAAAGTTATTTTTTCCTCTTTTACATCTCACTCACTCACCATGCTGCTAATCGTACTTGTGTTTGTGTGTGTTAATTAACACTACAAATTTTTAAGTCCATGTCATTTCAATCCCTTCACGAGTTTGCTACAATCTTTTTAAGTACTTAGAAAAAAGTTACACAACTTCACGTAGTCAGACATTCACTCAATCACTTGCTTAATTTGTCCACCACGATGAATTAGGGTGCCAGCAAATGAGTCATTAGGCACAAATTCCTACTTTTTTTTACCTCTCCTTCTGTCCTAAATATATTTATTCGCGTGGCTATTTTTGTTTTATTCGTAGGACGTTTCAAAAAAGGAATGAAAACCCACTCGACAAAAAAATAAATTCATAACTTATTGTCGTCGTTATTGCGCCACTGATGATGATGAGACACGGACCGAATTTGTCGTCTTGTCGTCGTCGTTATTACTTCTCGTTACATCAGCTACTTTACTTGGTTATCTTGAAAAGATGCAAATGTCCGTTCGCAATTAAAATGCAATATCATCACGTATTAAAATTATATTGCAGCCCAGAAATTGCGACATTCGCGAAGTAGTCAATCCAATCCAATCCACACAGTCCTCATTCATGCAAACAGAGTTAAGTGCATGAGTGCATGCATATGTAACCACTTGTTGTGCTTTCTTGCAAGGGTCCTTATCCCCCCACTGTTCACCTCTACTTGAACTTGTTTCTGCTTTACTTTTTTGGATTTCTAATAAACAAGATTTTTATTCGTGTTTGTCTCGTTATTTAATAATCAAATTATCCTCCTTAGCTATCCTGTCGTTGGTGATGATGTAAGCTGCGAGGAATCAATCGATAAATCTTTTGCAGAAATTTCTCACTCACTCTATTGTCCACACAGAAAAATTAACAACCTTCCCTCAAATTCTTCACATTACTTTTACACACATCTAACGACAAGGCCATGGAGAGTTTATGCCACGGAAAAAATTATTGGGTTGAGTTTGACCCAAATTTGTAAAATGAAAATAAAATCACCTTCACTTTATACGCGATATTATTATAATTATTATTTCGCTTCACAAGAAGTATGTAAGTACAACGAGTAAATAATACATATATCTTGGATGATGATGATAAAAGTAAGTATGTACTATTTACCAGAGAGTCAATTCATTAACTAACTTTAACAAGGAACCAAGCGGAGCCAAACAATTGTTCCAATTCTAATTGATGTTAATGTACGTAAATAGATCAGGGTGGTAGGTACGAGACGAGAACTCATTAATTTATGGGATATAAGAATTTCACATAACTTTCAACCGTTTCAAAACGTATTTTAAAATTCTCAAGGTTTGTTTTCGTGAAACTGAACAAAATTTGAATAACTGCAGGACTTGTCTGTCACGTACGTAGATGGGAAGAATTTATTAAGTGGTTTTCATATCCAAGTGCAGAATGTTGCAAGAAATGCAACTCGCATGCAGGCAAAACACTGCACTTGTAGACTTGGCGAAGTGAATGAGTTAACTGAGATGAAGAGATGCATGCATATTATTCTGTATCTGTCTCACCTCTCCACCAAACCAACGAAACGACTACCTGTAGTAAAGCAAATCAAAGTAAAGAGTTACCAACAACCATCACTTGTCTTGTTGTTATCAGCACTCGTTCTTGCTGCCAGTTACCTAAGGAAGGAAGGCATACGTAGGAATGGTTGGGATCACAATGGGAATGGTTATGCAGCCTGGTTGGTGGTTCTTATTTTCTTATTGATGTGGTAGGTGAAATAAATAAGAGTAAAAGTTTTTATTTTTGAAACTTTGAGTCTTTAATGGGTGCAGCGAGAATGTGAGCACGTACGCGTGGTTATTCCATTGTCAGCCATTTTTCCAAAGGCGAAAATATATGGAACTAAAGTAAATACCTTAAAATAGTGAATGTATGAAATGAATTAAGAATACTTGATAGCAAAGTTATTTACATACATATTTTCATAAATTCAAGACAACTGGGAGCTGGAATGACAAAGGATAATTGCAGGCAAATATAATCATACATTTTGTTACACTGAATATGAATTACATTTAATTGCATGCGGTAAATTTTGCATGTAAGTTTCTTTGTCGGATTGTATAACGCACAAGTTACACCACACTAAAAATAGCAGATCTTTAAAAAATGTCCATTTTCCACACTAATAATTCTAATAATGTTGTGAAGTTGTGACGAACGTATGTACATATTTTGAAGTTTGCGATAAGATTTACACTTGAATGGAGTCATATTTCACACACAAATCCACACACATCCGTGCGTGTATGATTTTTGCTCTACTTCATATCGTGACCATAACCAATTTACGTAAAGATTATAAATTAATTTGCTTAAATAAACAACATGCAGCCGGCAATGGTCACATTATTCATAAGCAGCCATAGATCAAAATCAGTCTGCAGCGTGGATCGTTGGGATGGGCGTCGCTTTTGATCTGAATGAATTGCAAGTTAGTACTTGGTAGTGATAAATTAAAAGGAGAGAAATTGACCGAGACGACGAGATCATAAATTATTGTGGTGTGGGCAGTAGTCACATTAATGGATGAATATATAGAGCAATTTCAGTTCCTGCTATTTGTTGATTTTTATTAATTATTATTACTTCTCGATGTAATGCAGTCAGTCGATGCCACACAATGCGGTAGTTGAAATCTCTTTGAATGAGAATGCAATTCCTGGTGGATTCTTTTTAATTAAAAAAAATTCAATCTGTCCAGCAGTAATTTTATAAATAAAATTTTTCACCTCGTTTACTTCTGGTTAGAGTGATTTTCAATTAGCCAGCTTTCATGCCATGTCATACCTGAAAGGTAGATATTCTGGAAGGGGTTTGACATTGACCAGTGACTGGTAAATACCACTTATTATATGTACAGATCTAATGGAGAAACCGGTTTTTGGGCTGGGTTTTGACTAAACAAATCCCAGTCAAAATCAAGGGAAACCAGAATCAGGAGCACTTTCGATTTCATCCTTCTTCGTGCAGCAGGTAGAATGGGCATCATCTCGGCAAGGTCAAGCCCTAGAAAGTTTTGGGAACCTTGAGCCTTTCCTGGCCAACTCACCTTCTTCTCTTTGTCGTCACACGTTTCTGGATGACATTTAATTCACATTTTGTTACAAAAATAGAGTATTTTTAGCCCGAGTAAAATTAGACGGGACGCCGTTTCAAATATGCTTCATAGAACGATACAGATTATAACCGTCAAGGAATATCTTTCGTCATTAACACGTTTTTGTGCCTCTCCCCCCAACGCAAGATTGCTACGAAGTCACCAAGATGAGATGCTCGATGAGACAAAACTTTCCACTTATTCCACTCCATCAATTACTCAATTGGTTTCACGTTACGGTGGAGGTGAGTAATGTGACCTCTGGGACTTACTTATTTTCGGTAATTTTATCGGACAATTTACCGAAAAGGCCACCCACCCGTACCCAAAACTCTGTCAAACACCAAAGAACTCCCAAAATTCAACTCCCATATTTCCTCTTCTAAACTATAAATCTTTCTGTAAATCTCTTTCTCACTCCCACGCCTTGTAAATTAAATATACTTATCTGCATAACCAACCACTTCCCTGTTGTACGTACGTATATATTTGGCTGCTCCAAATTTGACTCTGAAGACAATAACCATTAATCTTTTATTAGATTAATACGATTATTGATGTTGTGCGATGATAGCCACTGATGGCAATTTTTAAACGTAGAATTCCTACGGCGAGCGAATAATTAACTTTTCACTTTCTTGCTTTGTTCCACACCTTCTGGAATGCGTGGTTGAACAAATTCTTCCATCGACCACGTCTGTACATGTGCTGTATGCAAATACTTGCGTTAACAAAGTAATTACACACATAGATATTACAAAACTAGCGTCAGTCAGGTATTTCGTGTATGTTTGTGTGTTGGGTAAGCCATCAAATTAAGTTCATCCATGAATATTTACTAGTTATTTAGTATTGAATAATACATATTTACATTCATTCACGGTCTCGTATATCGTCAATATCGTAGCGCAGTTAGTTAACTCTTCTGGCAACCGGTCAAGTTATTCACATTGAAATATTATCGTTAATATGCGAACAATATTATTGCTCACTCCTTGTTTCGTGGGACGGTATGGTAAATTACCAATGGTAATGGGATTGTCAACTCCTCGGTAATCAGTTATTGATTATAAAATAAATGATTAGTTTTAGTTGCACAGAGTCCCTCACACCGTACACACGCACATAAATATGTACATAATATGTATGTACACACATTGCTAATTCATACGTAATCTCACCTACATAAATTGACTCATCTTCGTTCGTGTCCACTCAATTAGTACAGAAGAACAGAGGTGATGGAGGCTTATCATTAAATACGGCTGGTAGAAAATCATGGTGGTTGGTAACACAATGTGCGAAGTACATACATATCATTGGATGGAGTGGCGTCGGATGGTGCCGAGTTTGTTTGTGGCCAGTTGACAGATTGGAGTAATTATTCCCGATAAGTGACTCGATCCAGGGTTAAATAAAAAGAGACATGATTATTCATATATGATCCTTGTGTAAATTTACTTTAGCTGAAATAATTCGTCGAGGAAATTAATAATTCCGAGTGCAGCAGGATTTCCAATAGTGTTTACAAAAATCGTAAGAGTGTGAGAACTGCTTGTGATAATTTGTAACACGTAATAAAAATTGGTATTTCATGACAAATGACAAATACTAAACTGGAAAGTGTGAAAACTGAGCGACTAAACTAAACATTTTTTACTACGCATATCTAAGAATTTCAATTTCCTCGCCCATCACTGTTTAGACAAATCGGTAAAGAAAAAATCTACAGATAATTTACGTATACATTGTTTTGTAATTACTAAATTTGTTTTTATTGTATTGAACAAAGGACAGAAAATGGATTTGAGTTCGATAAAATCAAGTGACTCGATCTCATTGAAATCTGACAGTGCCAGAAGTTTCAATGAAGATGACCAAAATGATGGCAACCATTTCCTCCAATCACCGGGTATGTTTGTTTGTTGGAAAGATTTTAAAAATTCGAACATGGATTCTTAGAAAATTTATTTTTTTATCTCGAATGACTATATCTTCATGTAACATATTCCAAGTTGTTATACACACTAGACGAGCGAACATTATACCGTTTTGTCTCATTTTCCACATTACATTGATTATCAAATAATCCTTCACGATGATAACCTTGACCGGATAATCCCTAAAATGTATGTAGGTACATACTATTCCTATTATTTTCACCAATTCTAGTAAAAAAACTGATTTTGAAACTCCAAACGTATCTACTGTCTGTTTTTTGGTTTAGGGATTTAAAATAAATGTAAAACTGCTAAAAGAATGCAGCAACCAAATTTTCGAAATTTTAAAAAACACTGTTCATTATAAAAAAAACAATTCCTACACATGAATGTACCTATATACTTACCAATTTGTGTGTAATTAGATCGAGTAGTTATACGAGGTGAATTAACCAGCTTAGAATTTGGAGTGGAGCAAGCCTCTCCAACTTCCCCTCTTTTATATTTGGGCCAACGAGCATAATGACAATCAAAACTCAGATCCGATGGATTTCAATTACCCAACCCATCCTCAAATTACATTGTGACGATCACATCGCCACATACCCAGCACTGCACATTTCGCAATCACAACAACAATGCACAATTTCTGGTGTATAACCTGCCACATGCCTGATCTGATGAGTCTTCTGATCTCAACCAACTTAATTGTGTGTATAATCATCAGTGAATCTCTGCACATATGAATAATGCACGTACGTATGCAATAATGTAGGTATTTTATCATTATCCAAGCATCCTTCCGTTCTGTCCTGGTCCTGTCATGCTGAATTTTCATTTGACATATGTAAAACTACACGTCACCTTTTACCCTTTGTTAGTTAGCATACAAACTGCATACGTACGAACGTATGAACGACTAACAATTCATGCACTGACTCTGATTATCAACTAGTCAACAAACAATAAAATCCTAAACAAATAAAAGTTACAGTGTCACTGGCTAAAGTTATAATAATAATCTGATGAAATCTTCTCTCCTCGATCCTCCACAAACAGATTCTCAGTCCGGAAGTTTGAGTAAAAAAGGGAGTCAGTCGAGCTTTGAGTTTGGGAGAGGCGAGATCAGAGATCAGGGGTCACCGCTGCCAGACCGGAGTCCCAACATGCTCAAACACGCGTCCAGTGGGGGTGGTGCCAAGAAAGTTGGTACGGTGCAAACCAGTCAAGAGACAAGTACGTCATTGAAACTACCTCAAGTACGTAATACGTATAAATATAAGCAGTTAAATAATGACGCAAAAAATTGGGCACATTTTTTAACATGGTTTTTACTCTGTAGCGCTTTGTTGTCAAATATTTGGGATTTCGAGAGACTTCAAATTTGTGGGGGATTAAGGTGAGTTTATTTATGAGTGGGTAAAATCAATGCAAATTGTAATCTTGGGCATTATCTTCCGAGTAGTACACCCGTCGGCCTGTGGACGAAATGGTCAACGATGCAAAAACGAGTTTATCCAAGAGTCCAGAAAAAGCGTTGGCCCTTCTCCGCATGGATGTTACAGAGGAAGGTAAAAGCTAATATACATACGCATACAGATTTTGATAACATGAAATTTTAACCGCAATCTCAAATTTTTTTTGCAGGAATCGCAGTTGGTCCCATGCCACAAAACATTAACCCAAACTATCCGAACGGCAAATTTGCTATAGAATCGATATCTTACGGTGTTCAGGATCTCGTTTACACCCGCGTATTCGCCATGATTGTGGTGAGGACGGACAAAGGCCAGAGTGAGGTCAAGTTGTCGCAGTTGGTTAACCAAACCAACGGGGCTGGAGGAACGGCGTTGCCCTTTCGTTGCCACGCGTTCGTGTGCGATTCTCGCCAAACGGCGAGAAGATTGACCTACTCGTTGGCTTCCGCTTTTGAAATATTTTCGAAAAAGGTCGCCGCTGGGAAAATCAGTGCTCCGAAACCAAAAAAGTTTGCGATCGATTTGAGACCATCGGAAGAGATTGAGGCTGAATTGCAAGATTCCGAGGCGTAGGATTATTTTATGGGAAGTAAAAGTATTGCATAATATTAATATGTAAATGTAGAAGTATATCTAGTGAACAAATTTTAAATACTAATCTTCCATAATGTACATAATTACACATATCTTGTTTGTCTTCTTTACTGTCATGTAATAATATTTTTATTACTTTAATCATGTCCAATTACGAAATAAATTACGTTTGACCACCACGACAGGTATCATCTTGCCTCACATTACCTAAATGTCTAAATTCTCGAATAGTAATTTTCTTAAGGAGTTACCGTTAATTTATTTTAAAAAGCATGTAAATTATATCATGTAAACACAACATGGCTTAACTGAAAATGGAAGGATAAGATTCAAAGATAGAGTATTAGTCCAATACCATAAGATTCCTGGTAGTTGGTAGTTGCAATTGCAAGCCAGTTGTAAGTAGTTCATATAAAGTAATTTGTATATGCGAAATGCCAGCTAGATTTTGGAATTAATAAATTATGTTCAAAAAATTTGAATTTCATTTACCAATGCAAAATTACAAGTAGTTGAATGGAAAATGCAAATTTTATAAAGTAAAAGCCTTACTGAACATAGAAATGATACGTGATCTCCTTCCCTCGTGATGCGGGAGAGCTCGACTCAACTCTGTGCGAAAGGATTGAATTCAGTTGCCGAAAATAAAATAAGTTGAAAGTTTCAATTTGAAACTTGTTCCTTCAAAACCACACCCACACAGAATTAAGTGGTCACCCACACCATTTCAGAGGTAAGAATTCGGAAGTTTGTTCGTTGTTAGTGAAATATCCTTACAAAATTCGTCAACGTATATGCTTGAAATAAGTTGAAAATTTCAACTTGAAATGTGAAGTGTTGGTTTGTTATTTATTATTGTGTACTTATTTATTTTATTTAGATCATTGGATTTAGATTTTTAGATTCTGGTTTTTACTCTATTATAAATTAGTTACGCTTCGAATTACGACGATTGGCACAAAATTTAATTTGTCCTGATAAAATCTAAAGCACAAAAGACAACATCTATGTAAAATTTGTATATTTACTTATATTTCTCTCTTTTCATAATTATTTTCAAGGTAGCTGGCGTAAAATTAAAATCCATCCATAAAGATGGTGTTGACGGAAGATATCGTTTTACCAACGGACGAGGATCTGACGGTACAAGAGGTCAACGTGAGCACTCCGTATTTGAAAGCAGCGAGCATGTTTCTGGGAAAGCATTGTGAAGTTGTCAACAATGTGAGTGATATTTTTAAGATAGACGATTAATTATAGACACCATCTTAATAATGCATTTGTATTAATTTGTAGGAGTACATGCTGTGCAAAGCGGAAGAAAAGGACCCTCGCAATTGTATAAAAGAAGGGAAAGCAGTGACGGCTTGTACTCTAAAGTTTTTTCAAATGATTAAGAAAAGTTGTCCCAAGGAGATGACAACGTATGCAAAGTGTCTTGACAAATCGAGTGCTGACATGGCCCTGCGACAGTAAGTGCATCAATAATCGAAACTTGACTCATCTCCTTATATTCAGTTTTATACATAACTTTTTGTTCTCATTGTATTTCAGCTGTCGGAACACCCAAGCTATTTTTGATTCTTGTATGTTGACTAATTTTGGAATGGAACGGCCACATTTTGGCTACCTGTGCGAGCCTAGAATTCACCACACCCAAAGACAGAAACCACTCCCAGAACCACCAGCCGTGTATCCGGATGCTCTTCCTGACCTCCCGTCTGAAGATATTCCACGTCCTGCTGCTAAATATGGAACCCGCATGCCAATGGGTTAGGAAGCTCAAGTCAATTGCAGAAACAATGTGAATTTAGTCGGAGGATGATGATTGGCTTTGTAGAAAATCTATGTATTCAAAAACTAAAAAATGCATTCGTACTGGTTTCCGTTCCCTAAATTACTGCCACCCACAACCTGTTTAAAGAATTTGTAAATATAAATTAATCAGAGAGAAACAATTCCACGGATGATAGAATATGGAACTCGGATCCATGTTAAATGATTATTCTCCATTTAGTCAGTTGCTGTAATAAACTACTTTGAAACGTATACTTTTTAAAGCGATATATAACACGTACATTTTATTATTGCTTGGAAAAGTTAGTCTAAAAATTCATTGTAGCTCATTTATTCATTTTTTAGTAAATTAGATCTAGAGATGAAAATTTATTATTATCGTTTAAAAAATACGAAGTGCCCTCACGCGAACCCAATTTCCCTCAAGTTCTGATTAAGTATCATACTATGAACATCCACAAACACCTATTGAGAATCAAACATATTGCGTAATTTGCCTGTAAGATTAAATATATGCTTACATAATTTACCAGTTTTATGTTATTGGTATCCGTGGCCGTTGTGAAATGAAAGAACAGTTCTCTATGGTCTCTGGGTGGCTTTTTATATTTGTGATCCTCCTGAAACCCGACGGTGGGTGTGGTAGTTTTGCGTGGTGTTGGGGGTGGTGTAACGTCAGTTGCGAGCTGTGAAAAAGGAATCATTGTTGCAAAAAAGTTAACAAATTGCTGGGACTCATGCAAAATTTGGAAGAAGTACTCACATGAAAAAGATCTCGGATAAAGCATCGCGTTCTAATGTAAGTATCATTGTTGTCTCCATCCTCCGGATCGACGGAATAGGTGTAGTATTGAGGAAAATACTGGCCAATATTGTTGCCTGCATTTATCTTATCTTTTAGGAGATCTTGTTTGTTAAGAAAGACAATGAACCCCGCATATCTCAGAAATCGGCTGATCCACACGTCTTAAACGGTAGAAAAAGTGTTTCCAAATTTTAGAACTGATGGGTATGTACAAGTGATTTTTACTATTTTTTTTATATGGTCATCATTTACCTTGAAATAAGTTGAGTGACTCTTGGAGTCTGTTGATGGGTCGTTCTTCATCGGCTACGAGAACTTGGTCGAACGTGTTACAAGCGACCATGAATAGGACGGTTTGGATACCATCGAAAACCTGAGATTTTTTTATTAGCGATACCTTTACTACTTTTCATCACTTACAATTTGTCAGTATTTTGTTTATGAAATTTACCTGAATCCATTTCCTACGCTCACCTGTTGATCAATAGACATTTTTTAACATAAATTGGGAGGAGATGATTACTACTGAGAAATTTTACCCACCTTTCTGTCCTCCCACATCGAACCTAATGGCAATAAAATAATAATTATTAATCATGTCAACTATAACCTTTTATCATGATCTTACATCCAGAATTTTTGTGGTCCACCTCCACCAAACTTTTTAGGTATGGGCACTTCAAATTCGATTTTCTGAATGCCAATAGTGGTTCTTCGGGAATGGAGCAAGAACTGAATATTTATTCGATCAGGCTTTCATTACGGAAGCTTTTACCTCAATTTACATATTTATGAAGAAGTGTTTACCTGATCACTCGGGAAAAAGCTTGGACTCGCAATTTCTAGAACTCGGTCCAAGAAGCTACAACAAAATTACCATTTTTCGCTGTTATTGTTTTGCATTTACATAAACTTAATAAATTATTAGCATACAATTTAGCACAATCTGGTAAAAGGTATTCAGCTGCCCGGTTGAAGCATTTTTGAACACCGGCATCTTCCCATAATCGCTTGACATGACCAAAGTATTCCTAAAAAATAGTTTAAATTTGCATGCTTAACTTAATTATACGATTACAGTGTTAATTATTGCAGCTAGACTTTTACTACCGGTGTGAAATCTTTATTTTTCGCGATGGTCATATTTCGTATAAAAGTCCAACTCGACAAGTTGCTCTTGTTCCCCAAAGATATCTGCAAAGTCGCCATTTGGGTGACTAAAGTTGATATGCATTCGAACAAGTTGTCCTTTATTATTTCGCGACATGCGAGTCGTTCACTGCAAAATTGTAGGTACATACATAGTTCTTTATTAGTCATCACTTCATGTTTCCAGTTATCATCACTTTACTGATTATTTATTTCGGCTTACTCATCATTGAATCCTTGCACGTGCAAAATTTTCATTTGCTTAATTATTGTCGTTTTCCCAGTCTCACCAGACCCCAAAAGCAGGATTTTTATAATTTTGTTATAATTTTCGTTATGCTCTTTCAATATCTTTTCCACTTGTTGGCTAATCTTCCTCCCATTTTGAGTCTGCGATTGAGACTGCGTCTGCGACTTTGACCACCCGAAGAACTTCTGCTAGAAACGAGTTACAGAAATGACGAATATTACGGATATGCATTTTTTTTCATCCTTGAAAATATTTGGCCAGTTTCTAATTACATTTCACAATAAGCACTAATTTATGCACATATTTTCGCATTTCTTACATACCTTTATCGACTTTGTGGTAGGCATCCCCATGAATGCACTTAATTAATTTCCGTTAATAATATCAGATTCAGAGTACACCTGCAATATGGGATTAATTATCCCAAATATTAACGTCTCACTAATGTCCATTCAACACAAATCTTACTGGTCACGCAAGAACATTAGTTATTCGAAGCGAATAATAATCACAATTATGTAATAACAATTGTTTTTAGTGCATGGTCACAAAATTTTATTGGACGCCCTTTATATTTCTTACGACTATACTTGTTAAAACTCGCACTTGACTAAACCTCCAGATCGATATTGTTACTGTATCACTGTTACGTAAATTGAGTCGTTAAGCTGAAAAAGAGCACTTGACATTAGCCGAGAATCGGACGGATGGCTTCTTTAGTTTGGTGCAGATTTGATCTGATGTCACTTGACAAATACGTCCGTGCCGTAATCACATCACTCTCTCGTCTCCCGATCAAATTCAAGGTATTCGTGTAAAGATCACAAGTTGCGGAGTTTGATTTGAATGTCATCCGTAATTCGTGGTTGGTTGTGTACAATAATGCAGTGCATACCCTAGCAAAGTAACATCATAGAATGTGATATGCCTGCCTGCATATGCTCTTTGGCACTACGTAATTGAACATGGTTGATGATAAGCAGAAAAAAACATGCAGATAACCTATCTCCCTTTGCCTGGTGATATGATGGTGGTGGTGATGATTATGCATGATTATGAAAGGAAGAACTCACCCAACAATGAATGCCAAGTTCTTTTTTGGCAAGATATGCCTAACTTTTTAAGAGAATTGTTAATGCACTCTGTCATTCGCGTCAGTCAGTGGGTGGAAACTGACCCCAATTGTGTACATTCTGAAAATCAGAAATTGCAAAAAAAACTATGTATTTATCAGACCAACTCGTCAATAATCCTTGTGATTGTCATGTTATTGTCAAAATCCGCAGATTGACCATGTTCTGTTTATTAAATTCATTGAATTATGAGCTCTTTACAGGAAAATTTTATGACATTCCACTCCTGGAATCACACTCCTGTGCAGTGTCAGATACATAATCAACATGCACCTGAAACCTTGCTTAGTAAGTATTTTGATGAGCAAAATTCATAATGTTGATTTATTGTCAGTCATTCATAATCGGAGCAACAGTCTCAAAACCCGAGAGCAAGCACACTCAACTCGTATTATCAACATTTTGCATGCATACCTATTTATTATACCAAAAACACAATCAGTCTGAATTTAAATAAGAGTAACAAATAAAAAATTGAACATACCATTCGTACAAGAGCTCCAACAAATCAAATCAACAACGAGGGGCAGATAAGAGGAGATTAGAACAATTATTATGCAGGCGTCCCACCTGACCGGAGAATTTCCGGTTAATCCACTCTGGCAAAAATAAATTATTGATCCTCAAGGCTTAATTTGAGAGATTATTTCCCAAACCAATTGGCCAACTGTTTATAAATATTTGTCTGATTATCCGATACTTTAGGTTTAGGTGACACAAATGAACTTTTCTCTGAAACAAATCCCACACACTGAAGTCATTTATTTATGTACAATATGAACAAGTTTGCTTTAAGTGGAATTAAATTTGTGGTGCTTTTCCCAAGAAGTCGAGTCATAGGACTATAATATATGTGTCTGTAGGAGGGGGACGCTATGTGTACCTGTACGGGTTGAGAATCCGGATGTTTGTGCTAAATAAAGGATTTATGGATCATGTACAAAAAATCTGGAATGGATGGATTCCATGTGATGACTATATTGACATCGGGACGCTCCTCCACACATTTACTGATACTGCAACTTAACAAAGGTTGGAGGGCGACATCGTTTTATCGCTGCATTACGTATGCGGTTTGGATTGGAGCAACATTTATTCTGTGGAGAAAAACTGTCTGATTTCGAAAGATGTGTGTAAAAATTGTCAAAAATTGTGTAGCTAGTTTCAGTCTAAATGCTAACATGACGGGCGAGAGGAGACAGTGCATTCGTTCGTGGGAAATGGAATCATGGCGTCTTAAATAGTTTGTTTGAGTTTGATATTGTTTTTGGCACGGGTCCCTCTGATTTGGCATGATTAATACATTTTATGACGGACAGATTTACTGTAAATACTTATCCGTGTGAGAAACCAGGCAGGCGTAGGATCGAATTCTGATCCGGTTCGATGAATTTGAATGAAAAGGAGTAAATTTGTGGGAGACGGGTTTAAAATTATATCCATCATAAAGAGCTCGATACACATTTCAATAATTTATGACGCACTTCTCCGCGTAGTAGACACCCATTTTCCATTAAAGAACATTAAAAATCCTCAAAATGTTGTTAACTCTGCCAAGAAAGTGTCAGCACTCGAGGCAAATTGGAAATAATATTTAAATCTGTGTAGGATAAAGGTCAGTGAGTAATAAGTCACTTCATGCTATTTTTTGTGCCCAAAGTATTTACAAATCAACCGTGTTGTACATAACTGCGAAAATAAATTCCTTGCGAATTTTTGGCAAGACAAATTTGAAATATCGAAAAATTCGAATTTCTCAAGAGTAAATTAATGGATGCAACATATCGTATTCATGTTCATAGGTGCGGATACATTTTACAAATGTTCACGCTGTTATTTAACAATCTGGTAGAGTAATATGTACGTATTCGCTGGTAGGATTGGTATAGGATTGGTAGTAATTTGTTTCTGAGTGGTAAATTTTTAATTATCTATTTATCATAATATTACTATACTGTAATGCCTGTTATTACCAGAGCCGGTAGAGTCATGCATGTACTCCGGTCAGTAATAATTTAGTGCAAGTTTTCTGATTAGTGCACTATTTACATACATCTACGTAAAACATTATCTGCAACGACATGGCGGTGCTTACTATTTAATAAAGCAACATTTGTCCATTTATAACAATTTTGAAACCGATCAATCATCTCCCCAAAATGGAAAAATAACTGACCATGCATGGATAAATCCTGGGAATTCTCCAAACCTCGTCGTGTGGACAGATTGCGTATGAATCTTTCGCAGGTTTCGGGAAATTCTTGTTCAGCATCAGCACGCTTTCTCGGATCGAATTATTTCTTGGCACCTTTCCCTCAGCAAATAGTGACTGCGGGACAATGCTTTAGACAAGTGGGCTAAAAATAATTTTGGTTAATACACCAACATTAAGCTCTGCTAAGATTTCTACTCTATTAAAATCATGGATGGATCTATGTATCGCAGGCCTTCTTCTTACGTGTTTTTGTTTATAGCTTGTCTGCTGACGTCTTGAGCTTGGTCGGTGGATGCGTTTGAAGGTTTTAGCTTAAAGTTAACCTTGTGCTTTATTTCTCGGCGCAAGTGAAGCATTTAAAACATAATTTAGCAAACGCGTACGTATTTATGTGCTTCTGCTGCTGATTAAGCCCAGAGATCAATAGTTTTATTAGTTTGGCGAATTTGGGGAAGTCAAGTGGCATACGTAATAATTTCCTCAAGTGAATTATTTATTGCTTTGTTGGTTCTGGTTGTTTTAAATTTAAAATGTCGGTTTGAACTACGTATACGGTTGAATTTATATATACATATCCGGCATGTGGCGCAGTTACGGCGTTACATATTCGGGTCGGGTCACACAATCTGGGAAAAATAATTAATTCTAAATTATATAAGAAGACAGTGAAAGTTGGCAAGATCAAAGTAAAAATAATTCCACACAGACCATGTCATTTTCCGTATTACGAAAAGTGGTGCCTTGGAGTTGGTCCACAATTTTGATAATATTGTGTTTTTATCTGAATCAGTATTGTGAAGGTTAGTAAATACACACATAAATATATTGTGCCTATGATTCGATTAAATGATTGTAATTGAGCCTGGTTAAAATATCAATGTTTCGAAACCGCAGGGAAACGAATGTGTTACATTTGTAATACAAACAAACTTGCAAACATAACTTTGGAACGAGATTCCTGTCTGGACAACCCAGAAAACGGTACAAGTCCAGAAAACATTGTTGAGTGCAAACATTTTTGTACGATTAAGCGTAAAGAGTTCCTCAGCATTCCAGGTACTTATTTTGTAATTCTATGAAATGTCAGTGTTATGGGTGCAAGAAATAACCGCAAGAAAGTAGTTTCTTGCAGCTATTTCGACCTGCAAGAAATGCAAGGGGGAAAGAAACTACGTCGCCCCCACCCGTTATACATCATCCGGTGCGTGGCTAGATGGGGGCCCCATCATGGGGCATATTTCTTGCACTTTCTTGCAGTTTCTTGCTTTGCAGTGCAAGAAATGTAGCAAACCCGCAAGAAACGAAAAACTGTAAAGTAAAATTTATTTTACATTATGCATAAAATCTCACACTCCGTTTTATATTAATATTTTAAAATATAAATCCGAAATGTTTAAATACTTTTTCTCATAAAACAGGAGAATGGATCGTCATATCACTCGAAAGAAATTGTGAGGAGAGACCTTTCATACTCGACGGTGTAGAGGCAGAAAACCACGTCATGACTTATTACAGATCATGTCGAGCCAACCTATGCAACGATGGCGATGGACTCACCAGTACTTTCTTTACAAATACATCGAAATTATTGGAAATCATATTTTATTTATAAAACAAGCTCACGAATCTTTCCATTCTGTTTGACAGGCTTAAAATACATTCTCGACGAACCTGACGAAGAAGAAGACGACGAAAATGTTACAAATTCTTCCACCCATTTCGCCACCCCTTCGCCCAACTATCGCTCTACAACTATTCGAATATTTAAAATCTATTTTTTTGCCTTTGTTGCCTTCATATTCTCAATAACTTGAAACTTTTTAGCGTAATTATTGTACAATTTGTGTACTTTCTTTTATTCTGTGACGACAATTTGTACCTCGAATTTCGAGTTGTGCAGTAAAGTAATCCAGATTAAATCTTTGTATTAATTCCGGCTACTTTATGTAACAGCTAGTGGAGGGAGTTTAATGACGCAGCATCTTCTCCTATGCGCAGGAAGGTTTTGCACTTGGGGAGCTACTTGGGGCATTAATTTGATATTGCTAAATATGTGAAGTAATCGAGTTTAATTTTTTTTTTATCCAGACTTTGTGAAAAAAATGACGCCACCTTTTTCCTATAAAGTTTGACGTCTTTACTTGATTTTTATTTATTTTTAAATCAAATCAATTATATAATTAAGTTCTTAATTTATGGTCAACGTTTTTTTAAAAGTAATTTTAGACCAGACAAATAAAGTTTCCAATGATAGGTAGACATACAAGTTGAGTCTGAAATCGCTGGAATCAGGGTCAACATGATCAGATTTCGCGTTGTGGACTTGTGGAGCAGTGCATACTGCATACTTCATCCACACATCTACCCGATAATACATTTTCGTTCTTTACAACGTTAGAAAGTTAGTACCAATTTTTTGAATTCTCAAAGTCTGGATTTAAAAAAAAAATTTTAAATTCGATTAAACTTGCCGTAACATGAAATTAATCCCCACAAGCATCCCCTCAAGTGCAAGAACCATCATCGTCTTTTCACTCATTCGGAACATCACGATGAAGCCGACTAATTATGCATCGCACTGTTTTAAGTGCGAGAAGGAACTCCATTTATAAAGGTGTGAGCCACCAGTTATTGCAAACAATAAAATAATGCCTTCATTTTACTGAATGTGGACGGAAGAGATGAATCAAGACGAGATTTAAGACAAGGCTATGCGAGTTCATTCACCACGACATGATGAGATTTAGCGTAGAAGGAACCGAAACCCATCATTCACTTCCAATGCAACTTCTTCTTCTTCTTCTTGATCCAAGAAGACAAGTCAACAATGCTGCAATCACAAAGAATTACAAGTGAACTGGGATGATTTTTGGCTGCACTGCTTGCTGCTGCCGATCAACAATACTCGTCATCTTTTTTCATGACATTCCTTCAACTTGATGATTTTTTCGGGTAATTTCCAAAATTCATTTCCTGTCATTATTATTAAGGGGTGAACCTCAAGACTTTGGCCGTCCGTCCGTCCGTCAGCAGGATAACGGGAGAACTGATAGAGATCGATTTGCAGGATCATCAGGGGGAGGATCCTAGCAACTTTTGGGGTCAATAGGACCCCCCTCGAAATTCGGGGGGTGTGGTCACATAATTCTTTTTAGTTAATTACTGTTTCACCCTATTGCTACATTTTGTTTGCAACGGTTTATTAAATACTTACCGAGCAATAAGCACGAAAGATCTGCATAATTTAAAACGGATCAATCTGAGGATTGATTATGGATTGAGATCAACAGAGCAATCAAAATATCAATTGTCCTGAATAATACTTTTGTAGAACTCTATTGAATTTGAACTTGAGCCAGATTCCGATCCTGTTATGTGTATCAGCTTATTCAGATTATTGTATAACAAATAGCTTAATTCTCTGTCTTATATGGATTGTCCGTTCAAAAAGAGTGACATGAATATGTTGTTATGTATTCAAACCCCAGTGAGCAAAAATACTGTAAAATGATGCAAAACCTTGTCGTATAATAAATTTAACGTTAAAGAGATGCAGTCATGAAAGAGTAAATAAATGGTTTTGTTTCTAGATCTTAAAAAAATAAAAGAATCCGGCCAATACCCGTACTTCTGGTTTTGATAGTGACCTAACTGTTGTTCGTTCGTTAATAAAATGATATCTGAAACGAATTGGTGCCAATTAATGCAGAATCGTATTTGAATTAACATCACCCCAGACTGTGCATACGTACGTACTTTCGTAATAATAATGGGGCTGTTGTTTGTTGGTTGATCGACCTAGACCATAACCTGTGTCACTTACTGTTGACTGGCTTGAATCGGTGAGGTTGTGGACATCATCGTGTAGATGACCATCATCGTCGTCGTCGGCATATCGTACCGGATAGAAAACCAACCAACCTCAACTATTCAGATAATGCTTGGACCGGATTGGTAGGTTTTGTCGCAGATGGGGACGACAACAGGTGTGAAGTCTTGGACTCCGGTTACTCAATCTCGCTTTACTTGAGACTTTTTAACCTTTTGTCTCAAACATATTTAAATTCGCCAATTCTGGTTGACAGAGAGAAATCGAGAACGGAGAACAAGGAACGAAGGTCAGTCAAATGACACCATCTTCACGTGTCATCAGCGTCCCCATTTAAAGGAGCAGGACTACACTAATGTATGCAAAAGACAACAATTAAGAGAAAAGTGATAGTTCATCGTAACTGTAATTATGTAGACGGGGGAAACCCGGTTGGGGCAAAGGCTTAGAAAAACTTTGACAAATGCGTGCATACCGATACATTGCTCCAGTAAATATGTTGTCACACTAACTACACACACATATCACATGTGAAGGTGTATCATTTAGCAGGGTACCAAATGAACCAATATATGCACATATTTATGAATGTGTATACCACCATTTGATTTCCAGAAACGCATTGACATTCTATCCTTAATCCCAATCAAGTTAAGCTTACCTGTGGCCAGCACTCTGCTTTCTGAGGGAAAGGCAACACAACAATAAAGAACCATTAACACCGTCAGAATTATGCCTAAGCAATCAGGTAATGTGGTACATTTTATTACTGACAAGTAAGTAAGGAAGTAAGCATTTAGCCGTGTACTTATATCCACTATCCACTGCCTACCACTTATTCGGTACATTATTAGTCGGTCTCTTTTCTTCTCGGGTTTTATAAAACATTAAACCCATCGAAATGAAGACTCCTCCTGAATACCTTTTGAAACGAGAATCATCACCATACCACGAGCAAGGTGATGTTTTTACTACAATCGAACGTACGTACTCTAGACCTTACTTACTACTTCTACGAGGAGGACTACCTGTTTTCAGCTTGATCAGCATCAAACCGTTCACAATTTGAAAAAAGTTTGCATTCATTTTATTCCGTATCTCTCCCCTGGTTCGGAAGAAGATCTCTCAATCTCGCCTGCCTTGTGATATTCGATATCCATCCCTTATTCGATTGCATTATTATTACTGCAGACTTGCCCACTCGGCGTGTATGCCCTGGCGCAGGGAGTGAGTTAGTGCTGCAAGGTGGATGTATGTATGCATGTACATATCCTCTCATCTCAAGTGGTTGAAGATTTTACAGTAACCGTAAAATGAAACGCAACGTAATATTAATGATGGCATGGGAGTGCATGGCTGGGCCAGGTAGTCGTCGTCGTAGTAGAGTCTTCTTGGTCTTGTAATCAGTGGTTTCAGTTTGGTGACTTGAGTTCAGTCCGAAGAGGTTCAGTCAAGTCCTAGATTCCTATCTGGACTTACCACCGCTTCGACCAGAGAAGAGTAAAGCAAAGGGGAACCAATTCCTCCTTGGTTGTGGTGATTCAAAGAAAACAGAACCTTGACCTTTCTTCCCTTTTGTGTGGTTTGCGTGCCTTCAAAATCAACCCGGAAGGATCTGAGGAAGTGACTGATCTGGAAAAAATGAGATTGTGCCATTCTTATCATTTGCAAAAGATTTGAACCAGTTTTTCGTGAACCAACAATTTACACGACCAGTAAACAATTACAATTTGAGACTGTTTTAAGCACGCTTTAAGTAACAATTAAAGACCGGAAGTATCGGGAGAAGTTCTGAAATCACTGCAGCTGGATTCTTAAAGGTAACAAATTTTACACAAACTGAGACTTATCATGTACATATGTACATATGCATTTTTTTCATGGTATGGCTGGGTAACCAAAAATGCATAGGCATTGCAATATTGCATCATAATTTTTTTCCATCATTTCCAAACTCGAATGTGCATTGTTGATGAATCCTGAGAGACATTTCTTCTTCTTCTCGTTATGAGATGATGCATGAAATTATAAAGTTGTACAAGCTGTGGCTTTGACTTCCTCCTCGGTCTGGTGGATGTGAAGGTGTAAGTGCGGAACCTGTTCATTTCTTTCGCATCTCTCTGAATCCGATGTTATTATGAAAGAAAGAAATGAATGTTGGTCCTAACGGGATCCCAGAAAGAAGAAGAAGAATCCTTCTCATTCTCACTCAACCGGCCAAGACAACAAACAATGGATGGACGGAATGACCACTATAATACTTCACACAAATCCTACGATTCAACCTAATTCGCCTCGAGCTATGCAAAAGCTGCATGTACAGTTTGTCCCGATACAACAAGTGCGAATTGACGAGATGGATGGGAAATAAAGTGCATGGTCACTCGCACAACTATATCGGCACGACTAAATATCTGCATACATAGGAAGACGGATTAGGTATTAGGTTTCCAATTTCATGCCACTATTTACTCCTGGCTTGCATAATATTAAATTATTTTATGGATCATACCTAGTTTTTTTACGGTAAGCGTGACAGGTTATTAGCACACAGGTGAAATAAGAGCAGTCAGCCATGAGTACAAAAGATATCTTTGGATAAAGACAGGGATCAAGTTGACAATTTTATGAGGTGCAATCTACCCAACCTTTCCTCATGATAAGTATTTTTTAAGTCTTGGGCTCAATTTGAAATAAAGATTGTAAAAGGGAGGTGATTTTACGGATGAGACGACCACTTATTGCCTGTCATCGGCGTGCCATAATCATCTATTTTTTTACAATGACCAATAAATCTAAAGCAATTTTTATGTAAACGGCACTCATTATTAGGAACCTACATATTCCCAGACGACGACATTATTATTTTTTCTCTGTCCTGATCCGAACAATTTAACTTTTGCCCTAAAAACACATCTTGGTCCAATAAACCTGAATTTGTCCGTCAGTCAGACTTTGCATGCTGAGATTTACTTACTTACTTACCTGTTGAACCGCTTAGCTCACGTATTACTTACCAGTTCTTATCCACACTTTATTATTATCCGCATTTAATTTAAATAAAATTCAATTACGTTTATTTGAAAACAGTTAGATTTCGATTAATTCAGTCGTGTCATGCATATCCACGAAACGAAATGAGGTAACAGCAGCAAGGGGGGTTGCAAAAGTAACCCGACGGGATGTAGGTACCTCGCAGCATCTCATCAGCCGTCGCGTCCGGCCGTGACCGTGCCTCATCTGAATTTCATTTCGTTTTATTATGTAAACCCAATTGACCAAGTAAACTATGCAAAAAATATGCACAACCAGCCCGTGACTGGTTTATGTACTTCGGGCTTTACATTCGGTCCCCTTTCTACATCTTTTTATTTGAATTTTCATGTGACATAAAAATAATTTGATGAAAATAAATGGGGGTGGGTGGTCGTAATAAATACGCGCCACACGGGTCGGTTCGTAGTTAAATCCTAACTTGGGCAGTTAAAATAAGAAGGAAAAGTAGAGTAGTCCGAAAAATTAAATTAAAGCAGTGGGCCAGAGAGTGGGGATCGTTACTTTATTTTATGATAATTTCACTCTGCAAACGAACTAATAAACGTCATTCTTTCCGGGCTAGTTTGCAAACTCGTGTGATATGACTGTTCCGAATATTTTCGAATTTATCGTCAATAATTGTAATTGTTGAGTCGTCGTTAAAGTGTAGAACATAATAATTTAGGGACATTATTGCAAAATTAGGACAGAATTTTAGTAAACTTTCCGTCCACATCGTCGTCCCATTTAGGGTTTCGCTTTCCAAGAATGGTTCTACTAAATTGCTTGACTGGTACATATTTAAAAACTATGCAGTTTTTAAGTACCGAATTTCCCGTTATTTCTACGACGAGTCAAATGCATATAATTCATTCTCAAGTCATTCATTCTAAATAAGACTGCAGCTCAGGTAGACCGCACGATATTCTATTATCGCATCGCTAAATGGCCAGGAGACCTATTTATCTTCACATGTTTCTATTTCTGATCATCTTCCAAGTATGTACAGCCATGCAGCTTATTCAACAACATAAGCCGATTAGCAATAGATTTCAAACTACTATAAATCCCATTGTGCAAGTATCAAGCTACAAGATTCCAGTCGTAATTAATGTGTCAATGTTCTCTCTCTTATGCTTCCAGGTATGACTCATCATCACACCTGTCCAATCCAAGAATAAATACTTACTTAATTGCTTCCGGATAGTAAAAGCGTTCTATTACGCCGTAGTCGTCGTCGTCGCCACCGCCGTCGACATCCATATATTGAACTGATAGTGGACACGCCAAAGGAAGAAACGGGATTTGGTCCAAATCTCGTGTTGTGGCAGACAGATTAATAATGCGGGTCCGAACGAAAGGAAATGTGTTCTCTTTACTGATTCTTCTTCTCACCCTCAAGTCTTCCCCACTTTTTGCTTATCCTCCACTAACCACGAGGGAGGTAACAACATCATCTTTCCCATCATCCTCGTCCGAAGGATTGAAAGAAGATCTTAGCCGAGGTGAGTAAACTCCACGAGTTGTTAATGAATAAATGTGTGTTGGACGACAAGCAGTCATCATAATGCACGCCACACGGACACTCTTTTCTTTCACACCGGTATTGCATTGTGAAGAAGAAAGAAAGGCTAATAAATCTCGTCTTCTTCCGGATTGGACTGACCACTTCGTCTTTTCGCGAGGAGGATGATGAGTCGTCGATGCTAAAACTTGTGGACCACTTACAACCTCTTTTTATTGTTGCGTGTGTGAGAAATGAGTAATTACAATGCAACCGAGTCATGTTGTGATCAAAACAAGAACAATGGATCCAGTTTTTAATGACAGGCAGGATGGGAAAGGCAATTAGTTAACTACTTTTTGATAGGCTGAAAATTCGAGAATCTTCTTTTTTTACCTTGAACCAATGCAATGTAATAACATGTGATATTTACATTTATTACGTATTGTGATACATTATTTCGGTCGAGTTCCGTTATTATTATGCACCGAGTGCACTTTTTATTTCCATATTTGGCCATCCCAAGCAATGAGGGAAAGAACTAGTTTTTTCACCTAGAGCTTTAAACTGACTTTATTCTGCTCAACGAGTTGTATAATAGCAAAAATCTGCTGATAGTTATATATTATTAATTGCACATATATAAGTAACTAACTGTAAGGGGGTAAATAATTTTCCACTGATTGAATTGGTTTAATTAATACTGGTGTGGTGCACTAAATCAATTAGTTCAATTATGAATCATAATTTATGATTGTCATTTCAGAGACGAATGGACGAAATATCAGACCGTTATCTTGCCAGCACAGGGAAAGTGGACAGATTGGAGTTTGTATGTTTGCATGGGATTGTATGAAGGTAAGGTTAATTTCTTATATTGATCAATTAATTTATTACATAACATGGATTTATGGCCCTCGTAATGCGTAAAGAGATGCGTAACACAAACACAGTTTCTTCATTAAATACCTGTCGAAATATTTACACATTCCTTTGGATTTTTTAGGTGAACGGAACCCACCTGGGAACATGTATAGACCGTTTTTACTTTGGATCCTGCTGCGACTTGGGAGACAGGACGGAACAAGTGATTCAATCATTGGCGTCTCAACAACAGGCCAGCATGCGACCACCCCTCCGACCTGTGACGACTGTGCGAACAACTTTGCGACCAATTACAGAATATCCCTTGAAACTCAGTACATTTCAAGATGTACACGGTGTTAAACCGTCGCAGAGACCGGCGGGATTCAATTGTCCAGAACACCTCGGTTTCATTTGTGGGACAAGTACAGAAAAGCCACAAGGAGATGAAGGAACTACGACAAGGTTCCCAATAGTGTTGCCTGGTTTTCCGGAATGGGGGACTACGCCTACAACTCCTCAAACAACTTTGCCACCGGTGACCACCCCCACAACGCCTACTCTTCCTTCAACCCAACTACCTGAAATTTCTAGCCCAAATACACCGATTGATGTGAACCCTCCAGACGTTCCAGTGCAAGTCCCAGGAAACCCAATTGGGGGAGGAAATAATGAAACGTCTTCGGATGCTGAGCAGCCAAGTAAGCCCCCTCAACAACCTCAACAGCCTCAATTTCCAGGAATTGGAAATGGAACAATTCCGCAGCTACCAGTTCAACCGCCAGAGTTGCCAATTAATGGGACGGCTCCTCAACTTCCACAACAACCAGAATTACCAATTAATGGAACAACCCCACAACTTCCTCAGCAGCCAGAGTTGCCAATTAATGGAACAACCCCACAACTTCCTCAGCAGCCAGAGTTGCCAATTAATGGAACAACCCCACAACTTCCTCAGCAGCCAGAGTTGCCAATTAATGGAACAACCCCACAACTTCCTCAGCAGCCAGAGTTGCCAATTAATGGAACAACCCCACAACTTCCTCAGCAGCCAGAGTTGCCAATTAATGGAACAACCCCACAACTTCCTCAGCAGCCAGAGTTGCCAATTAATGGAACAACCCCACAACTTCCTCAGCAGCCAGAGTTGCCAATTAATGGAACAACCCCACAACTTCCTCAGCAGCCAGAGTTGCCAATTAATGGAACAACCCCACAACTTCCTCAGCAGCCAGAGTTGCCAATTAATGGAACAGCTCCTCAGCTACCGGTTATTCCAGGTCAACCAGGAAATGGCACAAATTCAGATAATCCGCAACCAACATTTCCAGGGTTAGGAAATGGAACAATTCCCCAATTACCAGTTCAACCGCCAGAGTTGCCAATTAATGGGACGGCGCCACAACTTCCTCAGCAGCCAGAGTTGCCAATTAATGGGACGGCGCCACAACTTCCTCAGCAGCCAGAGTTGCCAATTAATGGGACGGCGCCACAACTTCCTCAGCAGCCAGAATTGCCAATTAATGGAACTGCGCCACAACTCCCGCAACAGCCAGAGTTGCCAATTAATGGCACAGCGCCTCAATTGCCGACCATTCCCGGACAACCAGGTCAACCAGGAAATGGCACAAATTCAGATAATCCGCAACCAACATTTCCAGGGTTAGGAAATGGAACAATTCCCCAATTACCAGTTCAACCGCCAGAGTTGCCAATTAATGGGACGGCGCCACAACTTCCTCAGCAGCCAGAGTTGCCAATTAATGCGACGGCGCCACAACTTCCTCAGCAGCCAGAGTTGCCAATTAATGGGACGGCGCCACAACTTCCTCAGCAGCCAGAGTTGCCAATTAATGGGACGGCGCCACAACTTCCTCAGCAGCCAGAGTTGCCAATTAATGGGACGGCGCCACAACTTCCTCAGCAGCCAGAGTTGCCAATTAATGGAACGGCGCCACAACTTCCTCAACAACCAGAGTTGCCAATTAATGGAACGGCGCCACAACTTCCTCAACAACCAGAATTGCCAATTAATGGGACGGCGCCACAACTTCCTCAACAACCAGAGTTGCCAATTAATGGAACTGCTCCTCAATTACCGGCCATTCCTGGGCAGCCCGGTCAACCAGGAAACGGCACAAATTCAGATAGCCCTCAACCACAATTTCCAGGGTTAGGAAATGGAACAATTCCCCAGCTACCAGTTCAACCGCCAGAGTTGCCAATCAATGGAACAGCGCCACAGCTCCCGCAGCAGCCAGAATTGCCAATTAACGGAACAACGCCCCAATTACCAATTAATGGAACAGCGCCACAACTGCCAATTAACGGGACGGCTCCACAACTTCCTCAACAACCAGAATTGCCAATTAACGGGACGGCTCCACAACTTCCTCAACAACCAGAATTGCCAATTAACGGGACGGCTCCACAACTTCCTCAACAACCAGAATTGCCAATTAACGGGACGGCGCCACAACTTCCTCAACAACCAGAATTGCCAATTAACGGGACGGCGCCACAACTTCCTCAACAACCAGAATTGCCAATTAACGGGACGGCGCCACAACTTCCTCAACAACCAGAATTGCCAATCAATGGAACAGCACCTCAATTACCGGCGATTCCTGGGCAGCCCGGTCAACCAGGAAATGGCACAAATTCAGATAATCCACAACCAACGTTTCCAGGAGTAGGAAACGGAACAATTCCCCAATTACCAGTTCAACCGCCAGAGTTGCCAATCAATGGAACAGCGCCACAGCTCCCGCAGCAGCCAGAATTGCCAATTAACGGGACGGCTCCACAACTTCCTCAACAACCAGAATTGCCAATTAACGGGACGGCTCCACAACTTCCGCAACAACCAGAATTGCCAATTAACGGGACGGCTCCACAACTTCCTCAACAACCAGAATTGCCAATTAACGGGACGGCTCCACAACTTCCGCAACAACCAGAATTGCCAATTAACGGAACAGCCCCTCAGCTACCGATTATTCCTGGTCAACCAGGTCAACCAGGAAATGGCACAAATTCAGATAATCCTCAACCAACGTTTCCAGGAGTAGGAAACGGAACAATTCCCCAATTACCAGTTCAACCGCCAGAGTTGCCAATCAATGGAACAGCGCCACAATTGCCAATTAACGGAACAGCTCCACAACTTCCGCAACAACCAGAGTTGCCAATTAATGGGACGGCACCACAACTTCCGCAACAACCAGAGTTGCCAATTAATGGGACGGCGCCACAACTTCCGCAACAACCAGAGTTGCCAATTAATGGGACGGCACCACAACTTCCGCAACAACCAGAGTTGCCAATCAATGGGACGGCGCCACCACTTCCGCAGCAGCCAGAGTTGCCAATCAATGGAACAGCGCCACAATTGCCAATTAATGGAACAGCGCCACAACTTCCGCAACAACCAGAGTTGCCAATCAATGGGACGGCGCCACAACTTCCGCAACAACCAGAGTTGCCAATTAATGGTACAGCGCCACAAATACCGGCTATTCCTGGTCAACCAGGTCAACCAGGAAATGGAACAAATTCAGATAATCCTCAACCAACATTTCCAGGAGTAGGAAACGGAACAATTCCCCAATTACCAGTTCAACCGCCAGAGTTGCCAATCAATGGAACAGCGCCACAACTTCCGCAACAACCAGAGTTGCCAATTAATGGGACGGCGCCACAATTTCCAATTAATGGAACAACGCCACAACTTCCTCAACAACCAGAGTTGCCAATTAATGGAACAGCGCCACAATTGCCAATTAATGGAACAACGCCACAACTTCCGCAACAACCAGAGTTGCCAATTAATGGGACAGCACCAAATTTGCCAATTAACGGAACAGCGCCACAGCTTCCGGTTCAACAGCCTACAACCACCTCAACTCCACCGACTGAGGGAGATCAACCCGCACTGCCTCCATTCCCTGTTCTGGACCCTGTGTCCAACGTTAGTACACCTGCTGCTCCAGTACCCGAAGTGACCAGCCCAACACAACCTACTTTACCCGAAGTAACAACACCAACAACACCAGCAGTTTCGACGCCATCCGTTCCTAACGCACCGGCCTTACCCTCCACAAACACGACCTTCCCTATCCTTATCCCACCAATTGGCGGAGGTGATGGGGGTCAAAGTGACGATGTCACCACTTCTACTACTACGACCACCACGTTTGCTCCACCAACTATCTCTACAATTCCTCCACCCACGTGGCCCGCGCATTGGCCAACTCTGCCCCCAATTACCACCAGCTCAACAACAACGACGACAGGATCTCCATCAGGTGATGAGCCTGGTTCCACGAGTACCACTACTACACGCCGTCCTTGGTTCCCAACGTTCGCCCCACCAACACCAACCACGAAGCCACCCCCACAAGGAGACGACGCACCTACGTCGCCCACCCCTCAACCTTCTCTTCCTTCATGGACCTGGAGCACGTTCGCACCAATTACTTGGACTCCGACGACGACACCTTCTCCATCCAATTTGACTACTTTGCCACCCCTCAACATTAGTACGCCCGAGCTACCCACTGTCTTTCCAACGATGACTTCAACCACCACGGGAGGGCCTATCAAGCAAGAGGTCGGGGGCACGACGGTGGATGAAGACATTTTCTTTTCAGAAAATGGAACTCTTCTCATCAACGATTACAAAAAGAGTGAGTTTTTGTTTGCTGCCTTCAAAAGCTTATGCTTCAAGTTGATCTCTTTCTAAAATATACATGACATATTTTTCTGCAGTTTGCGGGAGGAGGTTCGCACCGGAATCAAGGATTGTGGGAGGCAAGGAGTCAACTTTTGGCAAGTGGCCCTGGCAGGTAACCGAAATACAATTTTCAAAGACAAGTTATGCACTTATGATGCACCTACATATGTATGACGCTATAAATTATAATTTATGTATTCATATAAGAAAGAAGCCTGGTAACTGACTTGATCTAACTTTTCCTTAGATATCCCTAAGACAATGGAGGACTTCGACTTATCTTCACAAGTGTGGAGCGGCTTTGCTCAACGAGAACTGGGCTGTGACCGCGGCACATTGCGTAGAAAAGTATGACGATTTTAGCAAAATATATCAGCTCGAAACCATAATCTGTTATTTTATATTTGAGTGTAGTCTCTGGTTGACACATCCGAGTGCGATAGCATTTACTGACTTCCATCTCACAATTTTTACAGAGTTCCACCAACTGATCTTCTCCTTCGCATTGGGGAATTTGACCTCTCAGATGACAAAGAGCCGTACGGTTTTGTAGAAAGAAGGGTCCAAATTGTCGCCACACATCCACAATTTGATGGTAAGCACGTACATAGATAATTTCACTTTATTGAGTAACATGTTCTGCAGATTCCTTCATCTGGCTGACCTATTGTTCTACTTTTTATTTCCAGCCCGTACCTTTGAGTATGATCTCGCCCTCTTGAGATTCTACGAACCCGTCAGTAAGTTCTAAACTAAATAGAAACGTCATTTTCTCACCATTCATAAAGTACGACGAATGGTTAATCACTCAAAACTAATATTACGTTTCAGCCTTCCAGCCTAATATTGTTCCAATCTGCGTACCCGAGAATGATGACGATTATTTGGGCAAGACTGGATTTGTTACTGGATGGGGAAGATTATACGAAGGTGACATAAATAATCTCCATTAAAATCTATCCTCCACACATTCTACTACCCACATTACATTATCTACTTTCTCTTTTTATAGATGGGCCACTCCCATCAAGATTACAAGAAGTTCCCGTCCCAGTAATTAATAATGAAGCTTGCGAGTCAATGTACAGAGGTTAGTCGCTCAAAAAATGATATTTTCCTGGCGAAATAACTAATCCCATAAAATGCCCTGCGTATTCTAGCTGCTGGTTATATTGAACATATACCACACATTTTCATTTGTGCTGGATGGAGGAGTGGGGGCAAAGATTCTTGCGAAGGTATAAGATCACTTATGTATTTATATATTTCGTATGCATGTATAAAAATTGTATGACTTTTCACTGATATGTTACATAATTTCTAATTGAAAAGGTGATTCCGGCGGTCCAATGGTGCTTCAACGGGAATCAGACAACCGATGGAATCTTGGTGGTGTCATTTCATGGGGCATCGGGTTAGACAATTATTATTGTTCAATATTTTAAATGCCCAGTTGCTAAATTATAAACTAATCAATTTTATTGTTTCATTACAGTTGTGCTGAGCCTAATCAACCAGGTAAATTAATTAACTAATTAATGATTACATTATGTTCATTGAAGACAATTTCATATATTTTCATTTATTTATTTACTAGGCGTCTATACCAGAATTAGTGAGTTCAGAAATTGGATAAACCAAATTCTACAATTTTAAAAAGTATTTAAATTGGACTTTGAAATCTCCTTCATTCCAAATTACTTGAAAACGAGTTAAAGTTTTCCAGTGCGGATTATAATTAAATTAAGTATAAACACAAGTACTGTGATCAACCAAAGCAATTTTTAATTAATGATGACGACTACCTACTACGAATGAAATGTGACGACGCAACCAGGGAACTGAGAAGAATATACTACATATTTTATCCACAGAATGTACCTAATTAATGTTAGGGTTTATTAGGTCAAGCTAAATTGTTATTTATTTATTGAAACTTTCACTCTGTCCGTGACAGTACTGACAGTTTGTAATATTTTTGATATTTTATTAGCCAAGTTTGCAATTCAGTCTGTGCCAAGTAAAAGTAACGAGGATCTAGTTTATTATTTAATTGTACATAAAACAGTGTACAGGGTTTTTTAATCGGGTTTTTTAAAACGGTACTTTTACTAAATGTTTGTAAATGGATGTTAAAATATGATAATTTATTATAAAGAAAGAGAGACGTATTGAAAAAATAAAATTTCTTCGACCGATAAACGATAATTCAATGTGTAATTTGAGCTATCATTAATGAACATGATTTTTGCATAGCAGAATCACAAATGCAGTATTTTTGTAATACAATTATAACTTAAAATACTCTAAATCTAAATAAGTACTCAATTAAAGTTTCAAGTTCCTTTGGAACGTACTTTCAAAATGTACCAAAGTTTTAAGGATTTCAGGTTCGTAGATAACAAATTCATGCATTTTCCTCATTTCATCAGCTCATGGGCTCTGTAGCAAACATGGATATGTAAAGGTCGCTTAGTGCATCAGCATATTTGAAGAGAATACTTATTGATGTTACATGATGATGGATAATGCGTTTGGTGAGTGGTGAGTATCTAATAAGTCATTCATACACGAATTACATGAGCGGGGATGTTGCTCCTGCGGATAACACAAGTTGGTCAAAATACTCAAGAACTATTGCCATATTGGCCAAATTGGCCATCAGTTGATACGTAATTTTTGTTATGGTATGATCCATTCATATTTAAATAACTTTCTATATTTTGCTGTTTTGTGCTCTTTTCCTCATAACACGGACTTTGGACTGAACTTGGTCGATGTACATAATTTACTAATTGAGATTAAGATTGTGGTGACTGGTGACTACATGGAGTAGTTGTCCCCTAATTTAGTCAGACGAGTGACATATTTTAAAAACAATTGCATACAAACTAGCGAAGAAGATTACACAATTAATTTAAAATGAAGGTGTTATCAAAAAGTGAAATTGCACAAAATGCGACGGAGGAGGAGGAGTATTTACAAGATTTTCCACCAGGCCCTCTCGACGTCTACCGGAAGCAAGCTACATTTAACTGGAAGACAATGAAGTTGACAATGGAGAGCGAATCCGTTCTGAAATTCAAAGTAAGCCAAGATTATTAAATTAGCTAGTAGAGTTCTTAAAAGCTTACGAAAGTGATACCTACTTATGTCAAACTTGATGGGTAAATTTTGATAAAAAATTGAGCACATTGTGATAATTGGTCGGCATTAGTTTGAGACAATATTGATCCACTAAATGGATCCTGCATAATTTATGTATCACACAAACCCTAATGGATTTCCCCAGCAGAAATAGAATTGCACGCTTTTATAAAATTCCAAGTATCATGCAAACCCTCATGTGCATATACATATGTTGATTTTCAACTTGACTGCACCCTCAAGATTTCCCTGTCTTGATGGGTGTAACTGTGGGAAAATTACCGGATAAACGTCCCTGTTTGGGCGACATGGCGTTAAACATCAGTCTCGACGTAGACTACGATTATGATTTAATCATAATTGGTGGTGGGTCAGGTGGTCTGGCGACGGCAAAAGCAGCAGCAAAATTTGGGAAACGTGTCGCCCTATGCGATTTTGTGAAACCTTCTCCTTTCGGGACATCGTGGGGTTTGGGAGGAACTTGTGTGAATGTGGGATGCATTCCGAAAAAGCTGATGCATCAAGCCGCCCAGCTTGGACAGTCGATCGACGATTCTGTCTTCTTTGGATGGCAGTCTGGAGAAAGAAAGGAGCACGATTGGATGAAAATGGTCCAAGGGATTCAAATTTATATAAAGTCCTTAAATTGGGGGTATAAAGTGACCCTGCAACAAGACGGGGTCGACTACTACAACAATTTTGCAACCTTTTTGGACAACCATTGCATCCAACTTACTGACGACAAGAAGGGAGCGCCCATGAACCGTACGGCAGAAACGTTTATCATTGCGGTGGGAGGGAGGCCGAAATATCTGGACATTGAAGGTGGCGAGTACTGCATCTCATCGGATGACCTCTTCTCCCTGCAGAGATCTCCAGGAAATGTGCTGCTGGTTGGTGGGAGTTATGTGGCCCTGGAATGTGCCGGATTTCTTGCAGGAATCGGGCTTGATGTCACTGTGATGGTGAGGTCAATCCTTCTTCGTGGGTTCGACCAACAAATGGCCGAGTTGGTGGGGACCGTTCTTGAAAATCACGAGGTAAAATTCGAGACGTGACTAATTTTCCTTAGGATCAGATTCATATTATGCAATTCAAAAAGGTCCAATTGCTGCGAGGCTGGGTTCCAACAAAGATCGAGAAAGTTGTCGATGTCTCTGACTCTGACGATCTCCCGAAATATCTCGTCACTTCTGAGAACACAGCAACAAACGAGGTGTCCGAAGATGTTTACAATACCATCATTGCCGCCGTGGGCAGAGATCCGTGTACGCAACATCTCCACCTTGACAATGCTGGGGTAGATGTGAGCACATCGTCCGGAAAAATTCTGACCAATGCGGCCGAACAAAGTAGCGCTGGGAATATTTTCGCCATTGGTGACGTTGCTGAAGGGAGGCCAGAATTGACGCCTGGTATGTAGCATCGCATTTTAATTGTCTATGTGCGAATATATACAAATCTCCTCTCTTTGACTAGTCGCAATTCAGTCTGGCGTTCTCTTGGTGAAACGGTTGTACGGAGGAAGCAATGTTCTCGTGGATTATGGCAATATTCCCACAACGGTATTCACGCCATTGGAATACGGTTGTGTGGGGTTCTCGGAGGAAGACGCGCTTGCAGAATTTGGTGAAGATCAAATCGAGGTTTATCACCTGACTAAACAACCTCTGGAATTTGTTTTGCCGTCACGGTATTTAGTTCATTATCGTGAATTTTTACTTGCCTCACGTAATTAAAAGCTTTAAAAATTGTCAGAGATAAAACGACATGCTACTCCAAAATTATTTGTGTCAAGAATGAAAATGAACGAGTTGTAGGATTTCACTATTTGGGACCCAACGCAGGAGAAATTACGCAAGGTTTCGGAATAACCTATTAATTAATAACCAACTAACAATTATTATAATTATTAACTGGAAATTAAATATGCAAGGTTTTTCTCTCGCACTGCGGCTAAATGCAACTAAATCCGATTTCGACGAGACAATCGGGATTCATCCGACGTGTGCCGAGTTAGATTATAATCCATTTAATCCATTTATAATTCATTAATCTCTTTATAATCTGTGTATTAATGCATTTATTCCAATCGTGTCAGGTTATTTACGACGTTCACCATTACAAAGGCCTCAGGCCTAGATTGGAAAAAGACGAATTGTTGAAGTTAAGAGGTGTGCCGAGAATGAATAATTCTGGCACACCTCGTTTCCCCTGAGGATAATCAACGCGAGTCATTTTTCATACGAATATCATGAAAATGTTATGAAATCAGTGCTTCAAATCCTTATCTTTGGGAAGGGTATTGATGGATTGCTCGTTTGATTGCCCTACATATAATTTTTAGTTAAGACATACGTAATTTATGGATGGGAACATTCTAGCTTTTATCAAACAAAATGTAATAATAATAATACTAATTGAGAAAATGCATCGCAAAAATGAGTAAAGTTAACCTCTATTTTTCACAATTTCCAGCACAAAGTTTGGAAAACTTTGGAGAACGACCCAATATTTGCCCACAATCCGTTAAAACCAACGCTGGAGGAAGCTCGAAGTCGTACGATGCAGCAAGTGCTTCGGGTTTTACAACACAAGTTCTTGAGTGAAGATGATTTAATGGAAAATCCAACTCTGGTAATGTCAATTGAATGCTAATTTATTTATCTTCATGGTTAAGTTATTTTGACTTGTAGGAAAATTCTCTGATGATGGCTTTGGGTCAATATGACTGGTCTTTGGGGGCAAGAATATCTCTACTTTTTCTATTCTTCAAAAACACTATTAGAGGACAAGGAACAGCGCATCATTACGATCTAATGGACAAAGTTGATAACGCGGAGGTTTTCTTTTCAATTATTTTTAAAAAGATTTGTATATTTGCAAGAATTTGTATTCCTTGAAACTTGTTTTGTTTAAATATAGATTACGGGTTGCTTTTGTCTAACTGAAGTATCTCATGGTTAATTTCGCAACATTTAATAACAAAATTGCCATTTTGGGACAGCATATGAAATGAATATGTATTTAATACAGGAACGAATTCTCGTGCATTACGAACGGAAGCAAGGTATGATCCAGTTCTGAAGAGGTTTGTCCTGCACTCCCCTGATTTTGAAGCTGCCAAGGTTTGGGTCGGGAATCTAGGTCGGATATATGTATTAATTAGTAATAAACCTTGTAAATAAATAGCTAACCGGCAATCAATTAATTTTTCAGCAAAAGCGGCGACCCACGCAGGTACGTAGATTATAATCTATTTGCATCCTCTAAAAAAATCCGTTCCACATGTCGCTATCCTATTATGAGTGAAATACACGGAATCATTATCAAAAATCAAAATCATTGCGCACATTATAATAATTAGATTAAAGTAAATTTTATTATGTTCCGTCCATGTAGCCGTCTTTGCCCAGTTGATAACTCCCGACGAAACATGTCATGGTTTGCACTGCTTCATTGTTCCGATCCGTGATCAACATACGATGTTGCCCTTTCCTGGCGTAATAATTGGTGATATGTACGTGCAGCAATCTCATGAAATTTTGAACAGTGATATTTAATCTTATTTATTAACCTATGCATTTAATTAATGTGTGTTGTGATATTAGGGGAGAAAAACTAGGACTTAACGGGATGGATAATGGGTAGCAAGAATTCCGACTACTTATCTGTACAATATTCAAAATTAGTGTAAAAGTCTTTAGTTGAATTGCTTATTTCTTTGGTCCAGCTACATGATGTTTGACCACTACACAATCCCTCGTGAAGCCCTTTTGAATAAAAGTGGAGATGTCGATGAGGACGGAGTGTACGTCACTCCTTTCAAGGATCCAAACAAACGCTTTGGTAAACGAGAATAAGAGTTTTTACCCTAAAAGTTTTTTCGGGTATTATGTATATAATTTAACAATTTTCTTTATTATGTAGGAGCATCGTTAGGAAATTTATCTGCTGGTCGGGTAGGAATCGTGTCAATGTGCGTGACCAACATGATCAAAGGTATTTTCCCATTTTAGAATTTTTGTATCAGCGTCTTGGCATGGTTTTTTGGTGCGATACTAAATAAGCCATGTTGAAAGTTCTTCCAATTGCGATTCGCTACTCTGCCGTTCGACGGCAATTTGGAGTCGGTACTGGAGAAGAGATTCCTGTAATTGAATACCAGATGCAACAGTGGCGACTTTTCCCTTATCTCGCGGCAACTTATGCAATGAAAATTTTTGGGGACTATTTATTCCACGAATTTGTAAATCACGTAATGCTGTCCATGTCTGGATCGGATAAAGAGGTGGGGGCGGCTAGAGGCGCAGAAATCCATGCAGTTTCCTCCGCTGCAAAACCTTTAGCAGGGTGGTTGGCTAGAGATGCAATTCAGGAGTGCAGGTAAGTAAGCTTGAATAAAAAGCTTTGCTTATATATCAATAATCAAAAGTACTAGTCAAGTCTTTTCCCTGCAGGGAAGCTTGTGGAGGGCACGGCTATTTACGAGCGGCCGGAATTGGACCAATGCGAGATGACAACGATAGTAATTGCACGTACGAGGTAATTTTTGTCCCGGTTTTATCTACGAGGGTGTTCGCGTCTAATTGCGATTGTACATATTTTCAAGTTGCCTCATCATATTTTGCAGGGCGATAACAACGTCCTTCTCCAACAAGCAAGTAACTGGCTCATAAAACTTTGGGGAGAATATAGCTCAGGCCGCACTCTGGTTAACGAGGGTCCTCTGGGGTCACTCAGCTTCTTAAACAACGTGGGTCAAACCTTATCCTCCACTTTCAATCCCAATTCTTCACACCGCGACCTACTCCGACCTGAAACCTTGCTATCGGCGTATAAATGGTTGGTGTGTTGGCTCTTGAAAAATTCTGCGGAAAAATTTCAAGTCCTCTCATCTCAAGGGGTGGACCCTTTCACGGCTAAAAATAACTCTCAAGTTTACAGAGCTCGAACATTAACATTGGCTTACATTGAGCATTTCGTTTTGGAAAGATTTCTCCACAAAATTCAAGAAACGCCAAATTCTGACGGGGTGCGGGACGTTCTCACGAAACTTTTCCTCCTTTATGGCTACTGGAGTCTGGAAAAGCAGTTGGCATTTTTGTACCAAGGTGGATATGCCAAAGGACCGCTGGCTGCAACCTTAATTAGAGAAACGATACTCTCATTGTGTGAAATCCTGAAGCAGGACGCCGTCGCTGCAGTGGATGCCATTGCACCGCCAGATTTTATCATAAATTCATGCCTGGGCAGGAGTGATGGACAAGTGTATAAACATTTACAGGCTGCCATGATGCAAACTCCGAAAGGTTTCGAGAGGGATGAATGTTGGCAAGATTTGGCAAAATTGTTTCAGTCAAAGATGTAACTTCAAACAAGCATTACGCATCAAGCAAGTACGTGCTAGTTTAATTATTATAAATAAACTTTTTACAACATAATAATGTATTATGCTTGTACAAAATTCGATACAAAACAAGTTAAAATTCTAGTTGAGAGTTTTTGGTTTTGTTTATAAATACGTATATCGAGATATGGCTATTACTTTCGTCATGATTGTTCAACGTAAAAAAAAGTTCCTTCCTGCACTTAAAGCTTTACTAAATACATTTCTTTCCGGGTCATGAATACACACATACATTTTAAAATTCTTACTGAACTTCATCTCTGGTTCTACTTTTCAACTCCAAATCCGTATAATACGAAGCGGTCGTGGTATTGCTCGGTGTGAGGGAATATGTTCCTGGGGATTGAGGTTGTGATTGAAGCTGGGGGCGAAATAAGGGCGTATTTGCACAAGGTACTCCACATCCAATACTGCCAGGCAAATCTCTCAGTTCCAAGTAGCAGTTATCCACCATGGGCGGCACGGGAATTGGGGGTCTCCTCCATATCTGACTGTTTTTTTAGAAATCGTTTTAATTTAGAGTACTTCTTTTTCTGTACGGGATAATTATAGAATACTTACGAAGCGCTTGCGACTGGTGCTGCATTGTGCAATTCCGCATAAATATTGTAGCCCTCCTTATTGTTGTCATTGTACGGCCCTTCACAATACGTATTGGACAAAGGGGTCGAATTCGTAGATCTCGACGGTGGCAGAGGAAGCGTTTGAAGATGTTCGTTACATTTCCGTTCTAAATGACGCATCGAGTCTGGATTGAGGTGCGATCTCCCTTTTCGTATCCTAGAAAAAAATCCAGTCGCTCAAATTAGTTGACTGCTTTTAAATAACTCGATGCTTGGGTAAATAGATAATTAGTATTTTTGTGTACCTTCTAATGCTCAGAATAGCAGCCATAATCCCAGCTCCCGACAATGCCGAGATAATTGCGACCATGGTCAACATAAAAGTGAGATTGTTCACTTCCCCTCCTGTCTTTTGTAACGAGTCGAAGCCCCATTTTGAACACAGATCACAGCTCTCGGTGGAATTATCCTTTTCGAAAATGAGGAGTGGAGCCATGAAAGCTGGGAGTGGTGGGGGTGGAGGGAAGTCGGGGAAGTTCACCAGGGCGAGACTGATTCCCCCCAGGCTTGGGAAACAAGACCTGTCCGTGCAGTCCATATTTCGCAGCTTGAGAAATATTTCCGAGAAGAGACAACAATTTATTTCCTTTTTATGACAACCACTAATTTCCCACTCGTCCGATTTCTTATCTAACAGCGTATTTTCCACTAATTCTTTACAGCCTCGAGTCAAATGTTATATAATTCAATCGTTGTTAACATGTTGTCGAAACCAATTTAAATGTAAATTAATATTTAAAACTTGTTACTTAATTAAACTCGATTTCTTAGAGGTTACTGTAAAACTGTAACTCTTGGAAATTCTTCACACCTTATTAAATCGGGAATGTTACATAAAAAGTTGGATGGACGAGACTGACTGGAATGATGTCTTGAACAGGATAAAAATTTAGAGGGCTGTTTAGGTACATCGATGATTTGTGGTTTGAAAATCTTTGGTAGATCCAATGTTGTGGAAGTAATGTGAGGATTATCGTCTCGTATTAAGGAGATTAGTACGTATTGAGTTTCACTGGGTGATAGATAAACGAACGAAGCAGGGACCGAAGAGTTTTCGAGGGACTGCAGCAGGTTGACTGACTGAACAAATGTGTATTCTTGCAATTGTAACTTACAACACAACAATGTAAAATGCCATGCAATTCAAGCCCAGAGTGGATGAAAGGTTTGGGTAGGTGGGCAATGTTGCAAGTGTATACAAACGATGCTGAACAATTTTAAGCTAAAAATTACAAGATGAATTACAGGAAACGTTTATGGTCACATTCGGCAGAAATCATGCATACGAGGTTCGTTTAATTGCTCATCATAAGATATGCAATTTACAGAGAATTTGTTGGATTCAAGGGATGCCCACACTTTGAGAGCGTCCCTCGACTCTTTGAAAAATGTGGATTGTTGGACAAGTTTGTAGTTAGATTCCACCCCGAAGGCGATTCTCCCACCATTTCGACCTCAACCAATCCACCTGTTGCCTCTTCTTCTTCCTTATTGTCTTCGTCAAGATATACAGAGAACAACAAAACCTCACCAGTATGCCAAACCCGCTCATTGTTGGGTGCAACAAAAGCTTTGCTAATATGTCAACAATCAAAAGCAATAGTCAAGTCTTTTACCCTCACAGAGTCAAAGAACACTCCAATTTGTGAATGTATGTACCTACGAGGACTTGCTTACTTACTCCGGAGAGGAGTTTATACCATTATTACGTTGTGTATGTACATACATTTTGAATAAACCGTCGCAACAAACATGAAAATGTGGCGTCATACAGAAAAATGTAAAATGACACCACATGAAAATTATGTGACTTATGACCTTTGACCTGGTCCTCATGGTCATTTAATTTTAGACCATACCCCCTGCTGCGGTGGGTGGTCCGATTTATCCCATTTTCGAATTAGAGCCAGAACTAAAAATTAAAAGCACAATGGCGAAAACGGTGTTTTATTATGCTGAGACATTCTGGAGAAATCTTGCTTGCAGACGGATAGACGGACGGACAAAACGGTTATGTTGACGCCTTCTGGAAATATTCTGCTTACGGACGGACGGACAAAACGATCACAATAAACGGCTGGCCCCACTTAATAAATGAATAGGTGTAAATGATGTTGGTTTTTCATGTTGTTCCCTTTGTTCCCTTTGTACAATTTTTACGTATGAAACTGGAAGGTTTGTGGGGTGTGGCTTTACCCAGGCGTCCAGCCTGTAAGACACCTTTCTCAACGTGAGAATTGGGTAAAACCTGGATTCCCGTGTCCATGAAAAGAAATCAACAGCATTATTATTATTTATTGACAATATGTTAACAAAATTATTTATTACGTGACATTTTAGTACAGGAGAAAAAAAAACATTGTGAAAAGTGTATCAATAACTAGTAACAATGTGTGCGATTTGATGCAGACATACGTGGAGATATCACCGGTTGTGTATTATTAACTATTAAAAAAGTTAGCAAACTATTATATAAACATTTTACTGCTTATTTAAAAAAAAGTTACATAGATTATGAGTGAATCATGATGAGTAGTTAAGGTGAGAATTGGGAAATTTCCAGTCAGTTCAGTACAAAAAGACAAAATGTAAAAAAAACATTACTATACGATTAAATCAAACCCGAGCATTCAATTAAACAATTTCATATAAAACAACATCTGCATATTTAACGTTAACCACCTTCCATTTCACACCCATATTTTTCATTCATCATGCATAACCTACCTCTTAAAACTTAACAGTTATCGCTTAATATTAATTTGTTAGTTTTAGTTAGACGACTAGTTAATTCTGCAGTGATTGAGGATTCACACCTATTTTTTATTATGAAGCAACGCAACCCGTGGTCGAAAAACACTCCTCTTCAATAATTCAACTTTGGTTATTTAAATTTTGTTGCATAAATCAGCTTAGAATCCACTTTCGCAGAACGGCAATGACAAGAAGGGACGAGGTCAGGATTGCACTGCCCCCACTGCTCCTTCCCCCATTGGTGGACCTCAGTGCCAAAATGTCGCCATCTGCCCCCGTCAGTCTGTAGCTGTCTTGATTGAGCCTCTTCGTCCTGTAGAGAATCGTCCCATCGTCCAAACCCGAGTCGCTGTTCTCAATTCGGAGCCAAGTGTTAACTCGGACGACGTAAACTCCTCCGTTGCTGTCTTCCGAAGACGACGACGACGCCATGTTGTTCATCAAACTCCTTCTCCGACGACCATAACCGATCTGACCGTTACTGCACTGCGACTGCAACCATAAAACAAAAATGGAACCGTGAAATTATAATTGTGTTTGTTCTCTGCATGCAAAATAAGTAAATAAATATGCAATAAAATCATTATATTGTAATGCAGCTATTCATAAATAGCAGGAGTAGCAGCAGCAGCAGTAAAGCAAGACATTTATGTATGGGATCACAATTTTGCCTGAATTTTCCGATGTGGTTTACACCGCCGAGGAGCCACTATTGACGATGTGGCATGATTTGTTGTTCGCAAGTGTTACTTGATTACAAAAATCTATGCAAACGCTTCCATGTATGACAAAGTATAGTTGGACGTAGATAAAATTGTGTAATAGATATCGCCCTGAAAATTTCTACTCATTTATCATTAGTATTCATTTCATAATCGTAAACCACCATCGCGTTTTTCTCTCTTTGTAATGGCCAACCTATTTCTATAAAAATGTGCCGAAATCCAGTTACTTGTTACACTACACGTCTTGAGCAAAATTATAACTAACCTAGTACTCGCTAGAAATAGTAATTGTTTTGTGAATAGCCAGCCACGCACCACAGTTGTACGTACGTAAGTAAAGGACGTTTGCATGAATTCATTCCTTCTTCACCCCCGCAAAGTTTTGCCATCGCCTAAACTTAACGTTTCACTTAATTTGATTAAAGTTTTTTATTCACAGTTCAAGAAGCTCAGTGGCACTGGGTTGGAATAAAAAAGGAAGAGGACACGGAAGGATTTGCATGCAAGATAGATACTTTTGTATGCAACGCTCTTTTGACTAGACGGCAGGATTTGACCATTTATAGGTAGGCATAGAATAGGCACGCATGGATGGATGGATGGATGCAAATTTGTTTTCTAGCTTTGTATGTAGCTGGTTTAAGTGGTAGAAAAGTTTAATGAATCCTAATTGGATTTAATTTAATGTAATGTTTAATAATGGCAAGGCAAGATGAAGATGAAGAGGATGAATAAGAAGAAGAAAATGATGATGATGATGATCGGATAACAGTTGTTGTTAGTAATAAAAAGTCTCAACTTACAGGTCGACAAGTTCCCAAACAGACGTTAACCGTCCCTTGGAACAAGACGTAGCTTGAATCTGGAAACTTGAAGGCTCTAAACTTTGCAGAAAGAGTGTCGCCATCGGAGGTCACAAAGTTTTCGAATAGATACGGATCCACGGTGCATCTGGGGACAAAATATGTTGAATGATATTTCCTGACTTCGTGTACATGTGTATGTAGATTAATTTGTAATTACCCATTTACTAGGATAACCTCGGACTGGTCTTCTTTGTCAGTGACGTCCAATCTGGACACGATGATGCCGTAAACATCCTCCCCCTTGCAAGGCTGCCTTACACATTTTTCAAAATGAGAGACCTCCATGGTCAAAGGTGCTCCAGGTTGGACCAGTAATTCGTGACCAATAGTGCGTCCTTCCTGTTTAACAACCATGGATAAAATTGGTTCAGGGCCATAGCCTGTCGGGACTGGGTAGCCGTAAACCGGACTGCGTCACATAAAAAAACAATACAAGGTTAAACAGATTTTTAAAATTATTTTAAAATCGTAAGTAAATTAAAAGTCAGCAATTACTCTTCCTGCTCTTCAAATCCGGCTGGTAAAACGTCCCTTCTTCGTCGCAACGTCCCATTATTTGTCAGCAAGTAATTGTCCCCCAATTCCGGAGGGGTTGCCATTTCTCCTTCCTTCTTGCATTTGGCAAGAATCTCGGTATCTTTTCCTTCCCTGTCGATTACGACGATGTGATTGTAGAACGTTAGGGAACCCTGAAAATCATAAAAATTTTAATATTCAAACAATACAATTAATGTGTTTACTACGTAATCGGACAAGAGTCATGTGTTACAGGTGTCAAAGTACAGCTATAATTTTTATTATTTGCTTTGTCTGCTGCTCATTCATTCATGATAATCGATTCGAACAATGCTGATGATGAGGCAGGCAGCACAACACAACACACTAAACTATAAAAATAATCCACGCGACATTGAATGTGAAACGCACACCGGAAAGTAAACCGTCTTCGGATTACATAATCATAACTTACGCCACGCCACATTATATCTACTTATTTACAAACAAACGCTTCTTCTTCTTCTGGTCGTATCTACAGGAGTCCATGAGAATATTTGCAAGTTTTTTGTCCGAGTGATGATATGGTTAGAGCCGTTAGTGGGTGAATCGTAAAATGCATAAAATTACATAATCAACTGGTGCTGTATGAAAGAAATGCCATTAAAATTAACACTATCGGTCAAAGGCATATATCTCCGGAAGGAAGAACGGCTTTAATTCTGTCTGATAGTACACTTCTTGAGAGTAAAGTCAAGGAATGGGGGTACTCGGTTACTTGGCTTGCTTTGTTACCGATATTTCACCATTTTTTCATGGAATTGCACAATGGATCATGAAACTCTGTGTACAATTAAATGAGGAGCTATTGCATAATCATCAGAGGTTCTACATGTTTTTTTCAAAAATACAAAGTTTGTAAATATTTTAACGATACTAGACGATTTTTTTTTGCTCGAAGGAATTTAACCAGAGAATTATTTTCAGAAATTCAAATTTTGCGAAAATTTTAGTTTTTATGTTTTTTCGTACATATTTAGCCATACATATTTCAGCGATTTTTCGTAAATACGTATCCACATTCCGCACTCTGATAATCATCAATTATAGATTTAAGACTATTCGTAAAACGACATATGAAATTTAAGACTTGAACGCGAACTTTTTCTTACACAAATTGATTGCTTATTTCCCAAATAGTTTTGAGAAGATGATTCATACGATATCGTCAAGGTTGAAGTCACCTCAAGTCCACCCACTAATCAGGAAAGAGCGATGATTCAAGAGGAAGGTTAAGTCAAATTAAATCTGAATTTTGTCTACAGATAAAAAAGGCCTGCATAATGTGGTAGTTAGAATGAATGGCTGGTTAGTCAACGTGATTAAGCTCGACGTAAACATTATTATGCATCTAATACTTAATTTGAATTATGATGCGTGAGTGAGTAGGCATTTACGATACATTAAATTGTCGTATCATTGTCAGGGAACATCCTTCCGGAAATTCTTGGGTGGATTAGTACAACCACAACTATTATGCAGCACTATTAAATATTCAACATACATAAAAACCACTAACGAGAGAGATAAACAGAATAATGCAAGGTAAGCAATAACGCAAATGCAAATGCAAGGATTTAAAAATTATGATTTCTTTCGCTACGAATACTTCTTCTTTTTCTGCTTATGCATTACATTGTTGGTCATAATCTATTGTTTAGTTCATCAATTTATGAGGAAGGATGGAATCATGCGGTGCAAACTTTGCATACAAAAATGTGTTTATAATTTAATGTTTGTAAATAATAATAAAATGCGTAGCATTGTGCGTACTGCTCAAGATTTGTGAGCAAAATGTTTTTTTTTACTAAATTTTAAATTTTAAATTTTTTTCCGACGTTTAAAAGATACAATTTCAAACTCAAAGTCGCAAAACTTATTATCACTTATTTTTTACAATGGAGGTCTCCCAGTGCATGCTCACCGATTTTGACCAAACTAGTGTCAATCGATCACAAATCGATCATTTAATTAATGCGAAATTTTCAAAAGACACGATCCGAGAATGCTCAGATTTGGCAGAGTTATTGCGTCCGAAGAGGAGAAAATACGCAGTAAATTTGGAACGTAATTTTTTCAAGTTTGTAAGACCTCCCTCGATTGTTAATTATCTCGATAATTGACACGTAATATTTAAGCAGTTTACCATACACGAATAATACCGCCCTCCATATTATTATGCATCTCTGTGCCTAATTAATGAAGCTCATTACCCTGCTGTTTATGAAGTCTTTTCTTTTTTTAAATCTTGGTAATCGATCTGCCCCACTTCTGTCAATCACAGGAACCACATCGCATCATCATCATCATCATCACTCACTATTCAAAACCCATTAAACACGTTCTCCCATAATTATCCATCCCTGATATAATCATCTGTCGCCACACAAATCCTTTGGCAGGCAGGAGTCAGACAAAAGAAGACACGAATTCAGAGGTGATAATGATACTGATACACAAGACCGACGGCGATGGCGACGACGACGGCGACTACGGCGTTATGCACTGTGGGAAATGGAACTTAACCACACTGTTCCTATTTTAAACTTAAAATCATCCTTTACTTCATCCGATGCCTGATGACTTTGACTCAGAAATGCAGTACCATAACCAAAAAACTAACCGCAATTCGCATTTAAATTTAATTTTTTTCTAAAAACTTCTCCCCACTAGAGCACGTAGCTAGATACATAAACGCACTATGTTTTGAACAAAGGAAGAAGGAGGGTGATAAATTAACGGGTATTTTCGCATGGACCCATTTCCTCGAATCGTGTCGAATTGGATCATTTCATAATCGTGTCGGGGCAAATAAGCAGCTTTTGTGGAGAAACAAATTGGTAATTGAAACAATTCTCGGTCTGTCATGATGAAACCAAGGGCGAATAAAAATAGGGCTGTAGGCAAATTAGAAAAAAATCCTTCCAGAGTTCGCATTTTATTTAATTTAAATGTGGATGAGTTTGTATAAATCGACCGTTATTTATCCTTCAGACTGCCCAATTCCCATAAATCAGACTACTTTTTTTGCATTTACGCATTAGCATGACTTGCATGGAACAATGGTCAGCAAATTGTTTAATCTGCAGCCTACAATGTACTGCTTTTTCATGTAGAACGCTATGGTTTGACACAATTCGATGCAATCAGTTCATTCGAATCTTAAACATTTCAAGTCATGTAATTGTGTAGGATGTAGTTCAGTTAAGTGCGATTCCTTTGTGCGAGTCGATTGTACACATTATCGATATTTGAATTGGAGTGAAAACGCAATTTTTCACATTGACCTTCCCTGCTTCACTTTTGTCACTTACCGTTATTTTATTCAAAATTTGGGATGTTCCACAACGAGAAAAGTCTACGAGAGAGAGACGAAAACGAAGAAGGTTGTCAGTCCGATGGGGTAGACAGGCTGGTTCTGAAATTTATATAAAACTGAGCATTAAGTAATTTCCAAGATTTATAGAAAATTGTCCACAAACGCGTTTCGGTAACAAGACTGTGGCATAAATAGATTTCACGCGATTCATTCTTGACACATGATTCATAGGAAATTGCACGAGTTCAACGAGAAACTCAAGATTTTCTATACGGTTTTTGCCATATGTTTAAGAAAATTGTTAAAAATGACACTGAACTCTCACCAATTATTGCAATTTCAAAATACATCCGGCCCTTTATCATCATTCATGGTACAAAAAGAAGAGCTGAATTAACCGTTCAAGAGCACAAGATGATGACGAAGAACACTTGTAACACGTAACTTGTTAAGAAATAATTTCATTCAACTTCACAATTTCAGAATAATGTCTGCTTACATACTTATTTGTACTCGCTGTGTTGGTTCTTTAGTTTCCATTATCTTAATACTTGTGAGAATTTTCATCTCTCTAAAGAGTTATGCAAGTTATGTAACAGTGGTGGTGGTGGTGGTGGTGGTGCAGTGCATATTCATTTCAACGAGTCAGGAATAGAAGTTATTATTCAATTTCATCCCAGTGAAAAAAATCCTACTTTAAAAATGCAAAATTCATCCTTTTGATACTACATATTCGCAATTTTTGTTATAAATCTTTGACGAATCTTTGGCTTTCATTGGGTCGATTTTGTCTCTCAACTTCCTAGATATGTGGCCATATTTGTTTATAATGATTCCCCGTGTTGCCCATTTTTATTCTGCTTGCATGATGAATAAAAGTATGAATTATTTTAAACGCAGCGTCAGATCAGCACCGCAGATGTTTTGCGTTCTTTAGGGCAATTGACGGAGAATGGCGTGGGTGGGTGGTGCAGAGATGGGAGAAAAAGCAAGGTCTGCGCAATCTGCATGCAACAGTTTTTACAGTTTAACAACCCACGAGCAATACCACATCAAGAACAAGAACAAAAGACTCCTTTCTTTATTTGGACTTGCCTCAGACGTTGGGCCTTCAACCTTTCTAAAAGTCTAATTTAATTGCTATCTAGTAAAATAATAAGGATACAAAATAAGCGATCCGCCCTTCTTCCCTGTTTCAGTCTGACTAATCCTAACGATATTTATCATACATAGGTGACAGGGTTTGGTAGGTTTTACCAATTTTTTTCTGACAATGGAGGTCTCCCAGAGTATGCTCTCCGATTTTGACCAAATTAGTGTGAATTGACGACTAATTTAATTAGTATGAAATTTGAAAAAGACACGATCTCCAAATGGTCACGTTTAGCAGAGATATTTGCGCCCAAAGAGGAGAAAATTTGCACGCAGTAAATTTGCAAAGTGCAAAATTTATCAACTTTAATAAGGCGCTTTTTCTCTTCTTAGGATGCAAATATCTCTGCCAAACCTGAGTATTGGCAGATAATGTTGTTTTCAAATTTCATACTAATTCAATTTGTGATCGACACTATTTGTGATCAAAGCCGGAGAACATACGCTGTGAAACCTTCATTGTCAATACAATGGTTATTAATCCCCGTTTAAGAATTGGCAGTGAGTGATTCACTATGAGTCAGATATAAAATAAATCACAAACTCCTTAATAGTTTTTGACTTTTTGTCACAAAAAATCGACAAATGTTAGACGTTCTCCTTGTCCTCACCTGGATAGTTTTTCAGTCCTTTAAGATAAGCATCGAGCAGATTGGGTCCTGACAGCTCAACTGTCATGTTTTCATCATCACAAGAGATTTTTGGTGTTACTGCAAAAAAATACAAAAAATATCACTAATTAAATGCCGAAATTGAAAATTATTAATTTTGACAAACAATAAATCATATTAGATTCAACATTTTCCAAGACATAAGATGCCATTTACATAATATGCACGACAAGAATGGACTAAATCATATTCTCACTGCTCCATAATTATCGGTGATTCATTCCTCCTCTTCCAATGACTGCATTCTTAATTTTATCAATGAAAGTGCACTCCACGATTTGGGAAGTACATTCTTCATTCGTGATTGAACAAGCTGCAAAGAAGAATCTTACACAATATCTTTTGTGTCCAGCTAATGCGATAAATTTAAGTGTGAAATCATCTTTCTGGTTAAATTAGTTTTGGCTACTGCATCCAACAAAACGCAGAGAATGTAACCGGAGGAGTCCGGCTCATCAATATCATTATCGCCTGCAGAATTCCCAATACAATGCAACATTATGTTCATTCATTGCCAATGAGGATTCATTATTATGCCATTCTTCCAACTTTTTTCCATTTTCATTAAAGGTACAAATTTCTATGTAACACGAATTTAAGCATGCGCCCAAACCCTTTTACTTGTTGGATATTTTAATCACTTTTTTCATCCAGGGAGTCAGAACGGACAGATATTCTCGTCTTCTTCTGGAGAAGAGAAGATGAATCATGTGTCATCATTTTGTGTCTGGCTTAATGAAGGTGTACAACTTTTCGATGTGAACAAGTCGGGTTACTTTATCAGGTTTTCTTTTAATTCTACGAAGAAGAGTTAGACAAAGGGTTTAGTTCAAGTGAGTGACGTGACTAATTTCGTTTTAATTGGATATCAAGATGTGGGAGTTGGATATGAATTGATAGGTATTGACACCTCAAGGATACAGAAACTGGATAAGCTTCCAGCAGCAAAAGCAGTCCCGTTCAGAGTACTCGTTCGTTACATTGTTATTTTAGACCAATACTTATTTTAACTTTCAACTATAAAATATTATCCATTCAATCAAAGCAAAGAATATAAAAAAAGAACATAATTTTAATCTTTGTTTACAGTTTTAGCATCAGTAAATTAGATTTTTTATGCTAAATCTCAACGGGATGAACACGACTAATTATTGCCAACAACTCGTGTCACTTTTTCCATTCGTGATATCTTCGCGTGAGGAATGGATTTGACAGATTTCTTCAGATTTGTTCATTTGTTTAAGGTGGTTGGTGAGACAGAGGGGAGGAAATGCATGCATACATTTACTTTAAACACTGTTACAAAAAAGTAAGTAAATAAGCAAACAAACGCCCGTTTTTTCCTCTCTCTCTCTCTCTCGGATAGTCGTATATAATCCGTGCAAATTATATGCTTAGGTTTTAGGAAATAAAAATTGCAATCATTTGCAATTTTTCTACCAACAAGGTTTGTTTTGCAAATAGAGACATTTTACGGGAACAAAGTCGTATGGCTGCAAGCGTTTTCAAAACTTTGCCGGCGTCCAATTTTAAAGAGGATTTAAAGAATTAGGAAAAAAAGTACTAAATACTTGTCTCTCAAGTTCAAAGTAATTATTGTAAAGTTCACACTAAATGTTGTGGAAATGATTGAAAAACTTGATCCGTCTTTATGTGTACATACACATCAATCAGAGGTTCGTTCGTAATGGAAATGGAACGGAGAAGAGGAAAGGGATACAAGCAATTTGCGATTCTTGAGATTATTCCCTCGAGAAGAATATTGTTACAACTGAACTGATGTTACCACAAAGGCAGAAAAACTCTCGAGTGATTAACTAAGTGATGTGTTGACTAATTGCTTTGTGCAAAGAGAAAAATTATACAGAATGATTAACATGAAAGAAAAATTAGAGCAAAAACTGGCATGTTTACAATTCTTGGTTACATATGCGGTGATATTTGTACATATGTAAAAATATTGGCTGCTACAAGTGCAGTGCATGCGTAACATCTCCATAAACTTCCGGTGGAATATTGTACTTTTACAATCTCACTAATTTTTCAACAATGCACCGCACAATCAAATCAAAAAGAATGTATATAATGAAACAAGAAAGAAAGGGAAATGCTCATTAGCATAACATTTTTATATTTTGGCTACTCCAGTTTGTATAGATTTTCCACCTTTTTGTTCTCCTGACTGAGAGGTCCGGAAGTCAAGTTCATTTGCTGGCTGTTTAGTATGTATAGGGTTGCCCCGGGTACCGGGTAGTTACCCGGTACCCGGCATACCCGGCCTGTTTTGGGATACCCGGTACCCGGCCGGGTAGACTTTACTACCCGGTCTACCCGGCCGGGTAATTTAAATGTTCAATTTTTTGCAAAACCATACAAAAAATATAATCCGATGAATTACATTTTTGTCCTTGGTGTAAAATAATATATTTTGAAAGAATGAGTACAAACTAGGCCAATTCTTAGGTGGAAATTATTATCCAGATATTAAAATTACTTTGGGCGCACTCACGTCAACCCTTGCATACATATCTTCCAGATTAAGCATGACAATATAACTTGCGATGTTTTGCGAAATTTGAGACATTTCTCAAAGCTTTCGCTAGAAAACCATTGGTTTTGCAAAGAAGGGTACCTATTTTCATGGTCATTTTGGCCAAGCGATTGCAAGCGTTTGCAAACCGCTAGAACCCCAATTTTTGCACCATTGCATAGTACAACTATCCATGTTGAGATCACGAAAAAAATAGCCTGATCCCTATCCCCATATTTTTCCAATTGGCATTCGCATGAGCACGATTTCGCCCATTTTTGGGTCGAAATTGGGGGTTAAATGATCACTTTAAAAAAACAAGCGTTTGCATGATCTCATTTCGATGATGTTAATTTTGCTGCATAAATCAACCATCCGAGTATTTGGTATGAAAAAATAAAGATGATCCCTGTCACCGATTTGCCACAAAGTCGACTGGAGTTGGGTAACTTTGGGTTTGTGTAAAAATCGGTGCACAAATTCTTAAAATAAGGCATATTTTTGTTGTCATCAGTGACTAAAATGTAGCTGTTGTGAGAGACGGATTTCTTCGAACCAATGGAGCAGAGCGATTGGGGGAGTTGGTCCCAACGAGAAATTGCTGTGGGACATCGTGACGATGAAGCTTGGTCACACTGGGAAAAGTTTTACCCCCACCGACCTTATTTGCAAATCCTGCCACGCAAGACTGCGCTTTGATTACGAAAGGAACGGTTTTCAGGATTATCGAACTGCACTATCCAAATCTTCACGATTAGCTGTTCCAACCGTCTCTGATTTATGCGTAGCCGATACCTGCAGCACGATTGAGGAATCGCAGGAGCCAAGCAGCGTGGCGTCGACATCTCAATCCTCTTTGGACTCCAGTTTAACAGTCAATAGTCAGACCTCCCTGTCCATCAGCTTTTCATCTACCCAATCGGTTTGTAGTACACTATTTTACTTAAGCTCGATTATTAAAGATCAGTAATGATTTTGACTAATTATACTGCAGATATCCCTACTCAGCAATCATGCCAAAATTGATATCCCAACCGTGTCAAAAAGTGAACGGAGATGCTTCATTTGCAAGTCAGTTACTGGAAGGAAACGCTTGCCAGATTCAGCCATTCTTCAAGTACTACAACGTCGTATATTTACATCCCTCCCAAAAATAGGACTTGTGCATCTCATCTCGAGAATAACCAATTCACAAATGAAGCACTCATTCAAATAACTGCAGACAAGCAAAGTTTTGAATTATCTGGTCCAGATATAACAAAATGGATAGCTCAACTCCTCAAGCACATTGATAACAAGGTCACCATCCTGGATTTTGGGAAAAATTCTCACATCAAACCAGAAGATTACCATCTACTTCTTGGTGTAACTCGTGACCAATTTTTGGAATTATTAGAAATATGTCGACATCACATCCATTCCAGCAGCAACAGAAGCGTTGAGAATGCACTGGCATTGTTTCTGATGAAGATGCGTCTCGATTTACCACAGAAAGTTTTGGCACTACTGTTTGGAATCGATGGGCAGCAGCGAGTAAGTGAAACAATTACCCGTGTCGCCGAAGTCTTGGATCGCGAGTTTGTTCCATACAATCTTGGATGCGGTGAAATGCATCTAAACAGAGAAATGGCAGAAAGTCACGATTCCGAGTTTTACCATCGTATTCTGGACACTCCACCGAAATCCTTGCACGTTACCTGTGATGCAACCTATTTGAATATACAAAAGCCATCGAATTTTGAAGTCCAGAGGAAGACATTCTCACTCCACAAGTTCAGGAATTTAGTCAAGCCCATGCTTATTGTCTTTGCTGATGGATATATTTTGGACGCCGATGGACCCTGGTTTTCAGATTTCAAAAATAACGACGCAAATATTTTAGAGAAGATCGTTAATCGTGCAGGGGCGGGTACACTTCTCATTCTTCTTCAGCCGGGCGACGTATTTATCCTTGACAGAGGATTTCGAGACTTTGTGGAGAAATTGAGGGCTCTCGGCTTGGTGTACATGCCGGAATTACTTAAAGGGAAGACTCAATTCTCAGCAGACGAAGCGAACCAGTCAAGAAAAGTGACAATGCTCCGGTTAATCGTGGAGGTAGTCAATGGTCAAATTAAGCTTCGCTTCCGGTTCTTCGACTCCATTATTCAAGCCACCTACCTGCCAAAAATAGCAATGTTTTTTCGAATTGCTTGTGCCATCCACAACAAATACGGGACTAGGTTTAGAAAGTCCCCAGAAAATGAAGACTACATAATCAATGAAGTAATTGGTGACATGGATCGAGCCAACACGTTAGAGATGCTGATCAAGGACAACGGCCTGCTCAGAAAACAAATTATTTGGACTGCACCAACTGAAGCTGATTTGGCGAACTTTCCAATTTTGTCTATTGATGATCTTAAGAAGATAACACTTGGGACCTTCCAGATCCGAATGGCTGACAGCTATACAAATCAGCATCTCCAAGAAGAAGGTGAATATCGTCTTTTCATTCACAAAGAAAACT